GTTGAGGATGAGATAAGGATGATGTAATACGGTATGCCTTTAGTCATGTCAAACCATTAAAGCTATACGATTCTTGTCTACCTTCCCTTCTGCCATCCCATTTAATAATTAAATTCTCATCTGTTCCGCATAATTTATCCATATTTTTTATTTTCGTTTGTTCCACATAATTTATTTTTTTTATTTTTGAAAATATAATTATGCATTTTAATCGCATTTAAATTTTAAATTTTATAATTTTTTAAATTTTAATTAAACTATTTACTTATCTTAATTTTAATCTATAATTATTTTTATTAAATAATAATTATTTTTACTAATACACTTCTTAATTACTTTACTTGTCAATTATACTTTACCTAAATTCTCATGTCTACAGTAATACATCTATATTATATGGGACGGAGAAAGCATAAAATTACATCTATTTTTTAATTATTATTATTATTATTATTATTACAAATATAAACACTACAGTATAACTCATCCACAAAATCTCACAAATTTATAACTTTCTCTGCTAACCACTGTTCGCCACCAAATTATTGTCCATCTAATTAAATAACTCAAACATATATATATATATATATATATATAAACACATAGCGCAATATTTAATTAATTAACTCAACCCTACATTGTAACTGAAGACAAAATTTCATCATCAGTTATTACAATTATTTCAGCTGCTGTAGGGTTCTTACTTAATTAAGAATATACCAAAAATTTAATTTTGTACTGCCATCATTATGCATATATATATAATATATATATATAATGATCAGACGAATATTTGTCAATACAAATTCAATTTTAAATTTTGTGACTTGATTAATAAATTAATTAATTAGGTATTGATGATTTTTAGTACTGTGGAAAAGCCATCTGTACTGATCATGATAGCTACAATAGCTTCACAAAATTAATTGTACGACTATGTAGGCATATCCCTGCAGGCCTCTCATCATACGTATATATTGTGCCTGGACCATCCTATCCTAATTAATCTCGTATTTTTGTTTTTTTTTTTTTTTTTTTTTTAATTAAATCTACAATTTTTTTAGCAACATGTGATACTAGAAATGACAAACACAATTTACTATCGAAAACACAAATGTGTATATATATATATATATATTTCTAATTTTGATTATACATTTTTTTATCAGAAAGGTAATTTTGTCCTTAAAAGTGTAATGTCGAATATATTTTGTTTACTTAAAATCCTCGTGTTACGTATGAAAATTATAATTAGATTAAAAAGCTCAAATCAGAAAGAGAGATGGACCCATGATTGGGTCTGTTAGAATGATCAGGGAGTATTTCGAGAAAATCGGGTGAAATACACGTATTTTTGAGGAAATAGCGGGTCGGAAGGTCCACAGGTCGGAGAGTATGCGGGTCGGACGGTCCGCAGATCGGAAGGTCCGCAGGTCGAAAAGCCCGCAGGTCGGAAAGTCCGCAGGTCAGATGATTCGCAAGTCGGAAAGTCTGCAGGTCGGGTGGTCCACAGGTCGGAAAGTCCGCAGGTCGGGTGGTCCACAGGTCGGAAAGTCCGCAGGACGGACGGTCTGCAAGTCGGAGAATTTGCAGGTTGGATGGTCCGCAGGTCGGAAGGTCCGTAGGTCGGAAAGTCCACAGGTCGGAAAGACCGCAAGTCGGGAGGTTTGCGGCTGGACCAGCGAGTCGGGAGGTTTGCGGCTTGACCAAAAAGTCGGGAGGTATACGGTTGGACCAACAGGTCGGTTGGTTGGTGGTCGTATAGGCAAGTCGGATAGTCGGCCAATCGGGAGGTTTGCGGCTGAACTAACAAGTCGGGAGGTCCGCAGTCGGACCAACAGGTTGGTTGTTGTGGAGATTGGATGCTGTTGAAAGCAAGTGAAAACAATAACTTGGTCGGCTGAAAAAAACACGTGTCAGCAGAAAAGGAGATAGTGAATGGTTAAGGGAAATATTATATAACCGTTCCAAATACCATTTCTGAAGGGTATTTAAGGATTGAGACTTGCAACTGACAAGAGATCTTCAATCATTTTTAATCGACATCAAAGTTAAGAGATTCAGGGATCATCATTTTTAAATTTCCAGTATTTTATTTTTCAGTTTATTTTTTGTACCGTACAGTGTTTAGAGATTCCTAATCTCAGACGTTAATTATATCAAATTTGAAGATAAATTCCTATTTTTGAATTTTACTTTTGTATGGTTGAAAAAACACATCAAACACCTACATTAAAAGATTAATTTTATCCAATGTTTTATATATGATATCCTTTTTTTAAAAAAAAAAAAATCTCTCTCACATAATATATATTATTGAACAAACCCTAGTTTTCTGATAAAGACATAGGAACGAATATTGTATGAAAAAAAATGCGTAACTGTTCTACGTACAGTTGTAGTAATAATAATAATAATTATTATTATTATTGATAGAACAGAACGATTAGCTATATATGTATATATATATATATATATATTTGTTTTTAATTAATTAATTATTTTGTTGGGTGTACTGTACGATATACACATCGGAATCAGTGTCTGATCCGGTGCAAATGTCTATCTACATATATATCTGCATGGAGAAGATGTTATATAAGTTATAATACTAGTAATAATCAATGAATGGTACCATAGAACTTAAGGGGGTTGTTTGATTTTGAGTTTTTTTTTTTTTTAATTTGAATATTATTTCAATATAATATCTTATAAGAATACGGGTGCGTTTCTTTATCCTAAATTTTTTAATTTTTTTTTTATTTGATTTCTGTATTTTTCGAAATTATATATTATTTTAATACTAAATTCAAACCAAATTTCTTCTCAAACTGATCAAAAGAAACATATCATAAATAATAGTTTTTCAATTCATTAAGTATATATATATTTTGGATTGTTCAGTAACTATCTCAAAAATATTTAAAAAAAATTACAAATTAAATATTCTTATTTTACCATCATTATTTTAAAACTATTTTAAAATTTTCCCTTTAATTAAAATATTATTCTTTTAAAAAAATCAGTTTTTTTTTTCAAATAATTAAAATAACATATGTATTTTTAGCATAAGATTTAAAATAATAATATTCAAATGATAGTTTGTGTAATTTTTATATGTAATTTATTTTTTTTAATTTTTTTTATTTTAATATGATATAATAATATTATGTAAAATTGTAGATATAAATTTAAAGGATTTATAATGTATACTATCGTCAAACCTATATATTAAATAGAAAATTTAAATATTTTGACAAACAGAAATAATAGAATATATAAAATAAAAAAAATAAAAAAATTAGTTGATAAAATGAATAGATTTGTATTTGAGAAAAGTAGTTAAATAGTAAAAAAAAAAAAAAAAAAAAAAAAAAAAAAAAAAAAACCCTAAAATACTCTTGCATCTCTATACTATTGTATTCTTTATTTATCAATTTTATCTCCTTTATTAATTAGATTGTACAATTTCTTATAATTTTTTATTTTTATTGTTTTGAAATAATTTCATATTTTGAAGAGTGAAAGATAAAAATAGGTGTAAAAATTAAGAAATTTTATTTAAAAAAATAATATGTTAAAATTAAAAGTATTTGAAAAAATATGTAATAATGTTTTTAAAAAATTAATATGACCCTGAAAATAATAATTGATGCTAATGAATGGTGTGGTAGATATCTCTTCTGTAAAATGATTGCATTTTTTCAGCTTTTATAAGAAGGTAATAAGTACACATTAAAAACTTCTATAACATTGGTAGCAGCCATAATTGAATACTTTTATTTATATTGATTGTATTTATTATATTTTTTAAGATAAAACAATTCATCAAAGGGGTGATTTTTTTATTTTTTTATTGTTTGGTAGGTAAAAATAATTCTTCGATTTAATGTTTATATAGAAAATTTAGTAACTTTTTTTTTTGGAGCATTGTAAGAGAAATTTTGTTGATTTAGACTTGTAAAAATTGTTCATAATTTTCATGTAATTTTGAAATTTTAAATAAAATCTTATACTTTAAAAATTGTATGGCACTCTTCTGTACTTTAAGCATAAAACTCTCCTATAAAATCTTTCTTGTGTTATGAGAAGATGATTTCATTAAAAAATAATAATAATAATAATAATAATAATAATAATAATAATAATAAAGACAAACAAACACAACCAAACTATATTTCGTATCTCTTTTTTCTTCTTCCAGTCCTCATTAAAATATTTCCATCTCTTTCTAGATTGTTGATGGATTTGTCGTTTTATACAAAAGTATATATTATTAGATGTGGATAAATGTTTTATTTTATTAATAATAATTTATATTAAATAGTACATAGAAACGAGATAAGGGCAAGAGTATAAACTAATATATATATATATATATATTATTACAATGAACCATCGATCTTTTTTATTCCTTATAAAATAGTATATTATTTATTCCATTGAAATAAATATTAAAAAATTAATATAAAAAATCAAACTTAAGAAAGAAAAAAATGAATGCCCAACATGTATGAGATGAGGTCCCAAAGAATATTGGTGACATTGAATTGGTATATTATATGGGCTCAATGGATTATGGATCCAGTACAAAAAGTTACGAAGAAATGTAAAATACTATAGAGATTATTATTATTATATTAAAAAAATATTTTAAAATATCAAAATCAAACACATATTTAAATTACACTAAATAAAAGATTTCATTTTTTTTTTAATAATTCCCACACCAATAAAAAAATTCCAAAACACTTCTAAAATATATTTAAACTCAAACAAATTAGGGTTTAGATACCAAAATATAAATACCTCTAAATACAGGTGAAGAAACGCAATATTCCGAAAGTACGGAGTATAACCGTTACGCACACAATTAAAAAAAGGTGACTATATCCAGATTCGACCGTTACGTTTAAATTAATTTACCCTCTGTTCAAAATTTCAAACCCCCTTTTATTCCTGAGATGAAAAGAATGATTTTTATTGAATGAATCCACAAAGGATTCGAAAAACCAGAAAAGAAAAAAAAAAAGATCTCCCAAATACCCAAACAATAAAATCAATCAACGGTCGAGATGAGGACAGCTGAATCGCTGCAAGAAGAAGAAGAAGAAAGAATGGAAGTCGAAGTAGATGTAGATGTAGAAGACGAAGACGAAGAACAGATCCACAAATTGAGATCCAAAGCCACGGAATTACTCCTCAGAGAAGAATACAAAGATTCAATCCAAGCCTACACACAGATCATCTCCCTCTGCCGAGAAATCATTTTCAGAAAATCTCCAGAAGCAGCCATAGTCGCCAAGCTGCAGAAGACCCTCTGTCTGGCCTTCTCGAACCGGGCCGAGGCCCGGGCCCGGCTGCAGGAGTCCACCTTAGCATTGATTGATTGCGAGGAGGCATTGAGGATAGAGAATTCCCATTTCAAGGCTCTCCTCTGTAAGGGTAAGATCTTCTTAAGCTTAAATGGCTATGGTATGGCTATGGAGTGCTTCAAGTCTGCAAATCTTGCGGCAAACGGGAACTCGGATGTCGTAAATTCGTTGTTAGAGAAATGCAAGAGATTCGAGTCTCTGTCGAGGACCGGGGCATTCGATGTTTCCGATTGGGTTTTGAATGGCTTCCATGGAAGAGTGCCTGAATTGGCTGAATTTGTATCTTCTGTGGAGATCAAGAAATCGGGAATCAGCGGGCGCGGGATGTTCGCGACGAAGAACATCGAGAGCGGAGCCTTGTTGGTGGTGACAAAAGCCGTTGCCGTCGAAAGGGCGATAGTAATGCCTCAAGATTCAGGGAAAGATGCCCAACTGGTTATATGGAAGAATTTCATCGAAAAAGTGACAGAATCCGCCACTAAATGCAGCATGGTTAGGGATTGGTTAGCGAAGTTATCATCCGGGGAAGACGACGAGGAGGGGAAGGAAGTTCCCGATATCAGATCCTTTAATCCGGAGGCTATAATCGATGTCTTTGACAAGAATCTGGACAAGGGAAGGCTTGTGAGCATTTTGGATGTGAATTCGATTCTTGAGAACGCGGTATCGTCGAAGGTTTTAGGGAAGAATGCGGATTACGAAGGCGTCGGGTTATGGATCTTGCCGTCGTTCATCAATCATTCGTGCGATCCTAATGTACGACGGGTGCACATTGGCGATCATGTGGTGGTTCATGCTTCGAGGAACGTTAAGGCTGGGGAAGAGCTGACATTTGCCTACTTTGACGTGCTGTGTCCGTTAAACCGCCGGAGAGAAATGGCGACGAATTGGGGGTTTGTCTGTGAATGTAGAAGGTGCAAATTTGAGGAAGATTTGCTCTGCAAGCAAGAAATGAGGGAGATTGAGGCTGCCATGGGAGATCTGGTGTATAGACTTGAGGAAGGTATGAGGAAATGGATGATTAGGGGGAAGAAGAAGGGTTATCTGAGGGCTTCGTTTTGGGAAGCTTATTCGGAGCTTTATGGGTGTGAAAAAATGGTGAGGAAATGGGGAAGAAAGGTTCCTTCTGTAGAGAGTGTTGTGGACAGTGTTGTGGATGCAGTTGGGAGTGATGAAAGGATTGTGTGTATTTTCATGGAGGGTTTGAAGAGAGGTGGGGTTGTCAATGGAGTTGTGGAGATGGAGAAAGCTATGAAGTTTTGGAGAGGGGTTTATGGCAAAGTGATGAAGAAACAGGCAATGAGGACATTGATTGATTCGATTTAGTGGGAATCAAGAATGTTAGAGAAGATGATATATATATATAGATATATATATATATATGTAGTTCGACATTCAATTTGTTACATTCATATGCTAAAGGTTGAATTTTTTTTCGAATACGCTTGTTGATTTTGATTCCCGACAACGACTCGTCGGATCGATCATCCAACGCGTTGTCTGTATAAAGCAAAGCTCGACAAAGGGATCGACAGAACGAGGAAGAGAACCGCGGCAAAAGATCCAATTAACGAAACCCTGATGCGCTCGCAGAAGGTTTGGTATTGTCGACATATGGCGAGCCAATTTGCCGAAGCATTCCCTTTATGCGCTAGATATACGATCGCCGTAGCAGCCGATGCTCCGGCTGCGAGTACGCCGATCATGACAGCGTCCAAGAAAGTTAGAATCACCCGACTTCTCGCAGCTCGTGTCCTAACGACATGATAAATGGACAGAGGTAGTGAAAGCGCGAGGTACCCACAAACTACGCCGTTCGTAATAACAAAGAACCTGTCGAAGCAAACGATTACGCCTTAACCTCAATCTAAAACAATAAACAACATAAAACCTGCGAACCTGAAAGTCGGGATGTCGTCGTATTGCGCCTGGAACAGCACAGCTTGTGTGGAGAAGGGAAGTGTCTGATCAGTTGTCGCCATGGCCAAGGCACTCCCTAATGTCCCAAAAACTGCAAGAACTCTAAAAATAAGGTCTAATATAGAAGCCCCTCTAATTCCTGTACCAACACTTTGTTCTTCTGGCTTCATTTTCTTCAGGTGTATCCATTTCAAGAGGAACTAGGACAGGTAGAAATAATACTTGAGGACAAGAACATTCTTGGACTTGTACAAAATTAGCACACAGAAGCAACCTTGGATGATCCAAAGTGATCCACCAATGGGGGAAGATTTATGTGGATGTTAGGTTTAAGAAACTTGCAAGTATGTGCTTTTTTGGTCATGGCAGAGGCCCCACTTTGTCTTGTTATGTTTTGTGCTGTTTTGGGTGTTCTTACATCAAATTGGTAATAATAATAATAATAATACTAATGTGCACACGAAAACAATACAGATCAAGACCAGATCAAGAAGCTTATAGTTTCAGCCAATGTTGAGGTAGAAAAAGGTCTAAAACAAAATCCGGATCCATCAAGACACACAGGTTGAGTTAAATTTTTCTGATTCAAAACATTGGCAAGGAAAGATGTAAAAAAAAACAGAGCTTTCAGGGGCAAATTAGGGAATAGCCGCGTCTCGATCGCTTGTCTGTTTATCGATTATGCTTCGCGCTTTCAGTATCAGGCGCCGTAGCTGTTTTCGAAGAGGTAACGAAAAGAAAGCATGAGAATATATAGTACGTTTTCACTCTATTATAAAAGCAGTAAACGCTCGATACCTGGCACCGGGAGAGTGACCAGACGGATAACCTGCGTAGTCGCCGTAGCCACTTCCGCCGACAATCTGAATAATCGAATTCAAATCAGACGTAGAAAAGGATGTGCAGTGGTGAAACTAATGCCGAATTTGATGTTATCAGACTAAGTATTTGTTCGAACAAATTTCAATCGTATTTACCTGTGAATTGTCATAAGCCCCATAACTGTTAGGTGGAGGCGAGGGTTTAGCGCCGTAGCTACCAGCATACGCCGAGTATCCTTGATTACGTGCTCGAGAATCGCCGCAATTTGCGTATTTCGGACCGTTGAATGCCTCGTCAGCCAGGGGTGGGACGGGCGGTGAAAACGCTGGTAGATTTCCATCGGTCTCGAATACATTAGCTCTCAAGCGCTGCAGGACTTGTAATAACGCATTCTTCGCAGCATTTGCGTCGGCAATTATCTGGTCAGCATTATACGAATTACTTAGGCAGAGTGTTATCATCAGATATTCATAAAAAAACCATAATGCATAAAATAAAATATCACCTGGACCATCCCGTCGTCTTCCAGCGCAACTTTCGGAACATTTTCATCGGTAAAAATGCGAATACTTGCTCGAGAAGTACTTCTTATCTCCTTAATTATAGCACCACCCTTACCGATGACGCATCCAATTCTTGAGCTCGGGATTAGCAGACGGGTAGTGATGACAGGATCACCCGACTCGCGTAGTATTTTCTCGCTGCACCGAGGCTGCAACCGCACCGCCGCATCGATAGTCCGAGAAGGCGCTTCAAGTACCTAAAAACCAAATTTCACTTAACCACACTGATAGCCAACTCTTCGATCAATATTAACATTTGGAAACGAATATTTACGGTAAAGTTCACCTCTCGAGAAGAGATGGATATAATGCAATCATCTTCATCCGCCCCAGAACTATCGACAACAATGAACGCACCCGATTCCTGTCGCGTTTGTTTGATAATAGCACCGCCTTTGCCGATCACGGCCCCAAGATTTTCGACGGGACAAACGATACGAATTGCAAATTCCTTTGCGATACCAGTACTTCTGTGATTCCCGTAGGGAACCGTTAGGGAAGTCACGCCCATGGGTGGACCCCCGACATGTGGGCTGTTGTAACCGATTCCAGATCTATAAATGCTGGGCGACGTCAATAAATTCTGCTGTGATCGTGACGGATTTTCATGAAGGCGAAGCGCCACGTGGTAAAGGGCGTTCTTAACGACGTTAGCTTCTCCGTTGATCTGATATTTAAGCATAAAAACAAAAGCAGCAATCAAATTATTCAAGCCCCGAACTTGCACATTGCAAGAAAAGTATGATCTAGATTTAACATTACCGAATGTAGCACACAATTAAGAGCAGATTGATCAAAAACAGTATTAGATAACATAGAAAGTACCAAAAAACAAAGTGAAATTTATCCCCTAAGTACCTGAATATTTAAGCATTCCAAACCCTGAAATCGATAGCTAATCTACAATAATATATGTACTTAAAATACTTCCACATTCCAAAGAAGTATGATCTAGATTTAACATTACCTAATGTAGCACCATTAAGAGCAGATTGACCCAAAACGAAATTAGAAACAAACTGAAATTTATCCCCTAAGTACCTGAATGAGTTCATCAGAACTTAAAGCACAAGGCGGCAAATGCTCGCTGCCCAAAATTCTGATCTGTGCAAGAGTTTCGTTCCTTAAGCTCTGAATTATCTGCCCGCCTTTACCAATGACACAACCTATTTGATCTGATGGCACAAGCAACCTTACATTGACTTGCAGAGGGTCATCAAGAGAACCATTCACTGGCGATTCCTCAGCCACGACACGATCATGAACTCTAAACAGAGCATCCTGAGCAGCCGAAATGTGTTCATTTCCATACTCATTTGTTTCGTCCCCCACACTGTAAATTGTAATTACTCGCTCGTCACACCCCGGAATTGTTTCACTAATCCTAATCTTTGCTTGCGTTTGAGCCCTCAGTTGCTTCGCAATATCACCCCCAATACCGATTATGCTCCCAATCTTCCTCAAAGGGCAGAGATAACGATACACTGTATACTCAGGTCCTATTAAATTCTCATCACTTACATTTCTTCTTTTCCCTCCCTCAGTTCCAGAATACTCAGATAACACTTTTCCATAATCACTCCGCTGGCCCATACTTTAATTAGGGTTCTATTCACCTAATTGCAAGCAACAGACACAATCTATTGATGATAAACAAAATCAACAATTCAATTGAATATCGAAATGCAAATTACAGATACACAGAAACAATCCGCAGTAAACAAAAAGGAAAAATAACCCTCAAGAGATTGTTTTTTAAATAAATACAAAAGTCACGCAGTTTCCAGCGCTGGAATTGCTCGTATCCCTAATACCTGAGTGCATCGAAGCACAAACGCTAATTTCAACAAAGACATCCGAAGGATTGATTGAAGAAAGTAGAGAAAGCTTCAGTTTTTGTTTTTTTTAATGGTCACGAGTATCTCTTTCAAATTGGAGTTAATCGGTGAGAAAATAAAGAACTGTAATTGCTTATACAGAGCAAACGTAAAAGGAATAAGAAAAGAAATGTACAGACAGGTAAGAGAGATTGAACGGCGGCGGCGGCGGCGGCGAGAAAAGGAAGGAGGCTTCGGAGGCGCAAAGGTTGGTGGTGTGAGTGTGATAACCGCTTCCGATGAAATTGTGTTGGAGGGCATATTACTAATATTTGGGGGAGAAATATCTAGGCATGATTGGTTAATGTAGAGTTTGCAAAACAAAACCTTTGGTGTGATTGTCAGTGTTATTAGATAGATGTGGTTTTTTTTTTTTTTTTTTTTTTTTTTTTTTTTTTAAATGCTGTGATAAATTATATGAATAATATAAAAATAAATTTCATAAACAATTAACACTTTTTATTTTTATTTGTAATAAAATTTATTAAATTAAAATATATTTAATAAATATAAACAATTTAATTAACTATGGGTGTGTTTCTTTTGAAGGTTTCGAGGAGATTTGAGTTTGCGTTTGGTTTTTATTTGAATTTTGAGATGAATTTGAATTTTGATGTTTCTTTTAGGTTTGGTTGGAGTTTGAAGAGTTTTTATGTGTATTAATTTGATGGGTATGAATATAATAATATAAATGTATAGTAATTTATATAATTTAATTATAAATTTTTAAAAATTTTATTTATTTGTTTTATAAAAAATTTTATTCTCTACAAATTATATATATATTGTATATATTTTATTAAATTATAATTATTATAAAAAACTTTTTTATATTTATAATTTAAAAAAAAAAAAAAAATACAGACTGGGCTGGAGAAATAGACCCTAAATAACATCATACATTGTTTGATTCATTTTTTTTTTTTTTTTATCTCTTGCCTTTTATTTGTTTTCTATGACGTAGTAGTCGCAGCCGCTGTCCGAAAGTGCACACTTGATAAATTTTCGGTCGAATCTAATACTTTGCAAACTAGATCAAACAAGACAAATCACCCTAGTCGAACCAGATGTGACAGGGTGACCTTAGGTGTGGAAGGTTTAAACCTTGTAAACTCATGATGAGAGGTCCAACTCCCATACATAAAATGCTCTCTTACTCTTTTGGTCTTATGTATAGAGTAATTATTATAATTTAAATAAAAGCTTAAAAATATTTTAGTATTTACTAAAATAAAAAATTGAACATTTTGCAGTGAGACAAACATATATAATGGAGGAAGTATAAATATTAGAATATATAACAGTTAGTATGATTATATATAAATATGTTGGTTTGTGTGGGCGAATATTTTTTTCTGTATAATTAAGTTTGTTTGGATGTGATTTAAAATAAAATATTTGGTTGGAATTTAAAATAAAATATAGATTTGACACGTATATTAATAAGGACACCGATTCAATGTGATTTTTAAATACGGATCAAAATTTATAAATTAAATTAGAATATATGATACAAACAAATAAAATATTTATGTATATCAAATACCATATTATATTTTATATAATATAATATGTGCTAAAAATATATGATATTCTTTTATAACATATATAGTTATTGATATTGATTCCATAGGATCAATATGAATCAGCTCTCACCTCATTTCACAAAAACAAATAAAATATTTTATGTATATCAAATAACATATTATATTTTATATAATATAAAGTGTAATATGTGTTAAAAATATATGATATTCTTTTATAATATATATATATTGGTACTGATTCAATAGGATCAATATGAATCAGCTCTAAACTCATTTATAATGGATAGTAATGCTCTAAACTCATTTATAATGGATAGTAATACTCAAATATGAGCATATTCCTCGCTTGACAAAGTTACGTATTATTTGAATTTTTTCCTGTATAAAAATTATCACAATAATTGATTTATGGTATACTTTATTGATCTATATCGTTTGGCATGTCCAGAGTTGGGTTGTTGATATTATTAACAATTTTTGCCCTTTTTAGGGGTGTTTTGAATCCGAAAAAGCTAAGGCAGATGAAATAAGCGACAGTCATTTCCACTCACAAGCGATGACTCCATCACTCAGAAAAGCTAAGGCAGGAGAGGCAAGTGGTAGTTTCCAGCGCTCGCAAGAGACACTCCAGCGACCAGACACCCACCGCAGCGAAACAACGGCAACTTAACTCAAATATTGCCTAAGTGTCCAAAGTGCAGCGGTACAACCATTCCACTACCAGCCAGCACAAGTAAGCCCGCTTAACTGCGTTGATGCCCTCTAGTCATCTAGTAAGCGAGGAAGATCTGCACTCTTACGAGCCCAAGCAAGCGAAGCGAGCACCCTGGGAATTATGACCAACAACTGCTTAAACAGAATAACCGTCACCAATTGTCTAACTACCTAACGGTTGAAACCGCTACTGCAAGAGGAGTATACTAGCACTTATTTTTCGCGCACTCTAGCTGTCTTTCTATTTCCCGAGAGCTCCAACCCCTGGAAGGGAGTTTTCTACATAATGGCCAGGGGAGTTGAGATTTCTCTTCTCCCTTGGCTACCACTTTACTGCTTACTTAGTTTAGTTTATTACTTTAATTACAATCTTTGTAGAATTAGAAATTTCAACTTTGGTAGCAAATAATAAAATATCATTTGCTCTTCATTATCACTTCCTCCACACTTTTCACATTTATATAAATCCTAATTGTAAAGAATTTTTACTTCGCCGGTAAAGAACACAAAAAGATTGATTATCCAAGCCTTGTCTTTTGTCACAAACAGATTCAGGGTAGTTCAATATAGTTGAGTACGCGGGAGTCTTGTCGACCTGCTTAACTTCTTGTTTGAATTCAATTTTAATTAAAAAGAGATAACAAAATGATAAAGTTACTAATGAGGCAGAATTCAGGATAATTAATTGAACATAGACGGTGGTTTATTGGGTCGCAGAAACTTCTAATAATAGTAGGGTTTTTTTCTTATAATGTTCTGATTCTGAACGTCATTGAAGTCTTGTTGTAAATCCCTTCAGGTCAAGTACCAACGATAAAAATTCCTTATAATCTGGTTTATATATTTACATTATCTTCTTCTCCCGCTTCTGTATTATACATATATATTCGCTTAAACACCAGCACCGCTCACTCACTTCATCCAGGAAAGCCTAGTCATTGAGTAACGCAATTCAGACACAACACATCTTCTTCAATCTCCACCGCGCAATCTATATACATATATGTTGTGTCATTCGCTCATGTCCCTCTCGCTCATCCATCGCTAGCACCTTCCCCGCTCACTGCCGCCCCGCTCACCACCTTTTACTTTCTACCGCTTTCCTTCCCACATTTCTTTAGATTAAGATTTAGACCCGCTTCGAAACGGGTCCTTTTTCTGCATTTCCACCTCTTTTACGAGATCAATACTTAACTTAAATTCGTGACTTAAAATCCATGTGTTCGACCTGAAACTCACCACTCAAAAAATATAAACAATTATGATAACAATTCAGGGTTTACAATCACAAATTTTTACTCTATCTGATCGCTCTAATTAATTCATTACATCTCAATCTCTGAATAAAAATTCCATGTAATTGACTATATACATCAAAAAAAGAGTTATCAGATAGTCAGTCCTTATGTTTCACTTCAAAAAGCTCTTTAGAATTTTGCAATCGATTAAAAAATAATAATATTTTATTAATTAATAAAAATATATATATATAATTAATAATTTTGTCTTTTAAATTTTTTTTATAAATTAATGATATTTATAATTTAGATTAAAAAAAATTATTATTAATATAAAATTATTATTATTAAATATAAAAAAATAAATATTTTGAATGAATGATAAAATAAATACTTTATTTACGTTTGATTTGATGTGTCAAAATAATAAATGAAGTGAATTACAAAAAAAAAATGGCAAATAAGTCAAAACAATCCTCAGAGAAGAAGACCGGAGACCTCACGAACACTGCTGGTGGGTTCAACGAATCAGCCGTCGTGGTTTTCCGGCAACCACATGATGGGACAGACTACTTCGACTACAAAGGGTGTAGGTGTAAGCTTGACCTTAAAATCGTCGAACGCCCCAAAAGAATCGACAGAAATCGTCAAACGAGGATACTGCCCGTGTTGCCGACGAAGGCAGTTCCTCGGAACTGCGCTGACCACCACTTTACTGCCCGTTTTCCCCGCTTTCGCGTCTGATGGAGATTCGAACACTCCTGGCGACCCTATGGTATGTTTCAATTACAGTCACTGTAATGAAAAAATGTGGAGGATAATGTTAATTAGGGCAAATTATTTATTTGCTGGTAAGAATTGGGGCTTTTGCCTTCATTCATTAATTCTCTGTACAAATGATTCGTGCATTAATTCCAGGCAGAATTGAAGAGGATTCGTCCTCCAAAGCCAGATTGGTACGAGGAGTTGTTTGCATCTGCTATGGACAAATTAACGAAACCTTATGAAGCAGAGGTTTATGATCTGATCTATCTTTTCATATCAAATACTTATTAAGAAAATGAATGTCTGAATCGATGTTGTCTGTATTTCATAATAAGGTTGCAGGTTACAAGTCGGAGATTCTTTCTAATTTGAGAGGGAAAGTTGGGGAGGTCGTGGAAATCGGCGTAGGAACTGGTCCTAACCTCAAATACTATGCCGATGATCCTAATGTGCGTGTCTTCGGAATCGATCCAAACAAAAAGATGGAGAAGTATGCACTGGCTGCAGCCGAGGCTGCCGGACTCCCTGCGTCGAATTTCACATTCTTGCAAGGAGTAAGGCCTGTCTGAACAATGAATGAATCCAATCAAATCAAATCAAATCGATTTTGAAATAATTAGTACCATGCAGGTTGGAGAGGCTTTGCCATTAAAGGACTCGTCCGCTGATGCTGTCGTTGGGACACTCGTTCTATGTTCTGTCAGCGATGTCGATCAGACACTGCAAGGTATGCATACATAAAAATAGCTCTAAACATATTTACAGAAAACATTCTTACAAGAAAATATACATACATTCTTTTGTCAAATCTCCATGGATGTGGTGCAGAGATCAGGAGGGTGCTTAAGCCAGGAGGGGTTTATGTGTTCATCGAGCATGTTGCTGCAAGAGGTAATTAATGAACAGACAAGGTTATGGCTTCTTTGTTTTTTTTATCGATCATTTTATCTCGTTTCAGACAACAGCCTGTTTTGACTGAATCTCCATTTCTTGGATTTGGACAACACAGATGGATCGTTTCTGAGGTTCTTACAGGGATTTCTTGATCCATTGCAGCAAGCTGTGGCTGACGGGTGCTCTCTGACAAGAAACACTGCATCGAACATTGCCGCCGCAGGATTTGCCGACGTTGATGTCAATCAGGTTGTTATATCCTCCGCCGCCTTCGTAAATCCCCATGTTTATGGTATAGCTCACAAATAGTTTACACGAAAACGACGAGTTTAGAAGTAATTCAAGAACGTGGGCTTATTGGGCTTACAAGGTGATTTAAAGGTTGTCCAAATAAATCAGGCCCAAACTTGTATTGCCTAATAACTATCTGCTCCCTGTCCCGGGTTACTGAAAACAAGAGGTATGATTAGGAAATAATTAATAATGTATAATTAAAAATAATCATAATTATATATTATAGTTAAAGTAACTTATTAGTATAATTAAAATTTTTAAAATGTTAAATTTAAAAATTTTAAATATGATTAAAATGTGTATTATTTTTTCAAAAAAAGAAAGTCGCATAAGAGGTAAAATGAAAAATGTGACAGTAGAGAATATTATCCATAGTGTTCTTTTTTTAACAAATAAAAAAAAAAAAATCAGATAACATTTGTTTGTGTGGACCAGAAATGCCAAGTAATATATTTCCTTGCAAAGTCGTGGCTAACAAATATATTTTATCTTCGATTTATTTTTCTCAATGATTTAAATAGGAATTTAAATTTAATTTGTTTTTTTTTTTTCCATTTAGCATGTGATCATATTCTTTTTTGTAGATATAAGATTGTAGGGTGTGTTTGTTTGGGTGTTTGGATTTTGAGTTGGGATTTTAATAGTAAAAATTTTGAATTTGAATGTGATATAAATAAATAAGAGTTATATGATGTTTTGAATATAAAATTGATTTTTAGTATAATATAAAAAATAAAAGTTAGATTTTTGATTTGATATTGTTAAGGAAAAAAATGGAATGAATAGTGTATATAAACTCAAATGTGCCAAACAAACACACTTCAAAGTAACGACACAATGACACCTAACCTAGGAAAAGCAAAGTTCATCACAAATTCAAAATATAAATTAATACATTGCAATAATATATATATATATATATAATGTTCCAAAACATTCCCACTGATTTAGGGCAATCAGGGGCATGTGCAGGGTTCGACAATGTTTATCCTCTTTTTCACTAAGTAGTGTCGCTTTTTTAAATTTATAGGGTAAGATAGATAGTGAGCATATATACTGCCAGCCAGTTGTTACCCATCATTGCAATATATATTATATTTTTCAATTCTTAAATTTAAATAAATATTTATATATATTTAAATGAATAATTAAATATGAATTATTTTGATTGACAGAATCATATAAATCAAATTAACCAAAAACTCATGATTGAAAAGGCACATGCCTCGCCTCATGTGGCATTTCTGAATAATAATGCGAGCGTGAGTTAACAAATCCCAGTCACGTGCACTCCACGTGACCAGTCTCTGGCCGAATGATTACGAATTGGTCCTCCTGTTTTAATCCTTTTTTCTAGTGTAAATAATAATCTGATTTTTTAGAATAAAAATATATAAAGAAATTAGGTAGTTATTATGCTTTGTAACAGAAAACGATTGTTCAGACACATATGGCAGACCAGGAAATATTTCTGCACTTGATTTTTGTCCTTTGGAATGTGTTTTTTTGGGTCACTACTTACTTTTTTTTTTTTTTTTTTTTTTTGGGCAAAATTACCGATATTTCTTTTGTGGTTTCGAAACTCAACATAAATTTTTCATCTATTTTAAAAATTGCATGGTACCCACTTATACTTTAAAAAACGTTGCATGAAACCCTACTACCATGAAACTTTCCTCATGTGATAAAAGATGATTTCCTATCTGTATGTTTTGCATGGCAGAATGGGTTTTATGCAATATTTTTTTGAAAGTATAAGTGAGCGTCATGCAATTTTTTAAGGATGTATGCTGAGTTTCAAAACCACAAATTGGTTTCATGCAATATTTTTTAAAGTATAAAGGGGTACCATGCAATTTTTAAAGTAGAAAGAGAATTTAAGTTTCGAAACCACAAAAAAGTTATAGGCAATTTTGCCTTTTTTTTTTTTTTTTTTTTTTTGGTAATTGGCTGCCCTTTTAGTTGACCACTTTTCCTTTATCAATAAAAAAATAAAATAAAATAAATAATAATAATAATAATAATTAGTTGTTGCGCCCATCGAAATTAAGGTTACGTTTAGTATATGAACATGTTGATAAAAGTCCGATGTTATAATCTGTAATAATGACTTATGTCTCGACATATTCAGTGAAAATTGCAATAAAATTGAATTTATATGTAGTACAGCTAGGATTTAGTTGCTTTAATTTGAGAAAAATCAATTAATGTACAGTAAAAATTTATGTGCATGGAAGAAAGTGATCGATATATGTGATGACATTTAGCTGAGCGGGATTGATGTTAGGATATTCTGTCTAAATTCATCGAACAACTAATTTTAACGAAGCAAATGGAAATTCATTTGTAAACGGAATGAATTGTACTAATTCATGGTCATTTGGCTTATTCTTTTATTTATTAAATAATTTTTATATAAAATATTATGTCTATCACATTAATATTATTTTTATAACGTGAGAATTTGTAATTGTTATTGCTACGAAAATTCCTGTAAATCAAGATGAGGCAAACAAAGACACAATAACACAAGAATTTGGTAATCCAGTTCGATCACAATTATCTATGTCTGGGGTGCTGCCAAACTAAAAATTTTACTATAAAGTACGCAATACATATATATTTATATAGGCTTATTATATCTCTAAAATCTAGAATATAATATCTAAATCATATCCTTAAATTTTAGGATATAATCAGACTTCATATTCCAACAGTTATCTTTGTGCGTTTTGATAAATTTTCGATCGAATCTAATAACCTTTAATTTATACATTTTGAGTTTTAAAATATGATTAAAATGTATATTTATATTTAAAAATAATAATAATAATAATTTATATGAGACAAAATAGAAAAAATAGATAAATTATGTGAGATGGATGAAGTATAAAACATGAATCGATCAACTATTTAAAATTGATTTACTAGTGATAGCGACTAATAAATAAATAAATAAATAAAACATCATAATTAGCGATATGATTCACCAATAATAATGTAGAAGCTAATTAAGTGACAAATAATCAATTAATCCATCAATGTGAGGTAATGAAATCAGTAAGTAATCATCCTTAATTAGCGGTTATCAATGTAATTAATTAATTAATTAATTAATTAATGACGGCAGCTTTATTCTTTGCTTCTTCGCTGTAAAGACAACCAAATTCTGGATAATTAATTAAGTTGCCTCAAGTTTATTTTATTTTTAATAATCCTGTTTTTATGTGTTGTGGTGAGCGGTCAAATACAATAAATTAGCTGACTACGACGATTTATATTTATATTTATATTTTGTATTTTTTATTTTTTTTCTGTTTGTGTAACTTTTTATGTCTCACATAAGAAGTAGATAAAAAAGATAGGGGCATTCGCTCTTATAAATTGACCCCTTTGGTGAAATTGAGATTGATAAGTTGTTGTGAAGAGGATTTTGCAATTTTGTCTGTACAAAAATTATAATAAATATTTTAGTGAATTATCTTGTTAAATTCTCGTATCCTGTTATTTTATTTTATTTTTTTTCTTCTTTCCTTGTGTGTTCCCAATATTTTTAACATATATTTTGAATTAAATTGTTAGGATAATGTTTGAATAGAAAATGTATATATATATATTTTTATTATCTTATTATTAAGTATTGACCATCACGTGATGTTAGAATGTGAATACACGAATGTAGTTGTAGCTGTAGTTTAAAATTGATTTGAGTTTATTATTTAAATAGTATTTTGATGTAATTGTTGTAAAAATAAAAATTATTATAAATTGTATAAATAAATAGTGTTTATTTTTATTTAACCGACATGTTGAACAAACACACAAGAAATAATTTGTTCATGATCTTAGTGTTATAAAATTATTCTATATATTAACTGCAATTTATTAAAATTCAACGTAAGTTTCGATAACAGAGTAAATAATTATTTCACGAATATATTTTTGTAGTTACTTACTCTTACCATTAATGTAGTATTTTTTTTATTTTATAATAAATTAAAAAATAATAGTACTTTACTAATTAATAAAAATATATAAAATAATATTAATATTTTTATTATTTATACTTTATGTATATATAATAGTATTTTATAATTTATATAAATTAATAATATTTTAATATAAATGTATAATTATTTTTACTAAATATATTTATTTGAATTGCATATATAAAAATAATATATTTAGTTAGAACAAATAAAATATTATTATATTATTTTTAAAAAATTCATATTTACAATATACAATACAAAAACGTGAAAAGGACGGAATAAAAATTATAGGACAAAAATAACTCTCCGTCATGTTCTTTTTTTTTTTAATAAAATTGGAATTATCATAAAAACGTAGTTTCATTTTCTTTTATTGTAAAATACATTACTCCATGTTTTTATTTTTATTTTTTTTATTATTATAAAAGACAAAATAAATAATAAAAAATAAAAAATTATTACTATTACTATTACTATTATAATTATTATTTTCTGTTATTCTAATTTATTTATTTATTTTTTTGTTGTTATTCAAATTTATTTCCGTTTTATCTTTTAGTAAAAAATATTATTTTTTATAAAAAAATAGAAATTTTTATTTTTATATATTTTTTTTAAAATTTATATCGGATCAAATGAGCACATAATTAGACAGTTCAATTAGATGACTGACATTTAGTTACAGAATAGAGTCATAATGGGCAGTGCTGCTCTGCTCTTCTGAGGCGAGTCAAAGGAAGGATTCTGGCAGTGTTTAATTTAAGAAGATCTGTTCCTTCAAAGATCGACGCTCCTCAATTGCCCACGTCATATCACATATTAAATCCAACTCTCAACTGTATTTCAAGTTGTCACCTTTTCAAATAAAATGTTTTATTTTCCTAAAGAAAGAAAAATAATAAAAAAACGATTTTTAAATTTCAAATTGACAATAAATGCTTTCCAATGTCCGAATTCAGACCGCTTTATTTTATTACTCCCTACATTACACAATAAATAAATAATAAAAATAAAATGAATAAATAAAACCGGAGGGCCACTGGGAACCCGTGAGTGGACGAATACTTATTTGAAAATCCTTATTCCACAAACTTTATGATTATATTAATTATATGTTATATTTAAATAATAATTTATGAAATAATATTCAATATTTATAGTACATACATAAAAAGACAAATCTATCCATAAAAATTTTGAATTAGTTTTTTATGTAAAATAATGTGTTTATTTATTTACACAAATACTTTTGAAATTAACATTATTCAATTTTTTTAAAAATACATTTTTTTTTTTACAAAATATTATACAAAAATTAAATTTTATTAATTTTCAAATTTGAAATTAAAAAGTTTTTCAAAAATCCTAATCTCATACACTATATAATACTTGATCCGTTCAAAATATGATATAACATTATTTTTCGAAACAAATTTAGATAAATAATATTAAAATATAATAATTTGTGAATTAAGTAATATAATTTAAAATATATAAATCTATTTAAATAATGTGATTAGATAAAATATAAATTAAAAATTAAATATACTTAATTATTTTCTATTTTAAAAAAATAAAAAAAAAGGGTACTAGTTAGGGACCAAAGAAATATATGTATTAAACTTTCAAAATATTTGAAAAGTTAGGGACCAAAGTATAAATATACACATATCAATGCAATTGTATAAGTTCTCCACGAGATCTTCTCATCCTTTTTCAGGGAATCCAGGCGGGGCCCACCTGGTTGAATGGTACGCGCCGATGTGACGTGTTTGGCCAAGAAAGCGAAAAAACTGTAATTTCCCTCGCTTCCCTCTTCAATTTTGGCTCTATATTGCATTTTCCCAAACGGTGAAATATCAACAAAAGTGAAAATGCAGTCACGCAATTTTTCCTGGTAATTGACAAAGCACAATCAATTTTTGTCTGGTTAATAACAGCCAAACAGGCGCATGTGCCGCTGTTGCTGCTGCTTCATCTCCGCCGTTGGATCATGTTGGATCCTACGTACAGAAATGTCCTGCAGAGCAACTGATCTTCGCAGCGATTCAATCTACACCGTTAAAGGCGTGGGGTTCATTCCATCAACGGTGTGGATGCATCTGCTGTACGAACACCATGGGAGGGTTTCATAAAATATGTAAATTACAATTATATGTATTATATTCGATTATTATTTTAATATATATATATATTTTTTTTCATTTTAAAACTTCTCGTAATAAAAATAATTACAAAAACTAATGCAATGGGGTTTCTTAAAAATGAATTTTATTTCTTGTTATAACTTTTTTCAATATTTCTTTTAAAAAAGATGCATTAATGATTAAAATTGTAATCGTCTTCAATTTCAATTGACATTTGCCTCATCTTTTGTGGTCTAAATACATATATTATTATATTCAATCAATTTCCATGAATATATATGTCAATCTTATTTAGATCAAATCAAATAATCAATAAATTTTTGCTCGATAAGAATGTGACATTAACCAATAATCCAAACCGGCATTGTCAAAATCTTTTCAATTTCACACAAATTTATGCTGCATTGATTTATTACAAAGAAAAGAAAAGAAGATCAATCGCAAATTTAAATAAAAAAATAAAAACAATTAATAACTAAAATAAAAGTCACAGTCTGACATTAAAATGCTTGAATTTATTTTTATGATCCCATGTGCAGAGATCACACTTTTTTATCATTAAAAGATTTTTCATTTAATTCACCCAATTAGAGGACAACCAGTGTACTCAAATTGCTTATATAATGACATCCATAATTTGTTCCATCCAATAATTCTAAATATTAAATATATTCACCTACTGCACCAAAATCAAATTAATTGTTTTTTCCTACACCATTAATTTAGGAATTAATTTTAAACAATCAAAAATAGCTGCTACCTAATAATGTTATGGATGCCAAATGCAGTCAAAAAAATGCATTTATTTCAAATGACCATTTTGAAGTGGAAATGGAAATAACAAAAGAGGGTTTTTAAGAGGGGAGACAACAGTTTTTATGTTTGTATGCAAGAAAATAAATAAATAAATAAATATATGAAAAGAGATGGCAAAAGCAAAATGGGATTCTTTCTTGGCAATCAAATCTTGCATAAATGAATGAAAGGGATATAAAATTCAAGAAATTTTAGGATGTGTGTGGCAAATAGGCATTGCTCTGCCTCTGCACATGCTATGAATTTATTTTTGATAATATAATAATAATTATACATATATATATATGAAATTAACCATAGAGAAAAAGTTGTGTGCAATTTAATAATTGAAAAAGACAGTGGAAGGAAACAGCAGTGTACTATTCTTCTTCTTATTCTTAAGCTGCTTGAATTTACCATTTTGGGCATCAGCAAAGACCTGTTTGGCAGTTTCAGACCCAAGCAGTTTATGGTCCCCTCACTAATGTTCGAAAAGTTTCTGTTAATTCATTCTAACTGTAGAGAAAAGGGTCTACTCTAGTAACTGTAGAGAAAAGGGTACCCTATCCCACCCCACCCCATTCCCACTCATCTTAATTTCTCACCCCTCTATTTATACCATTGCTCTCTTCCCACATTTCCCCAAGACACAAGAATGGCTTTTCTTGGAATTCTTGTAATGGGCTTTCTTGCAATGGTGGCTGAGGTCAGTGGCTATGGCGGCGGGTGGAGCAATGCACATGCCACCTTCTATGGAGGGAGTGATGCTTCTGGAACAATGGGTATATATATAAAAATATAATTAACAGAAATAAAAATCGAGTCTTTATGATGATTTTTGCAATTTGCAGGAGGGGCTTGTGGGTATGGGAATTTGTACAGTCAAGGGTATGGTACAAACACAGCAGCGCTGAGTACAGCTCTTTTCAACAGCGGGCTGAGCTGCGGGTCATGCTACGAAATCAGGTGCGCCGGTGCCCGGCAATGGTGCCTGCCCGGAACCATTACGGTCACCGCCACCAACTTCTGCCCTCCGAACAATGCCCTGCCCAACAACGCCGGCGGGTGGTGCAACCCGCCCCTCCAACACTTTGACCTCTCCCAGCCCGTCTTCCAGCACATTGCCCAGTACAAGGCCGGAATCGTCCCCGTTTCTTACAGAAGGTAAAGTTCTAGAACCTTCTAGAAGATTCTTAATTTCTGTTTTTCAACATTTTATAAGTATTTTTTGGTGGGTGCAGAGTGCCTTGCCGGAGAAAAGGGGGGATTAGGTTTACCATCAACGGCCATTCTTATTTCAACCTCGTCCTTGTGACGAACGTCGCCGGCGCCGGCGACGTGCACGCCGTGTCGGTGAAGGGGTCCCGGACCGGCTGGCAGGCAATGTCCAGAAACTGGGGGCAGAATTGGCAGAGCAACTCTTACCTCAACGGTCAGAGCCTCTCTTTTAAAGTCACCGCCAGTGACGGACGGACAGTCGTCTCCTACAACGTGGCGCCCTCCCATTGGTCCTTCGGCCAAACCTACGCCGGTGCACAGTTTCACTGAATTTAGATACATACAAACACATATATATATATGTATTATATGCACGTGTTCTATTTTTTTGGGGGGAGGGGATTAGGTAGTGAATTTACGATGATTATTAATTAATTACATGGTCATTAGTATTAGTAGTGTGACCTTAAATTATTGGCGTAGGAAGGGCTAATTTTAAAGGGTCCTTTTATTAATTAGCTGAGGTGGGTTTATTACGAGCTGTAATCACCACCCGCTGGTAATGTAATGTTATGTCGTTACATTAATTGGGACACGCCACGTGTTCCTTGACGGTAATGACTTGGGGTTTGTTGTACTATTCAAGAATGTAAAAGCTTATTTTTAAGTTGGTTTTTATAGCTCCCCACGGTCTTAAATACAAGAATTTAAGAGAGATATAATTAGTAAATAATTAAAAATATATTAGTAAAAATAATTATTGTATAATAAAATAATTATAAATTAAAATTAAAAAAATTAAAAAAATTAAAAATTAAATTTTTAAAAATAAAATTAAAATGTATAATTATTTTAAAAAATAACAAAATAAATAGGACGAACGGACATGAGAGCCGGGACGAGAACTGGGACGAGTGAGTACGTCGAATTAAAACACCATACCATTATTATTGTTCAATAATTGCTAGCTAGCTATTACACTCCAACTTCTCAATTAGTAATCCACGAAAGCTGAAAAAAAAAAATAAAAAAAAAAATAATAATAATAATAATAAACAGGGGATTGGGTTTGTGCCATGTTCAGCAGAGACACTTCTCCATCAATCTGAGGAAATCCTGAAAATCGACACGGCCATCTCCGTTAAAATCAACGGCTCTGATCATCTTCTGAAATTCCCCCAATTCGTAATCCGTATTTAACCCTAATCGAGAGACGACTCTCTGCAATTCCATTGCATCTATAAATCCATCTCCGTTGAAATCGAAAACCCTAAAAGCCTCCCTTAATTCCTCCAAACTCGGCTCCTCCTCCTCGAACAGCGCCGCCATGTCGGCGTGTCCGATTCCGGCGGCTTCTCCGCCGCTCTCCGTTAGCTCTAATCTATTCATTACCACCTCTACTTCAGAAGCACTCAGCCTCGCCGAGCCGCCGCACGTCTCGCCATTACAGGACAGAAGGGACTGGGAATCCGAGGTCCCGGGAGCTGGGGTCCAGAGCCCGGCCAATGTTTCAAGGGAGAATCGGACGCTTGAAATGAAGCTTTCGATGTCCCTCTTGAAAGACTCGGACATCAAAACAAGCAAATATGAAATAAGGTTTGCAAGTTTCGATTCCATTCGGAGAAATTAAAGTTGCAAAATTTTTGTTTGTTTGTGTTTTAGTTAGTGTTTATGGGGGTTGTTTCTGTACATTGGCAGGGTGTAACTTATATACCAATGCCAAAGGTCGAGTCTTTTGTATGTGTTTTTCTTCGAAATTTAGGGTTACAGAATGTGTCATTATTATATAGTGGTTGCTCAGAAAGTATTGGCCTTTCAGAGTGTGAAATTTTGAAAGCCGCAGTAGCATGGATATATGTATAAATCGCTAGACCTGCGACTGGGAATTAGTTAAATAAAGAAATCTTATTAGGAGTAAAATGGAGGGGGAACTTCTTGGGAGAGGATAGGAATTAAGGATAATAGATGAGTTGGTGTGTTTGGGTAATTTCCATCAAGTTTCTTCATTCAATTCCTTCCATCCTACGTTTGATGTTTGTGTTTGCCACAAGTCAGATAGACCTTTTCAAGGCTTGTCATTTAATTTAACAGAGTGCCGTGTCGGGGCAGATTGGGGAATTCGACCGTGTCTTTTGGATGAGATTGGGATGAGACTTCATTAATTCTGACCCTATAATAATAATAATAATAATAATAATAATAATAATTTATATGTAGAATAGAAGCAGGTAAGGTTGAGTTGTCAGTGGAGGAGACTGTAAGATGTGATGAGACGTAAGCTTGAATATCTCATCATCATCGTCGTCATCAGGTGGAGTAGTAGTAGTTACGACTTTAACTTCAGTAAATGTTCCCCTAATTCAGTTTTCAGCTCAACCAACACGCCTAACAAACATTACACTAGACTTGTCATTAAAGATAATGAGTTAAAATTTTGGATACCTCTAATTTCACCTGATATATATATGATTCGTCTAGTATAATTTATTTTATCGAATTTAAATTAAGAATATTAAATTCTACCAGAATTTATTCAGTACTGCAGATTCCCATATATATATATATATATATAAAAGAACATTACACTAGACTCCTTTAAAGTTCCGGGAATTTTTAAAAATATAAAAATAATATTTAAATTAATATTTTATAATAAAAAGTATATATTTGATATAATATTTTCTAAAAAATTAAATAATGACAAAATTCAAAAAAATAGTATTGTAAAGTAAATAAAATGTATGAGACATTTCAAAGGATATTCCGTCCACTTCATTACAAATATGTACACACGCACACACATAAATAAATACATACATGTAGTACACTGACCGTGTGAACCAATTCATAGTCCATTAACGAGCCTTTGGGCTGAAGTAGCTGTCGGCTGTTTCAAGCCCAAATCACTAATCCTTAAACTCCACATTATCAAAAAAATATATATCCTATGTTGGCCCAATTAGTGTGCAAATAAATCCCTATAATTACAAAGTCATAAATTCAAAATTTCTAAAGACTTAGTCTGACTTACTTTTGCCTGGCTACTCCACCGAAAGATTTGTCTGGTGCACACTTCTGTTCCCATGCTATGAAAAATATTTAAAAAGAAAATAAAATGTGAATTTGAACGGTGACATCACGATCACAAGTCCAGACCTGACTATCCTTGACACTAAGAAATAACAGTGGAAGAGGAAGTGGAAATACACACATATATGTGCCTGTTGTATATGTCCATGTGTCAGCCTCTGATTATTATTCCACACATGTACCCTAATCCCCACCACCACCATTCCATCTGACTCTATCTGGGTAAGTCTTGAAACTTTTGCCCCATTTTAACCCCACATACATTCATCTTCAATCTGGTAAAAATATTCTTCTCCACACAAATCAAACATTCAGAAGAAAGTAAATCCCATTTAAAAGCTAAAATATTAAAAGCTCTGAGAAACCACTCAGTTCCAAAATTCTTACAAAGAGTACGTGAAAAGATGATGATCACTTTGAGATTTGGATAAGCTAAGGGTAAGATAGGGTAGGGTGGTTAATTATGTGCCATCCATCCAATTAAGGAGATAAAAACATCAATTATTAATTATTTTATTGTTGTTGTTGTTATTCTTTGGTGGGATGGAGACAGGTTCCTTTTGTTTCTCTTTTATTGATTCCCTTGGCCATATTCTTTGCTTGCAATTGCATGCTTTTACACATACACGATCATGTCCAAGGCTCATGGAGGGCCCCCCACCCCCAGCCTAGCAGAATAGTAACTAGTAATTGAGGAGAAGCACATACTTTAGATTCATTGCAGGACCTTCTCATCTCATCAATAATATTCCGAGGCTTTGTTTTGCATCATCCTTAGAATCAACTTTACTACCCTATCGAATATATTAAAGCAAGAAAGGAGATATGAGATGGGATGAAGTTTCAAACTATGTTTAAAGCCAAAGCAACTTAGCACTCTCCAATCCAACTATCTTCCCTTTCTTTTTTTCTTGCAACTTTTGGGGCCACTTATGTTGTTCGTTTCACTTAACACACTTAATGTCATCTGCATCATTGATCTTATCGTCTATAGAGCATATATAATCAAAGGATGAATTTTCTACATGAAACTTACACGACCGTGTTATGTAGAAGAAGAGTGAGTTCTCATATATAACTTCCTATGGTGGTGTGTTGGAAGATCAAATTCTTGTATTTTGAATCCACCATTGATCTGAAACTTCTCATTAACAAGCTTTGCTCACAGCCCAAGAAATGTAAAAGACCTACCGATCTGATCTAAATGGCTTTTAAGATTTGATGTTTGCCACTGTGGCTCTCTTTTGTTTCCCTTTCCCTTTTCTTTTGCAAATTATTTCTGAAAGCCAACTTAAACAACTTTTGCTCAATCCAATTCTGATTATTTTTCATATACTTGTGATCTTTCATGGGATTGCTTTTAGTAGGATACAAGGAGAGGGTCAGTCTATCTCTCTCTCTCTCTAATATGTATATTATATATATATATATATGTATATCTATAGATATCTCCTTGTCATTTCCTAATGTCTGTAACTGAGGAAAAAGAAGATTCCATTGCACTTAGGAAATTACAACTAACTACAATGAATAATAATATATCAGCCATGATCTAATAATCAGTCACAGTCAAAAGGGAAAGAGGATTAGGTAGGATGGAGAGTTTTGATTCCAAGAACGAGACTGGTCAATTATTTAGATGATATTGTATTATCTACACCACATAACAGAGATAACATAGAATTCTTGAACTTGAAGCAAAGGGGGAAAAAAGGATGGGTTTTTCGTTTGTTACATACTACTATTTCTTTATGCACAGTATAGAAAATATAAATAGTAAAACTTCGAGGAATTCAGGGGCCTTGTTTTACCCTATTAGGTAAATTTGTCTGATAGCACAGAAACTCACTCTAGTTTAGTCTAGCTTATGATAACTTCAACACATAGTTTTCTCTGTGTTGAATAAATGTTTGTGTGGATAACATTATACTTGCTTGTCCTAAAATCTAACGCTAGATTCTGTAAGTCCTTTATCCCCTAAAAGAAACAAGAGAAACTGGCCAATCCATCACATAGTGCAGCAAATGAAAATTGAGAAAGAAAAAAACTACTCATTTTGTCATCCCTTTCACTCTTTAAAAAGAAACATCCCACTAAAGCATATCATGATGATTAATAATTTTTCCTTTTCTTCCCATCAAAGCTTCTTATACAAAAAGTTGCCCACATCACAGACCCTGGTGGGGACTGCCCCAATTCATATGGGAATCACAACATAGAGTGGGAAAACAGCTGCATATATAAAGACAAACCATACACTTTACATCTTTTCTCTCCTTTTGAGAGACTCACTCATATTGAAGGATGTTCCTTTCTCTGTTTTTGCTGCATCACAGATTCTCTCCCACCCTTTCAAGTCAAAGAAGCAAGAGGGAAAAAAAAAGAAGAAAGAAACATAATAAAGGAGGGTTCGATACGAAATGGGAAATGGGAAATGGGAGAAAAAGAAGGGCCACCACAGCTCATGGCATATATTCCTCCCAGCATATCCCCACTTATGTTTCCAGATATGGAGTGACAACATACGACAGGCGAACAAACCACTCGCAAGTATAAAGAGGGCTAGAGACCACGATAGAATCGAGACAAGAGTTATACAAGAAACACAAGTCCTCTCCCCTATGATCCAACCCTTTAACATTCTATTCTTATCACACAAGCAGGAATGGCTCTTCAGGATGTTCACAATGCGGAAATGAGATTAGTCTTGTCTAGTGATGCCAAGCCTAGATTGAAATGGACTCCGGAACTGCATCAGTGTTTTGTGGATGCAGTTAACCAGCTTGGAGGTCCAGAGAGTTGAGTGTAGTAAAGCTTTCTTTCCTAATCTTGTTTGGTGTCTAATCTTAGATTCTACCTATCATGATGTAGTAAAATTGTATTTTTTTTTTTATGCAGAAGCTACACCAAAATCCCTGATGAGGGTTATGGGCATTCATGGACTCACTTTGTACCACCTCAAAAGCCATCTACAGGCAAGTTCATCCGTTCAGAATTTGGATAGTTAAGTTTTTTTGGTTGGAAGGATTTTAAATAGGATGATGTATTCTTCTGCAGAAATATAGATTGGGAAGAACTCAACACTCCCAAACCTACCAACAAAGTAAACCAGAAGGTACTGAGCACTGCATTAAACTACACCTAAGACAAACTAAATGACACTTGCTAACGCATATATTTTCCAATTCAGATGACGGAGAGGATCAGCAAGGCCATTTTATCGATAAGATTAGTGATTCAGAAGGGGAACAAAGTAATGAGTAAGTAATTCGCAAATAATCTTTACTGCATTTAGATTACATCTACAATATACTAAGAATAAACAAGAAGTGATACTTACCGAACAATCAAACCTGTTTCAGAAATTTGAAGGTAGCTCATGCGTTGACGTTGCAAATGGAAGCGCAGAGGAAACTCCATGAACAGATTGAGGTAAGAGAAGTTCCTAGTTCCAGGTTCCAGGTTCCAACTGATCGAACATGAACCATTAAGACTTCTGAATTAGTCTGAGAAACAAAGTTCTTGTTATTGTGTCAGGTGCTAAGACATCTGCAGATAAGAATCGAGGCACAAGGAAAATACTTTGAATCAGTGTTGAAGAAAGCACAGGAGACACTTTCTGGATACAGTTCTTGCACCATTGAAGTTGAACAGGCGAAAGCTCAACTTACACAGTTGATGTCAATGGTCATTACCTCCCGGCGTCCAAGTCCCTCATTTTCGGTGCTAACAGATAGTGAGGGATCAGCATTGAAAGATGCTGGTAATAAAGTGTTGGGTCACAACGGATGCTCAATGGAAAGTTCCCTAACATCATCCGAGAGTTCTGGGAGGAAGGAAGAATTCGAACCAAGCCATCAGGTTCACGAGAATAGCAAGCCCACCACTGAAAAACCCAATAAAGGAAAGCGAAAATCCACCACTCTACCGCTTATGGAAATGCATCCATCTGGAAACAGAAAAAGGAGCAAAAAGATCAATGAGGAAGCTAACTGTGCAGAGCAGTTCACTGGAGAAAATTCAAGTGATAAACCGTCGGCACAAAGATTCAGAGCAATAAGGGACATCGACTTGAATTGCCAGTACCTGAATGAGTTTGATTCAGGTCTAAAAGCAGTAGACCTGAACTTCAATGGAGTTGAACTCTATAATGAACCATTTAGCGTCAAGAATTAGCAGTAGAATCCTGTGAGTTGTATATAGTTTAAAAACTGCAAGCTGAAAGAATCCTCACTATGTGTATAACTGTGTATTGTATGGACCAATATAAATCCCTGAACACATCCATATTATAACATACAGCTTATTCTGTGCATATTCTCCAGTTAGTTAAGTAGCTAAAGAGTATTTTGAATAATATCCCAGCATGTTCAGTAAATCACTAGTTTTTCTTGCATAACAGACAATCTTCTCACTTGTGTACTACCTTACAAGAAACTGCAGAAGAATGTAAGAGTAAAAATCTCATAGAAGTTTGAAAGCAATTCAAGATAAGCTAAACATAGTTAATTGTTATAATTGGGAAAACACAGTCACTGTCACTGATACCTGGATTTTCTTCTTTTGCTTATCTGATGGAATCCCTTATGAAATTTTGATAATTATCAGTAGAAAGCGAATTGATTCATCTAAATAAAACATAGAAAATAAAAATGGTTTACTGTCTTTGCGCGAGTAGTGTGGCCTCTGATTCTCAACCTCATTTTTAGGATGCACAAATTTAGAGAGAAAACTAAGAATGGATCATTCTCAATAACATGATGAAACGGGATCATTAACATGGCCAAACAAATGAAAATCAAGAAGATAATTCTGCTTCTATTTATTGTTCAGGAAACAATTGAATCTTTACATAAAACCATTCCCACCACAGAACGCTTAAAACAATAAACAAAATTTCATAAGTATACACCTATTCCTGCAATTCTTGACGACCTATTAAAGAATCACCAACCTCACTAGAGTCGCTATCTCTACTTTCATCAGTTCTTCCATCTCTACCAAACATAAATCCCACCCAAAGCTCCCTTCTCCTTTCTCCATCTCCCTCCCCACCACTCCTCTTCTGATCATCACCTCCTTCGTCCACAGGCATTTCATATCTACAAACAGGACAAGAGCCGTGAATCCCCAACCACTTCTCTATGCACTTCCCATGGAACCTATGCTTGCAAGGCATTTCTCTAGCTTTATCACCATCCACCCACTCCTCCAAGCAAATAACACACTGATCGCCAATTTCACTCCCCTCGACATCCACAGTTCTCATCGAATCAATCGACGCCTTCGTCGCAGGCAGACGACCGCTTTTGCTCGAAAACAATTCATTGAAGAAAGAATCAAAACCTAAAGACGAACCGTTGTCGCTTCCGTCGGTGCCCGCCGTTCTTCGCTCGATAACCACCATCCCTTGCGTGATCGGATTGACGAGCACGATCCGCAAAGGCGAATCGTCGACCTGATTTTCCCCTTCTCTATCTGCGTTTAAACCCAAGATGAAAGGCAATAAACGTGATATGTCTCTGTGCCTCGAGCTCCCGAAGAACGATGATGCCTCAGCAGAACCGCCTTCTGATGCCATTTTCAACTCCGATTGCAGGAGGATTGAAGAAAGGAGAAGTTGGGTGAGCAGAAGAAAACTATCAGACGTAAAAATCTAGAGAGTGGGCAGCAGAATGGAGCCGTGAGGATCCTTTAATGGCATTGCAGCCGCCAAAAGGAAGTCTGTAGAAGCATCTGGAAGGTTGCAGAACTTGATTGATTGTTCCATTGATTATCTCAATTCTCACGTACAGCGAAGAAGATTCAGCGGGAAGGCAAGATATTTTGCATGGGTTCGGATCCAGTGTGGGAAGGTCCACTGTACCGACCATTGGTTGCTGCTTATTCATTGGTTGATTGACTGATTAGGTAATTTTAATATTGCACGTATCCATTTGGTTTGGGCCAGTTGGCTAATTTATTAATTTAGAACATTCTAGATTATCATTACTCTATTTATTAATATACTTTTCCACGTTGCAGTCACCCGTCATTCGTATATAATTACTCACAAACAAAAATATTATATTAAAATTATTATTCAAATAAAAATTCAAAACCAAAACTTTACATTCTCTTCAATTCTACCAAAGGGAAAATTCAAATCTCATTTTATATTTAACTTTTTTTTTTCTACTGCTCCAGTCACTACTATTATTTTTCTAAAATTACATTCTCTACAACAAACGAATCCTTACTTTAATTTTAAGGCTCATAAAAGTATACATATGCATACATACTAAAATTAGATATGAATGGGCAAATCAGCTTGTATTTCCCTCTATACATATGATACAAAAACTCCTATTTCCTGCTCAAAAAATGGAAGCCATAAAATCTACTCCTTACTCTCTATCACCCGGACCCGGACCCAAACCGGACCCGGACCAATAGGCATATCTTATACTACTATATATTAGATTCTGCCAGAACAACTACATATATATATATATATATATGCCAATTACATCTGTACCTCTTATCAGTCCATGGGTAATATGTCTGGCTGTCTTTGCCTTTCAACTTTTGAGGACATTTTTGGAGCCAGCCGCAAGATGTTAGCTCTACAGCTTGATAAGAACAACTGTAAGCATTACTCCTGAAGACGAATGTGTAGTTACTCACCGCAGCAGTTAGCGCGTTTCTTCTCTTGAATCTTTTGCCATAAACAGAGTAGCTCTCTCGGGCCTTGGTAATGGGCGACGACGTACCCATCCTTGCAGCCGTCGTTGATGATTCGCTCATCCTTCTCGTATCTCACTTGCAACCCCTTTTTCTGCATGTCCGCAATCCAGATCCCCATGGCGACGTCTTCTAGCTTGAATATCTGCAATTGTGATTTGTAAATAATGTTCTGATATGTTTGTGTAATGCATATGGTATGTAGAGTTGTTAGACGAACTAAGTAGTTCGTGAACTCAACTTAGTTTAAGTTCGTTCACAAACTTAAATGAATCGAACAATACAAATAAACTCATTCTGTTAACGAACGAGCCTAAGTCTTGTTTGCGAATGTTCTTTAAAATGTCATATTTGTAATATCTAAATTAAAAAATAAAATAAAATTTTATACTTATCCTATTCTATTCAATTTGAAGAAATGAGATTAATGGAGCCGGATACGAATTCAAACAATAAAATTATTTAACATAGAGAGCTCTAACGCTACAAACGAACTCGAACGAACAAAATCATATAATTTTGTTCGGTTCAGCTCGTTAACGGCCTTAAATTGGTAAGTAATGGAAACTAAATACAAAATTGTTGTTAACCTTTAGACGGCCCTTTCTGTGTTTCTTGGAGACTGTCCTTGCAATGTCGTTCGACACAACGTAGCCAGGACCGTGTGCCCAAGGTGGGTATGTGTCATCAGGCCATTCCTAGCCAACATTATAAGAAGCAAAAATATTTACGATTTTCGAAAGATGAGAGGCGCAGATCATAGCTAAACAAGGAAGATACCTCAGGACTGATAAACCATTTGCTGTCTGGATTCCTATGAGGCTTTGAGTCTGTATTGATGAGGCCATAGAGCAAACCTCGGGCCGTGTTGGTACTCTTTACGGAATTCAAGATTTCATCTATCCGAACAAACGCATCATCGTCTGTCTTCATGATGTACTTGGCAGAAACCACCTCAGTCTGTTGTAGAGTATCGGGGAGTTAGAAGCTAGAAGCTGAAAGAAGATGACTACCGTAAGCCAGGAATGTAAAGAAGATTTACCCCAAAGATACAGATGGCGATCGTCTTCCATGAGATGAGACTGTAGTAGTCGACAAAAGGCATCAGCTGGATGTCTCCATAAGTTCTTGCCTCATTCCAAAGCTCCTCATTCACCCTCTGGTTCTTATGCTATCAGGTAGAGATTACATATATTTACGTCAGTCAATATCACGAATCGAAGAGTTAATTATGATGTTCAAATCATCTGCATATTCATAGGATTATTTTCAAAGGATTTTTCACTGCAAGTTCTTTGACTGCATAACTTACCAGACCAACAAAGAATCGGACTGCAACCTTTGCCAACCGTACTTCAGGATACTGCATCCAAGATCTCCGGACTGCCATTCTCCGTTTGAAATTGTTGGCGGTCGAAAAAATACCAACAAAAAGGTCCAAATACCTTCGTGGAGGTATTGGAACAGCTTTAAGACTGTCCAAGTCGATTGTATGATCTAAGTCTTCTGATGTCGGCAAACCACTGGTGACAACAGAAATTAAATTTATGTCCCCTGAAATTCTCACTTCGCTGACTAGCCATGGTTCCAAAGTCTGCATGTGTTGTTAAAATCGGGAAATCAATATAGAATTAACAGTGCAAGTTAAATCAGCACGACTTTCAGTAAATTTTATGAGAAGGGCGATGGAAAGATTATTACTTCACGAAAGGCAAATGAAGTTATGTGCTTCCCATCTACTGTCATTTGGATTCCTTCAGCACCAATCCTAAGTGTAGCAACAAATAAATCATGTTGCCTGAAAGGAAAGTACTTGGTTGTCTTCCCATCATGTACCATAGAGATCTTCGAGGTTCCATTTGCAAGACGGCTAGCTTTGACGGTCTGGTTAGTCTCTCTACCCACCAGCTCGTTACACTGGTCCAGATCATCAACTGCATGGAATGGAATTATAGGATTACTTGAAGCAAAAGGAAAACTCCAATGTGGAAATATTACAAGGTAAATAAATTTAGATTAAAAAGAAAAAAAGGTTTCTGCATCGAACGTTGGTCAAGTAGGTAAAGTTGAAAACTTAAATAACAATTGAAAATTTCGATCAACTAACTACAAATCTAATAATGCAACTCAAAGTTTTCATATACAGAGAACAATGGAGAACAAATCTTCATCAAGACTATTGACAGGTAAGAAAGGAGAGTGCAGTTGTACCTTTTTTAATTTTTTCGGGTTCTGGAGACGGGCAGCGCTCCTCTTCGCCCCAGTCATGTGCAATGGTCCACGTGTTTTGAACAATCACAGGATCTTCTGTTATTTTATCACCATGAAGTCTAACATTATAGTGCAGAATAATGGGTGGCTCTGGCTCCCCAGGTAGTGGTTCACCAGTCAAGTCGACTCGGAAATTACCAAGAAGGCCATTAGGGATGCCAATAAATGTGATTGAAGAACCTTGAGTTAAGCCACAAGGAATCCACAATTTAAAGCCATTATCATCATGTTCTGAGGCATTCATCTTGCTAAGAAAGTGTGGACACTGTTTCTCTTTCCCTCTCTTCTGTGAACTTCCATTATTACTTTGAATTTTCTCTTCTTCAACAGAGGTAATCAGGTTTTTCCACGCAGTAACAGCCTCCTTAACAGCTTCAACAGCATTCGGTAAGCCCTGATCGCGTGTAACCAAAACTTTCAAAAGGTTCCATGTTTGCAAAGAACGCAATTCCTCTTTCGAAAGGTTCCTTCGAGCAAAGAGTTCAGCTACAATGTCTTCAGTAGATATCACTTGAGAAGTGTGCCCCGGATTTTGCAGAGCAGGCGGAGCACCGGAACTTAGCCACTCAAGAGGATTGGTTCCATTGAAGGTCACAGGACTTGTGAAGTAACTTTCATTGATAGGATTCTTGATAACATAATATCCAAAAACGAGTAACATCAAGAAAGATGCGACAATAACGCCACCGTAGCATTTCCTCATTTCCTTTCATTAACAGTGCATCTCCGGGTTTATATAATGCTAAGGGAACCACGACATATAACACAGTCGGAATCTATCTGCAACAGCAAGCAACAGTGAAGTTCTCAAAACCAGAGAAGGGAAAAGTACCAGTTAAGCACTGTAAAGGAAAAAATGGTAAGGGAATTATACAAATCCTACCACTTCATTTATTTCATCTTCGCCATTTTTAGAAGGTAACAGTTCAACACTATTACTTTAATCCGGAGTTCGAATAGAAACATCTAATATAGAGGGGAGAAACGCAAATTTTGGCGATACTATAAGCATTGGAAACAACAATCTGGAAGCAACATCAACTAGGAACAAATCATAAAGTTAGTCCAAGCACAATCTATGAGATTTTATACAGATCTGTCTTCTCCATCAACCGACAACTCGAGCTCCAGCGAAAAACATCGGATAAGCGAAATTATTGAGTACCAGAAACAAGCAATGGAGCTCTCAGAGAAGTTCGAATACACACACAGCTCAACTTTAAAAAAAAAGGTTCCAAGCTCCAGAACTCAAATGGTGACATTCAAATCCATGGACTCACCGAAATCGAAACTCATTCATCATGAAAATCGTTCAAACGAGAGACTCTCCCTCACAAAAGAAAAACAAATTCACACCAACAGATTCATACACAAGTAGAAACTCTACACTCGCGAGCAGAAGGTGCAAAATAACCGCACAGATCGGAATGCATTACACCGAATTCTTAACACACAGACCTCGACTAAAAAATCCACCAAAAACATTCGAAAACTGAAAACAAAAAACTACACCACAACTAGAGCCTAAAGGCGAAAACACTAATAGAAATTAAAGGCGGTGGTGGTACCTTGTTACACCGTCGATGTCGATCTAGAGCAGACCGACAAAAAGCGAAGACACTGGAATGGCGATGACCGAGTCGAGTCCGCACCGTAGCTTTTGGAGTGGAAGTGGAAGTAGACTTGACTCCTGTTCTTCAAGTCTAGGCCGGGTGCAGGAAATGGAGCCGTCCTGCATAATTAATCGCCATTAATTCAGGTCTAGGAAGCTTGCTGGTGCTTCGTGCGTCATTAAGAAGCAATTGACGGATGTTGATGTTGGTTGCTGCTCCGATAACAGCAATAGCTGCTCTCTCTCTCTCTGTTTGTTGCTTCTGCTGTATCTATTCTGTGTGTATATAAGTATATAAATATATATATATGTGTGCGTGTGTGTGTTAGCAGCAGAAATAGAGATTAAGGTAAAGTAGAATCAAGAAAAATCCGTTTGACTGATAACTATCTAAGGGCTGAATTCTATAACTTTATTATTATTATTATTATTATTATTATTAGGTATGCAATTAATAAATAATTAAAAATATATTGGTGAAAATAATTATTTTATAATATAAATATTAAAATTTAAGAAAAATAAAATTAAAAAATTTAAAATGAGATTAAAATGTGTAATTATTTTCTAAAAATGAAAGTGACATAATACCTGGGACGGAAGGCAACGTGAACATGATGGTACCAAGGACAGATGAAGTAATAATTATTACAATGAATTTGTTCATCAAAATTTTTTGACACAATTTTAATATATATTATTTATATCATTTTTTTTTTAGTAAAAAACAATTATTAAAATAGAATAGTATTTTTATAAATATTTTATTACAATATTATTAGATATATATATTTATTACGTAGTAGACGATGATAAGATATGACCTATGTATATTATAGTTTATTGAATTCAATGTAGTCTTTTTTTTTTTTTACTAAGTGGTAACTCGCAGTTGCGCGGGACAAATTCAGAGTGTGTTTGTTTGGGGATTTGGATTTTGAGTTAAGATTTGAATAGTAAAAATTTGAATTTATATAAATAAGCGTTGATGTAATATTTTAAATGCAAAATTAATTTTTTGAATTAATCGGATATTTTTGATATTTTTGTTCCCTGTACTTTATATATAAATTAATTGTATATATAATACTCCATCCGTCCCGCAAGGGTGGTGTTTGTTTTTTTCACATAAATTTTTTAATATTAGTATTATATTGGATTGTAGTAAAAAAGACAAAAATATCCTATTAGTACGGTGTAATATAAAAACAATGACATTTGTGTAATATATTGTAAATTGAAAAGGTATTTATTATGTGAAGTAGATAGTACAATTATTAAATTAGGAAATGGTAACCTTATTTTGGAACGAACGAAAATAAAAAATAATAATATTTCAATGAAACGGACCGAGTAATATGTTTATAATTTAAATAAAAATTAATAAATATTTTGGATATTATTCTTTTATTAGAATATAAAATAAATATTTTTGAATAGAATAAATAAAAATAATAAAAATAATACTTTCAAAATTGTAATTGATATAATATATTTTATTCACTGATAAAAATTCAACAATTTAATATAAAATATTAATATTTTATATTATTGACGTGATTCCTTATTCGTAACATAAAAAATAAGTAAAGAATAACAAATAAATAAACACACTTAACTTATTTTTACTTTTTCTAAAACTATTACATTAATTTCTTTTATCTACTTATATTATATACGAAAATTATTTATATTCAAAACATATGCAATCAAATATTTATTTTTTTATTTTAAATTTAGTATTATTATTTTGACATACCAAAACACTAAAGTCTAAAATACAGTTTAATATAAACTTTATGAGGTTGTATTTCAAGAAGTTTTTGAAACTAACAGACCATTTATGTTTGTCCTATTTCTTAATTATTATTATATTTAATTGTTTTTCTCTCTAAAAATTTGTGAACTTTTATTTAAATATGGACATAAATAAATATAATTTAAGTAAAAAATATTCAACAAAATTACTAAAATTAAAATATAATTTAAGTAAAAAATATTCAACAAAATTACTAAAATTATACTCCCTTCGTCCCATGTGATATGGGTGTATTACCGTAGACACGAGAATTTAGGTAAAGTATAATTAGTAAGTATTAAGAAATATATTAGTAAAAATAATTTTAAATTTAAAATGCAATTAAAATGCATAATTATATTTCTAAAAATAGAAATAACAAGTTACGTGAGACAGATATAAAAATTGAAAATAGGGACAAATTATGTGGGATGGAGGGAGTGCTGCATAAAAACGAAGGAAACAAACATTTTGGAGCATATGGTCATATTTTCTGAAATAACGTAATATTAGTAAAAAATAAATAAAGACAAGCTAGTAAAAGTCACTTATTAAAAACTGTAAAAAGGGATTAGGTTTGAGATTTAAAAGAAAAATACAATATTAAAAATATTAAAAATTTTAATTTAAAATTACTTGGTGATAAAGCATAATTGTTCTTCAACCTTATAAGCAAAGAAAAATTTCCAACAATTAGCAATAACACATTTATATTTATTAATTTAGTTTACTAATTAATTAAATAATTTTATATATAGTATTATATAGATTTATTAATTTTCTTAATATGGTTTTGGTTTTGTTTGTAAGGATGTCTTTTTAAGGGTGTATTTGTCTGAGGGTTCGAATTTTGAGTTAGATTTGAATAGTAAAAATTTTGAATTTGAATAGTTGTATGGTGTGATATAAATAAGAATTGATGTGATATTTTTAATGTAAAATTAATTTTTAATATAATATAAAAAATAAAAAATAAAAAATAAATATTTGATTTGATATTTTGAATGAAATTTTTTTATGAAAACAGAAATCCCACATAATCCCATAAACAAACACACCCTAAGTTTTAATCACGCCGAGTCAGAGATGTTGGGCTGTCGTAATTGGGAGGTGTCATGTGCTGTCGTTCTACCATTCTCTCTTAAAATAAATAATATATATATATATATATTCTTAAAATAAAAAGGAAAAAGAAAAAATATCCTCACGCTTTCCTCTCGTGCGGAGGACATTTTTCACTTTGTATAACTTTCGTTTGCCGTGTTACACGCGGTCTCTTACGTGGCTGCATCCCATTGGTCCAAATACCGGCATAAATGGGAACATCGGACCTGAGAAAACCTAAGTATATTTATTTAATATTTTTAATTTGAACTATATTTTTTTAATATTAGATTTAAATATGATTAATATCGTTAATTACAGACTTATTATATAATTCTTCGAAAACTGTTGTTACTATAACAAAATATGTATACATCGGTGTTTACAAATGAAAATGATAATGTCTAAACTAGAGTTAGATGGAAGAAATATATTTTTATTCACAAAAGAATGATGGTATAAAAATACTTTTAATTGCCTCTAAATTTATCATATTATTAATTTTAACAAAATAAAAAAATCAATTAAAACATACTACTTTAAATTATCTTTTTACTTTTATCATTTTTTAAATAAATATTTATGTTTCTTAGAGTATATAAATAAAATAAAAAATCCCTAAAATTCATTTTATACATTCTTCTATTTAAAACCTTAAAATTAAAATTTATGCCACCCCTTTTTAACAATTTTGCTTATTATTATTATTATTATTTTCAAATATAAAATGCTAAACACTCCAAAAAACACCCGCCCTAAATTTCTTACCACATAGTTCGATAATAGTAACACAGCAAAACGTGGGAGAAACGTAGTGCTTAAGAAAATTACCCAATTAGTAGTGAACTGACATTCTCTAATACTGTCCGTACGACAGTCGATAATAATAATAATAATAATAATAATAATAATAATATCCAACCATTTAACAATTCAGCATCACATACCAACCTACTTATTACTACAACAATTATAGCAAACTCTCAAGAAACAAGAGCATAAATTCGAAACGTAACCCAAAATGATTTCTCAAATTTCACACGCAATATATTTGGTTATTGCTACAATAGCCAAACAAGAATAATTGATTACGTTAGTTACAACCACTGACCCAGAAATAGGCTGGCAAATAATATACACATATAATACATATCAATATTCAAATTAATCAATAAAAACAATTCACTCCTATATTTAGGAAGAAACGGAAATGGCGTTTGTAAATACCCTAATATAAGACCAAAATTTATACAAACTGTGCATGCAATACTTCATACTTTTACCAAAAATTCACAAATAGGGGAGCAATGAACACTAAGGCACCACGGCATGTCGAATCATGTTATCGGAAAATTAATAATAATAAAAAAAAAAGAGTTGAGAATTTGGTTTCACACCATATATGCATCCCTATAAACTCCCTAAACAAATGTGGAGGAGAGAGAGAGTTACAGGATGATATTGAGGAGAGGTGTTCGAATCCCCGATCCTAATTTGATGCATTCTTTCTTGCAGCATAGACGCGATATGCAGCTAGGCCAACAAGTGCCGCAGCAGCCCCAACTGTAAAAATGCGTAGGCGAATCAAAATAATTTGACGAGGTAAATATCTGTCGGATTTGGAAGTAAAGAAACAAAAAATTTTGCTGAAAGAGCAACATACCCGATACAACCATGAGGGAGCGGTTGATAATCCGGTGATACTGCTTACGGGTTCTTCCCGCTGATGTCTCGGGAATGCTTAAATGAGGGTGTTCTGCTGCTCTCACGATCCTTTGGAATATGTTGCTGTAATCTCCCAGCTTTGCGCTGAGGGGGATTGGCGCCTCTATCCCCATATCCTGGCTTACCTGTTCAGTTTCACATCATTAACGACTGTACGGTGAAGATAGATACAAATCAAACGACCATATTTTAGGAGGATCATGGTGCGTATTAATTTGGGGGGTTTTTTTTATATCTCGTGCTTGTTATAGATGTTTTTACCCTGGTTGAATCTTGAATTTCTGTTGGATAGGGATCAAGATCGTCTTTGGCAGCAACAATGAGACAGGGCACCTCGTAACCAGTAGCTTCACCTTGACTGGCAACATCCACGAGCATGTCTGTTGCTTTCTCCCACGAAGATTCACTAGAACTGGAAGAGCAAGAATTTATTTCATGTATAAAAACAATAGAAAATTATATGGACAAAATTTATGTGGTAAAATATAGTTGGGTAAAAGATAAGCTTGATCTTTCTGCAGGCATTTCTTAACATTCTGGAAAATAACAACTTTTGAGTTACCATACTCCAAACGTCGCTACTGTTGTAACCTCAAAGTATTTAACAACGCAAAAGAGGTCAGGCATTCATATGTTTATATTCAGGTGAACCAAGAATAGAAGCATTGCAACTACCTGTCATGAACAAAGATAGCTACATCACATGCAGCAAGAGCATCCTTCTTAGATAGTAAATCCACCTCCTCGGGAATCTCTCGCAACACAAGAATCTTTTTAGGCCCCTGCAAGAATCAACACAAGCAGGGTTGTAAATTCAATCACAAGTATTCCCATCAAAACAATTATGAGGAAACTTACTGTGGTTCGATCGATAAAATTAACAGCATATCGTTCACCAGTTGTAGGTACATGTTCTTCAGGGAATGGCCTGTGGATTGTAGTAGTATAATTTTGTAAGCACTGAATGACATTAGAATAACCACAGCAGAACAGTTCTGTTAGAACTCATATTCCGAGGATTAAAAATGTAGTACCTTCCGATAAAAGAGTTCAATAAAGCAGACTTTCCAGCTTCTTTTGGTCCAAAAACAAAACACTGATAGACAGTTCTTTCTGTTTGTTGCTTCTTTCGATCCACACGTCTTCTTCGAGTTACACGGATAGAGGATGAGGCATCACCACAATAACCTATGTATATAAGTGTTTCCACAGTACGAATTGGATCCAGAAGTGTCATGAGGGCCCACTGCAACATGGATAAATCATATGGTAAGATCGTGGGAAGGAATAATATATTTGTGCCGGTAAACAAGGAAAAGTAAACAGTGAAAGAAAGCCGTTCACTATTTCTTCATGAAGTAATCAGGAGTGGTTTCCAATATAATAGTGTTTATTAGAATATCTTCTAAATTTAATTTCTATAATTTAAAGTGGAGAGGGGCTGGATGATGTCAGTTGAAGAGTTCCCAGTTCCATTTTATGATTGGATATACTAAACTATGAGAGAGACAAGGAACAGAGGAGAAGATTCACATACAAAATCATAGCAATCTAAAAATATGTTCAACTCTAGTTCATGTGTTGCAAATTAAGGGTTATTACTAATGGCAATAATGTTTTTCGTCATTTACTTGATGGTGAAGGTGAGAACAAACAGTACATACCAGTGATAAAAACCCATCCAGTGTCAGACCTCCAAGAGCAGTCTTTTCCGCAGCATCCACATACGGAGCTTCATTCCAAGGACTGAATTACAAGTTCAAGAAATAATGAAAAGCCAAAACAACAGCTGCTTTTAACAACAAAAGAAGGCTGGGACAAATATAAACATGTAAATTTGGAGAAATGTAGAAAAGATAAGTCAAAATTGGATCAAAAAGTATATTGGGGTCATCTTAATTTGATCCAGAGCAGAATTATTTCAAATGGGCACTTATCAGCTATACAGTGAGTATAGCTACTTCGGAGCATCTCCAACAAGCAGAAATTTTTTATAATAACAAGTACTGCACTATTTGGAATAGACAAAACAATCAGCATAAAACTAATTCATATAATGAAAGCAATCTTAGACTGCAACTTTGAGGAGAACAATAATGGTTGCAAAAAGGAGAACAAAATGTAACCACACTGCTGTGCATTTGGAGAAGCCAGAGACACATTGTCTCTAGACAACTAATCCAACATTGAGGATGTGTATTTACTTTGAGCGATTATTTAATTTTATGTTAGAAACCAAAGTAAAAACACCCTGAGTTGACCCAGTTACATGACCAAATGCATGAACGTGCATTTTTCCAAGTGAAAATTGCACAAAAGGGTCCTTACTGAGCACGTTGTCATGGGTTGACAGTTAGTCTCATATTTAATATTTTTTTTGTTGGTGTGTCATAAGAAAAGAAGAGTGTCAAGATCATTGTCTTACTTTTCAGGTGCTGTTGAAAACAAATCCTCGAGCTCAGCAGATCGAAGGGCTCCATCCTAAACAGCATTAAGAAAAAAAAGAGATAAAATAAATTAACATTCTAGGTATCATCAGGGAGAACTCATAATAAATTGAGGCATGGATGCAAATGACATCGGATACATTAAAGGTACTATACCACTGAAAATAAAAAAGGATTAATTAGCAATGATTTCTAAGATTGAAGTCAAACTACAACAGTTCAATATTTTGTTGATAATTGTATATAGATCTACTGGTCTTTCAAACTCCACATGTTATAATAGATCATTTTAGTACTAATATCAATTAAAGATGCACTGCTTTGTATTATTATCTGTTCATAATAATTGTTATCATGGAAGAGTACTAATAAAACATCAACTAAAGAACAACACATCTATTTCATTAGACTGAACTATGAATATACAATAAACAAAATTCAAATGATATGATTGCATACACCATCAACATCATAGGTGGTGAAGATTTTCTTGAGAAAATCCAGAGCCTCGGCGGTAAGCTCCACACTCTGCACAAGTGAAAAGCATTAGCGATCCAAACAACAGAGTGTCATTACAAGCACATTAATTTTGGAATAAAGAAACATGGGATGGGGACAAGAAAGTGAATTCCGACTCTCCTGGTCCATGAAAATATGATTGATGGATTGAAGCAAGGAGGATTAATTGCAAAGTTACCTGGTCAGGATATTTCTTTATAGGTGGCGGTAATTGATCATCGCGAAGTCTTATTTCATTGTTATATCCAAATTTCCTTAGGACAGTCCAGGTTGTCTCCAAGCGCCCCTTCTCGATAAAAAGAGCATGGAGAAACAGAAAGCCCGTCAACGTAAGTCCACGATCATCAACACCTTCTCGCAATTTCTCTTGAACTACCCTTTTTACGCCTACTATTTCAGAGGGTTGTAGGGGAGCATTGAAACACTTGACCTGCACATTTAGTTGAAAAGTTCTGTATCACAGGAAATATGTGGAAGTTGGAAGCATGTTACAAACACAAAACACTTGAAAAGGCACCTGAAAATCATTCAACTCAGCATCACTTAGGGCACCATCTCGGTCATGATCACAAAGAATAAAGATCCTTTTTAAAGCCCTCACACACCGAGGTTTCAGAACTTGTTGTTCTTGATCAAATAGTGGAGCAGTTGGATGAAGCACAGCTTTCTGTGCATAGTAGAACACCTCAGGGATCTGCAAAATAAATGTTTTAGAATATATATATATATATATATGTATCAGTACATAAAAAATGGAAACAAGTAAATAAAAATAAATTCCATAACAAATGTTTAACAGATTTATATTTTATAGGATCATTGACCTTAACATGTGAGATGAAGTGCTAGGCTATATATATTAACAGAAGGAAGAAAATATACACACCAAAAGTGAAGCCATGAATGAATCAATTGAATGGGAAAAGAAAAATAATACTACACTTGCTGCATTCAGCAGCCTCATAGATGCTCAAATCAACCATAAATGGCCTTTGTAACTGATTAAGAATAATGGTAAATTATAGAGTCTCGAAAAAACCTGAATATGATTGAGTGCAGAACATTCAATACAAGTTTCGATCTCCCGGAATTGTTGCATTATTGGTGACATAACCTGCTCCAGACTAACAGGCTGTTGATCATTTCTCCTATCCAACATGCAACCCACCACAATCACAGGAACTTTAACCTGTCCAGATATATGCAAGGTAAATAACCTGAGGGAATATTTAGAAAGGCATAACACACTACAGCTCATGGTTTATATTAAACCTATGTACAGATGTATCCAAGTTCCAGAACACATATAGATCTTCAAACAAATAGTGATTTTAGCCCTTATAAAAAGAAAACGGATTCTTAAACCCCTTTACGGTTTCCTGCAAAATACCTCTAATCTCCGGAGTTCCGGAAGCCAATAGGAACTTAATCTTTCAAGAGTTTCTGATCTGTCACACGCATACGTCAGCACAACAGCATCCGCTTTTGTTAGTTCCTCAACAAGTCTGCCTCTATTCTCGGTACTGTACACAAAATTAAATGACAGAACCTCGTCAAAAATTCATCACTGTAGCACACGTGCACGTCTGATAATACGACATAACAGCACTTAATAAGCATTTTGGACATATCGCCGAAAAACAAGTATACTAAATGCTAGTCCAAATAGCAAACTGACAATTTTCTATTTTGGCAGTACATAAATGTTAGCAAGGGAGAATTTTAGGATGTGTTTGTTTGAAGGATTTGTAAAATTCCACTATTTCTACAAAGTTTTCGCCCCAAAAACATAAAATCAAACATTTATTTTTTATATTATACTAAAAAACAATTTTACATTCAAAACATCGCATCAATTCTTATTTATATCACATCATACAACTATTCAAATTCAAAATTTTTACTAATTAAATCCCAACCCCAAATCCCAACCCCCAAACAAACACACCCTAAATATCAATGCCCATTGCCTAAGACTGGAATATCAGGAAAAAGATCCTAGTTTAAAATCTTAAAAACTACATCCGTCTGAGCATAAGCTCCAACACCGTTTCGAAATCATTAACACTAATTGCAGTCAAGTTGACACATGTTTCTTAATTCAACACTGCAGTTTCTGCATCAGTAAATTGTAAAAAAACCCTTCTTATGCATAACTTATTTCTAAGATGCACAGTAATCATAATTATGGATAGTGATTGTCATCCTCATCAACCAACATTTAAACCCTTCTATATATATATATATATATATGTTTGCAAAAATGAACCGCTCAGAGACCTGGACGAAGTATCGATAATGATAAGGGGAACACGGTCCGGGTACAAATCCTCCGGAAGCCTGGTCGGCGGCAGCACCGGAGGAACATTGCTCGGGAAGTTTTCCGCAGCTGCTGTAACTATTAAACTCGACTTTCCCGTCTTGGTGTCGCCCGCAACCACAATCCTCACAGCATTCCCCGCCCCACCAGAAGCCGAAGCACCTCCAGCCATTCCAAACCACCACTGAAATCACTGAATCAAAGAAACAACATGCACCCGGATGTTATTGCACACAACTGCAAGGGCGGGGTGGGCACCAAATTAACATGATTAAACAACTGCAACCTAAAATAAGCTCATAAATCATCCACCGCGAACACATTCCACACACAACACATACACAAGCACATACCTTGCGGAAGAGGATACAACCGAAGGAGCGGTGCAGAGATTGCTGTCTTCTTCGCGACCCTTCTATGCTCTAATTTATTGGTTTCACCGATGCTGAGGGTTTAAAGACGATTCATTCTGACGTTTGAGAAATTAAATAGGCCTATTGGGCCGAATCTTTTTAAAAAGGCCAGGCCCAATAAGTACCATCTTAGGTCCATGTATAAAATCTTCTGCTTGTTGGGCCCATTGATGAAAATCAATGGACTTTTCGATATGATTAAAAAAGTAAGACGAAATGAGAAGGAAAGGAAAGGTCGACGGGAGAAGAATGAGTAAAACCTTGTAGTTGTTGAATATTGCCAAAATCCTACAAAAGCCAAATCCAGAAAGCGTGGACGCTCCTGTGATTCTTGATAATTTGCTTGGTCGTGGGCGATTCTCCTGTTCTTCGTTCAGGTATGATTAATCGTTTTGAGTTTTCCGGATTTATATTTATTGTGGCGTTGTTATTTATGCTGTTTATCTGTTTTACATATTATTGTTTAATTCGAATGCATTTTTGTGGATTGTATTGACCTTTGGTTTTGGTGTCCTGGGCTATAGAAATGTCTGATCCCGCAGCTTATGGCAGCGGTGATTGGAAGATTCCGTCGGTTTTTTGTAGGGGATTTCTCCGATGCCTAAAATTTGTGTGATTAGCGTTTAAATTTTGTTTTTTGGAGTTTAGGTTAGGGAAATTAGAGGCGCTTGCACCATTCTTTATCTGGGCTATATTGTTTTAGATTTTGCACTAAAGTGGCTTTTAGGTTAATTTGCAAGTTCGATGATCATAACTTTGTAAGTGGTGGAGGCATGACGGTTCATTAGATTGTGATTCTTTATGGAAAAATTTCTTATTATATTGTGCTTTCAAAAAAATGGAATAAGGTTACTTGCACTGAGTTCTATGCGTTTATGCTGATGTTGTTCAGGAATTCTTGTGGCTGTAAAATTTGTTCGATTTGGTGGTGGTATTCAGAAGGTGTAAATGGGTGAGCATTTGGCTGTGGATGTGAATGAGCTGGAGAAGTCTGAAGTAGTTGAGTCTAGTTCTCCGGATCCTCAGGCAGTTGGATGTCTTCGAACAGAAAAGAATCCTCAAACAGAGGGGTCCTCATCATCTATGGAGGCTAAAGACGGTAAGTCGGTGGTGTTAGTGGTGGACAGTGAGGAAGCAGATGAGGAGGCACCGTTGATAGGTACAGGTGAGTGCCGCATTTGCCAGGACGAGGATTCTATCACTAATTTGGAGAGTCCTTGTGCTTGCAGTGGGAGTCTTAAGGTGAATGCTTATGTTAATGCACTATTGTATGGGTTTGCGGATATTTGGTGTGTTTTAGCCTATATTATAGTATTGTTATGCATAAGCTTTTATATTATTGAAAAATGAGGTGGAATTGTGCTAGGGGTAAGCGGCAAAGGTTTCAAACTTTTAAATGCTAAAGGAAGAGGATCATTGTGTATATAAGGAGATCTGCAAATTTTTGGGGAAATAGAAACTTTTTTTTTGTTGGGTTTTAATTTTATAGGTTTATCTTTGAGTTCTTCGCTATATTAGGATAGTTTTGATTAATTCACATGTTCTTCTCAAATTATGTTTTGCTTGGTAAAGCTTTTCCCATCTCTCCCACAACATTCACGTGCCTTTGGACATTCATTTGCTCAAACGTTTTGTTTTATTATTTCTCTGAGAATCTATTTTTCTGCAGTATGCCCACAGAAAATGCGTTCAGCACTGGTGCGACGAGAAGGGAGACATTACTTGTGAGATATGCCACCAGGTATATGATTGCTCTTACTTCATGTCCATGGCGATTTGCTAAATATTTGCTTGCCCTGTTAATTTTCTGCATATTGAAATTCATATTTGCAAGATGCCTTTGGTTGATTCCGGGGAAGTTTCGATGCAGACCAGTTATGAAGTGGTATTTCTGTTGATAAAAAACTCAATCTTGCAACATAAAGATATATATAACTTTTCCATTAACGTGACATTAGGAGGGGTGTTTTTCTAAAAAATGTTATAATATGTTATGATATTGACAAATGTCTTTCTTTGTGAGAATTATGAAATAAATGTCTATGATCATATATGAAAAAAAATGAAGGTAGCAGAACCTTTTAGCGGTTTTCACACTCCCATGCTTCCTTGTTTGATTGTCGTCACACCATTTAATACTCGTTAAGAATCGATATGATGCATATTGCACCTGTTTTGCAGTCGTATCAGCCTGGCTATACCGCTGTTCCACGTCCGCCATCCAATGATACTGCCATTGATATTGGGTGAGTTTCCCTGACACTGCAACATTCCCTGTTCCATCATAGTCCATAGAAAAATTTTAATAAATCGTCTGTTTTTACTTTCTAGTGGAGTATGGCAAATCTCTGGTTCACCATTAGATGTGCACAATCCTCGATTTCTTGCGATCGCCGATGCCGAGCGTCAGCTGTTTGAAGCCGACTACGACGATTACAATGGAACTAACAGCAGCGGCGCAGCCCTTTTCCGCTCCACTGCACTGATCGTAAGCTATTTCGACATTCATTAAAGATTAAAGATCGAAGAACACACGATCATTAAATCTCTCGTAATAAAACTTTAAACCCTCTCTCGAATTCATTTTCAGTTAATGGCTCTTCTACTTCTGAGGCATGCGATGACGATCACCGACGGGGGAGACGGAACCGGAAACGGAGATGCAGATGGAGAGGAGGATGCATCGACTTTCTTCTCTGTAAGTTTTGATCTCTGCTGTCACTCTCAACATATTTTATACGACTACGACTTATTACACCGCAATAAATGCAGCTTTTCTTGCTCCGAGCTGTCGGTTTTCTCTTACCCTGCTACATTATGATTTGGGCCATCGGTATAATGCAACGTCGCAGGCAGAGACAGGTATATAAAGCTCTATTACAATTTTTTTTACTTCATCCCACCGAATATCATTGAAACTATCTAACATTCGAACAATAACACCGTTCTTACAATGACTAGGAGGCTGCGGCACTAGCAGCGACGCAGTTTGCATTTGTTGTTCAGTCAGCACAAAGCAGAGGCCTTCTTGTTGCGTCGACTCCGGCAACGGCGACGGCAACGCCTCCACAAGCGACGCCGCCGGAGACTGCTGCGACGCGATCGGAAGATAGTTGATCAAGCTGTATGCCTGCCATTAATCAAGTTCTTGTAATGTGCAGATGAGAAATTAAAGATCAAATGTCTTGAAAGATTGTTGCTTTCTTGTTTTAAGCCTGATTATTACATGTTTGATGTTTGTATACGGTATAAGGTTGTACTATGAGTTCTACATTTGATGCGCAGGTTGTGTGCGCTTTATCAACATCCCTTATAAGTTGGAAATAATTGTTCTGTTCTTTTTTCTGTTGTAAAATTGGGCTTAATGGATCGCTTAAAAATTGATTGATATTTATTTATTATAAATAATAGATAAATCTATTAAAATAATAAGAAAAATAAAAAATAGATGTATGATGTAATATATATATATTTTAAATTTTTGGATAAATAATAAATTTTTGGAAAAATCGCTGAACAAACACTACCTAGTATGAATAAGAAGATGGGTATAGGGGGAGATTGGTTTGGGCCTAACGCTTATTGGGCTGTGTGGTCGCCCCAACAGATAAGAGGACTAAAATAAATCCTGACCGTTGATTGTTTTGTTCTAGAAAGAGAGAAGATCTCAGCCGTGTATTAGTAACAATAGGAAAAATATATGCTGTTAAATACCTCGCCTCGCTCCTGAGAGTCGCCGCTAGGGTTTCTCTTCACCGCCGCTGAAGCCGAATTCGCGATTTGAGAAAAGATGGTTCAACGGCTGACGTACCGGACGAGGCATAGCTATGCCACGAAATCCAATCAACACAGGATCGTGAAGACTCCCGGTAATCTTCTCTTTAGTGAAAAGAATCCGCTGCGGTTGTTTGTGTGCTGAATTTTATGTGATTCGAGATTTCCATTGTTTGGGGATTCCATTTGTGTTGAAATGATTCTGTGATTTGGTTGTGTTTAATCGGTTGATTTTGCTTTTTTGCGTGAAAAATAGGAGGGAAGTTGGTTTACCAGACCACTAAGAAGAGGGCAAGCGGTCCGAAGTGCCCTGTTACTGGCAAGAGGATCCAAGGGGTATGTTGGATAACGTTTTATGTAGCGATTCATCTTCTTTGCTATGTTCTTTTGTTCCTTGATTTGGTGAATATCTGTTTTAGAGTATGTATGTAGTCCCTTTGTTGGATCAGTTCTTAGAATCTATATGTTACTAAATATTGAAAAGCACTAAAGCTCATTCTAATTGCCTGCAGTATGGAAGTGTATGCTCCATTACAGGGATGCTTATTCTTTCAAAATAAAATAATTGCTTGGGTTATGAGTTCAAGTATTTATTTATGTTTGAATTGCTTGATGCAACCTGGACGTTCTTATACTAATAGTAAATGTTTGCCCTAAATACTGCATTACTACTGCGCAAGCAGATGTTGGCAATGGTGCAATTGTAAGATTGATTTGTTGTTAAAATTTTATGGTGGATCATTGGATACTGTATGTCTCCAAAGAAATTAGTTGCTCGGCATTATAGTTAACTGAAGCATTCATTTATTGGGTAGTCTGTTATGGTCATGCCTTTAGTTCTTCCTGTGTCTCTCTGTTTGGTATGATCTTGAATGTCATCTGAAAGTGTAGTTCCAGAAGACAAATTGATTTATGTGGATCCCTGTAATCCTCGAGCATTCTATTCCTGGTGATCTGATTCTGGAGGTTCTTGTTTAAGCAACAGTATTCTCTTGCTAAATTTTCTGGCAGATACTTGCATACTGTATAGATTTCCAAAGAAATTAGTGGCTCGGCATTATAGTTAACTGAAGCATTCATTTATTGGGTAGTCTGGTATGGTCATGCCTTTAGTTCTTCCTGTGGCTTTCCGTTTAGTATGATCTTGAATGCAATCTGAAAGTGTAGTGCCAGACAACAATATATTATGTAGACCACATTGAGTGGCAGTAATCCTTGAGCATTTTAATTTTTACCTGGTGATCTGATCCTGGAATTTCTTGCTTCAATAGTAGTATTATGTTTTACGCTTACAACTGATTAACGTCGTTTTATATGGGCAGATCCCTCATCTTAGACCTGCTGAGTACAAGAGGTCAAGATTACCCAGGAACCGAAGAACTGTCCACCGTGCTTATGGTGGTGTTTTGTCTGGTACTGCTGTGAGGGAAAGGTTGGGGTTTCAATTCATAATTCATATGTTTCTTTGCATAAAAGCTTTCAAATTTGTAATATTTGTTTCTTGGATTTTGAAGGATCATTCGAGCGTTTTTGGTGGAGGAACAAAAGATTGTGAAAAAGGTTTTGAAGATTCAAAAGGCGAAGGAAAAGGCTTCTTCCAAGAGTTAAAGTGGTGAGAGAGTTTTCAAACACCCGATTCGGAGTATGAAGAGTTTGTATTGTGAGGTTTAAAAGCTTTATTACAGTATTTTCCCTGCAATCTTTGAAATATGGCATTTTAATTTTGGGAGTTTCTCTCTGCTTAGTATGTTTTTTTTTTTGTGTTTCTTTAGCTCTTATCTTGCAACTCATTGATAGGACCCTTTCATGCAATTTTGAAATTTTACTTTCACTATATAATCGTTTTGGTCATGACTACCCTTCCCTTTAATTGATCTGTTTATTTATTTAAAATTTTCACTTTGTTGTCCTCGAAGATTATCTATTGACTGCCTCAATCAGTTTTTACCTCACATGCTTTAATGGTGATTAAATCAACAAATATGATCAAATTTTGTGAGAGAATATTTGCATTTGGTCAATTTTGAATCCTAAAATTATCAAATCAAGTTTTTACCTAACCTCATTATTGCACTTTCTATTTGACCCAAAGAAACTATATTATATATACGTTTTTAAACAGACATAAAAAAAAAATTCGAACAGTTTGCAGTAATAAAGAAGGATTCTGTCACTTAGGCTGTTTAGATATATTACACACATATATATATGTATATATATTTGAAGGTTCTGTTGTCATTATCTGAATATATTACTTGAATTTTGTTTAGATATATACAAATATACATGTAAATAGATATATGTATATATATTTGAAGGTTCTGTTGTCATTATCTGAATATATTATTTAAATTAAAATTTAAGTAATAGTCAAATAAAAATCAAATAAGCTTTTTATCTGAAATATATATACAAAAAATTTCATTATATATTATTTTAATATTAAATTTCAACTAAAGTTTTTAAAATCCAATCAAAAGAAAACAACTTAACAAATTAATCATCAAAAACAAACCCAAGATTGTAAAAGCATTCATATTGGTCCGACATAGAGCTGTAAACGAGCCGAACAGAGTCGAGTTTGTCATGTTTGAGCTCGATTCGTGTTTGTTCGTTAAGATATATGAGTTGAAATTTTTGTTTGAGCTCGGCTCGATTAACAATTCTTTTGTTTGTATTCGGCTCGATTCGGTTCGTTAAGAGAAATTTTATTTTATTTATTTAATTTTTAAAAAAATTAAATTTAGTTAATAATAATTATAATTTTTATTAATAAATTTGAATAAAAAATAGAATGAAATATAATATTTATAAAGATATATATACTTATTAAATATAAAATTATTAATTTAATTTTTTTAATAAATACTATCAAACGTTTGCAAATAACCTCGAGCTCGTTTGTGAACATAACGAGCTAAAATTTATGTCGTGTTCGGCTCGTTTAGCTTAACAAACGAGCTCTTAGCAAGCTCAAACGAACCGAATCGAACCGAGCGGAGCTCGCTAACAAAAAAAAAGAAAAAAGAGAAAAGCTCTTATCTGAATATGCCCTAATATCCTCCAATTTGCCTTTCAAAGTACAATAGAGGTTTCAATAACTCTAATTTTTAAATACATACATGCTGCTTCTTTATCTTATATATATATATATATATATATTGATGATTTCTTGATTTTGTGCAATAATAAAAATCTATATTTAAGGTTAGATGAAAAAACAAATGCAAGAATATCAAACTTCATTACAACAAGAATCAATCCAAAAAAAAAATGAAAAAACCTTAACATGCCTATCATCTATTGCAATTAATTAAACTCGATTTGCAGACATGCATCACCCAAACCATAATGAGCCATATAAAAGAGACCAAACTGCAAGATCCTCTATGTGATCAATTTCCTGTCCCTTTACTAAGGTTGCCTCTTCTGTTCCCTGTCCATGATTGTTCACTAATTCCATGTTGTCTTCCGACGCCATCGAAAACACGTAATCGTATCGATCAAGAGGCATGCCAAACTCAACACTACTGTCTGATCCATTTCCAGGGTTTCCCAACACAGAGTTAGACATGTCCAGTAGCAATGAGGAAGCATCATTTACGACGCGCTTTTCGGGTCGGGGTTTTTTATTATTGTCCGAATTCGAGCTAGTCGATTTCGGAGAGAAGCTACCAAAGATTGAGTGATGCATGTCTGAATGATTATTATAAATTATCTCAACATCATTGCCATTATTAAGGTTAGGGTTTTTGATGTTTGAAGCATCAAGAATTGGTGTAACCACAAATCCCCTTTGTGCTCGAGAGTTTGCTTTCTTGAATATCCTGCAAATTGCCCATGCTTCCTAAGAATACACAGAAAATAAATAAATTAATAAATAAATGTTTAAATTACAAATTATATATATATATGAGACTATTAGAGTAGTGATTAGGGATAGTCAACATTGATTAGCCCTAATTAGCACATTAAATAAGAGATATAACATATTTTGTTCATCATTTTTTTTTTCTTTTAGTAACATGACCGGATGAATATTATTACTAAAAAAAAATAAAAAAATGTCTACATTCACATCATATATATGTATATTTATTATTCATAAAAATTAATAATTCAACATAAAATGTTGTTTTTTACTCCCTTCATGCAGTAAAATTAGACCACTTGGGTCTGGCACGGAGATTGAAAGACGAACACTTTAGTGAAAAAGTGATAGTAGTTGAGAATATTTTTGAAAATTTAATTAGAAATTAAAGTAAGTGAAGAGATACTGTAATAAAATTAATTAACTGTATTTGTTGTAAATAAGTGTAGTAATAATTAAACATTAGATTTGTTGACTTTGTCAAAATTAGTAATGAGATAAATATAACCGACTGACTAAAAAAGAAAGTGTAATAAATTTGGTCAACAGAAAGAGTATTTTAAAGTCATTATTTTCTATACTTAATAGTATAAAAAAATAATATAACCCCAAAAGTGCTAAGTGCATACACTAGTTTCAAATTTTTATACACTGTTTGTTTGAATATATATATATATATTTCATATGCTGAAAGTGTAGTGTATTGTGTAAACTATTATCATATGATGTTAATTTATATATTGTATTTATATTAAGAATCATATATTAATAATGATTAATATTTTACGTGATGCGGTGTGCTATCAACATTATATATATATATATATATACTTACATTTGGAGGATTGATGTAATCTTTGTGTGAGGAAGTAGAAGGAAGTCTGAATTCATGCATCATCCAATCTGTCTTGATTCCCTTTGCAGCTCTACCTTTGTAAAAGACAAGAGACTTCTTCAACCCAATGCACATTTTTGAGCCCTGAGAAGAGTAGATTGGCCTGTCAGTTCCGGTGGCTTTCCAAAACCCGGCTCCGGTCACGCGATTCGGCCGCGGGCTGTTTCGATATTTCCTGTCCCTCGGACAGTAGAAGTACCACTCTTTTTCTCCACTTACAGCCATTTCTGGACATACATATCATATGTAATTCCAATCAGACGAGAAATATATATAGAGTAAACTGATTTTTTTTAGTCCCATAATTAGAAATATATATATATGTAATAATTCTTATAATTGAAGGTTATCTTAAAATAAGTCTCGTAAGTAAATTTTTTTTGTATATTTAATTCCCCAGAGCGCCGGATAACTGGTATCCGTCATGTCAGAGTCACCTGGCGGATACATGAATAATCTTTATTGTTTTAGTAGAAATACCACTCTTTCTCTCCACTTACAGCCATTTATGGACATGCATATGTATGCAATAATCAGACAATAAATAAATACAGCTGTTTTTTTAGTCTCATAATTGCACCATTTATTATTTTAAACATGTAACTAGAGGTTATCTTAAAATAAGTCTTGTAAGTAGAAATTTTGCGCCCATTTAGTCATTCGTAGTCAGAGATGCATGTGTGGCATGCCGGAGGACAATTGTTCGCCAGTTGGATAATTTTTATATTTTTTTAAGGACTAAATGTGCAAAAAAATAATTCTAATTGTGGAACTATTTTAAGACGCTCTCTAGTTATAGAATTAAAAATAAACTATAAAAATTATTCATGTGTCCGCTAGGCGGCTCTGAGTTGGCGAACACGTGTCCTTCAGTGTGCCACGTAGGCATCTCCGGTGCCGGAGGACTAAATATACGAAATTTTTTTTACTTACGAGACTATTTTAATACAGTCACTAATTACGAGACTAAAATTATAAAATGGTAAAAAAAAAAAAAAAAAAAAAAGGACAATTTACCAATAAATATATAACCTTAAAAAACTCTAATTTAGTGTATATATATATGTGTGTGTGTGTGTGTAAAATGATCATCAATTAATGAATTACTTGGAAGGTCCCAAGGATCGTATTTGTAGATGTCGAGCTGTCTTATGAGCTGAATTGAAAGAGCTTTGTGTTGGATCTTCCTCCTTAGGTAAAACCCTACAAGTTCTTCATCTGTCGGATGGAATCTGAACCCTGGCAGCAGCAGCTCATCGTCATCATCACAGTATTCTTCAATATTTAATCTTCCTTCTTCTTCTTCCATATTCTTACAATGTAAGGAGATAGTTATATGTTCTAGAAAAGAGAAACTTGTAATGACCAATCTGATTAATAGAGGACTTAATTTATTCGATCTGCAACAAATTGCTCAAAACCCTCGACAGGAGTTAAAACCAGAGAGGCAAAGAGGAAGACGAAGATGAAGGGAGCAGTGATCAGTTAGTAATATATATATATACTATATATGGAGGCAGGCAGGCAGGCAGGCAAGAAGCATTCGTGGATTCCGAGGAGCGAAGGATCAGCCGCCTTTTCTGGCGGTGACTTTAATTTTCACAGTATGATTTTGAATTCCTCTCATGCCTGTGTTCATATATATATATATATGCATATATATCAAGAAAACCCTAAGTCAAGAAGAAAGTACATATTTGTAAGATTGTATATATATATATATATATGTTAATGTACTGCGAATTAATAAGTAATCTTCTGATTAATTGAAATTAGTTTCGACAAAATAAGCTTCCAACTGGTTCCAAGTTTATCAATAATTAATATATATATTATTGAGTTTGTGTGTGTAGTTTGGGGACAAAAAAACCAACTCCCAATGAGAAAGTCTCAATATATATATATATAGTTAATTAATTATAATAATTAATATATGTGAAATTCTAAAACAGCTGCTGCTGCCACTATCTTCTATTCCAATATATATTCCTCATTAACCTTCTATTCCCACTGACTTGTCAGAATTTGACTTATAAACTAGTTTATTATCACAAAATGTTTAATTATTTTAAGCTTACAGTCTCTCTCTCTCTCTCTCTCTCTCTCTCTCTCTCATATTATATATATCTCTATATATAATTACTATAAAATCTCATTTCAAGATTATAATGAATTTAATTAGCTGCCATTCCTATATTCAAAAGAAAGGCTCCACAAGTCATCTCTTGACAGTAATTACATATATATATATATGTATACATTAATCTTGTGTTCAAATAAGACATATGTTTAATTTGGATCTTTCCCAAAATTTATAGACAGGTTTAAGATTTGATTTTTTCAGCTGTTTGGGAAGCAGAAGTCAATTTTCTTGGATGTTGTAGCCCCTTTCTGGCTTTGGAAATCCAGGAGGGCATTCATGGATTTCCCCAAATATATATATATATATATATATTTTCTTGTTTCTTGAGAAGCAATTATGCAATCCCTGTTTTAATTTCTCATCATAAAAGTTTGAGTTTTTTCTTGCAAAACTTTGAAATTTCAACCAATATTTAAATCTTGTTTTCTCGTACCAAAGTAGCTTTCCCCCAATTCCATGTCTTGAATTTGGATGGCAAGAAATTAAAGCTGAGTGATGAGTTATAACCCTAAATTAAATGTGGTATGAATGAATACTTTTATATAGATATTATATATTTGTACGAGTCAAATGCAAAATCTTGTTTAATTAAATAATTAATTTAATGAGGGCAAACCCCAAGAATCCTAACCCTCGTTTGGAGCCTTTCTTGTCTTGTAATTTGACTTGCATGGATTTTGCTTCCCAACCGTGCAATCTCAATCAATGTGTCCATATTCATATTGCATTCTACTTAGCCTTCCTATATAAATTCTGAAAATTTTCAGAATAATAAAAAGTTACTACTCCCTCCGTCCCAAAAGAATTGTCTTATTTTTTTATTTTTGTTCGTCCCAAAACAATTGTCTTGTCGTCCCCACTTTATAACAAAATTATTCATACTTTTTCATACTATCCATAATTATTACTCTAACAAACTCTTTAAAATTGTTCAAAAAAACAATGGCATTTTAGTCATTTACATTCTATTTTATCATATTAGTATCTAATATGATATTCTTTTTGTTGGAAAAGTTTATGCAATTTTTATTGGACACATATACTAAAAAGTAATAATGTTATATTGCTACACATAGTTCGCCTAGTATGACTGGCATGTCAAGCCTAATTTGAAGAGTATTAAATTCAGTCGAGGATTTACCCGGATAACGACTGCGGATTCCTGCATCATAAAAAAAAAATAATAATAATAATGTTATAATGCTAAACCAATATAAAAAAAATATAGACATAATTTTAACTCAAGGAGAAAGTATTTTGCGAGAAAAATACATATATATTTGGTGTAATATTTTTTAAATTTATTGTCGATAAATAGCACTCCCGTCTCCAAAAAAAATAAATAAATTACCTATTTGTGTACTTTTGATTACCTTTTCTTTTTAATAAAAGTATAAAAATATTTTAGGAAACAAACCAAAAAGAAAAATAAGTCCAACAGAGGAAGTATTATAAAATATTAAAAAATGTCTATAAACAGAATTTAATACTCTCTTCCTCGTATCTCCCCAAGCATCCTATGCCTCACTTGTAAGAAATCACATCAACTAACAAGTCAAACACACCCCATAAATAAATAAATAAATAAATTTTTTTGAAGAAAAGAAAATTGCTTGATTGCACGCACACAGTACATGTGGATTCAGAGAAGAGGTAGGAAAGGAAAGATTGTAATGTTAGGACATGTATAAACATATATATATATATGTATGTATTGTTTCTTTCAAAGATTTATTACCAGCATATGGAGGAGCTAAAATTGCACAAGTTTCAAACCTTAAGGAAACCAACGTAATAATAAAGGTAGTCAAAACAAGATCTCTATTTGCACACAACTAAACTTCTCCAACATGTTCCTCAACAATTTAAATTTAAATATCACATTCTTGAGATTCAAATTCCTAACAATGACACTTTTATAACAGATACAGATCATACTCTGCAACAGTTGTTAAATTAGATTTACAAAATGGTTGCAGCAGTGTTTATGTCTGATCTTTTCGATCATATCATCAATAAGCTTGTAATAATTCCTTGATATCGTACCCTTGGAGCTGCAGAGACAACAGCCATGGCCAGCAATCTTAATTATTGTCTACGGCATTCAGTAATTAAACTCAGTACAACATTGTTCGAAGGAGACGATTACCTGAAGGAAGGTGAGGAGCAAGATAACTCCCGAGTTCCAAAAGGCGTGAATCGTGATGGGTGTCAGAAGGTTACGCGTTTGGGCGTAAGAAAACCCCAACGCAATTCCTACATAGTCAAAGCATAACTTATGTAATAAAAGGTATTAGACATTCGCAATCTACTATCTGCTTAAAAATTTACTCTTTTTATTTCTGTAACTTCATTTTACTTGAACGTAAATTATATAACACCCCTATGTGAGTAGAAATGCATAAAACACTTTATGTTTTATTTATTTCGTAAAATCCCATTATGTTAATGTAAATTTTGCACGGAATACCCTCCTTGTGCAAAATTGATGTTTGATTTTAAATAAAGACCTAAATTACCGAAGTTTATCTTAAATAATATTTTAATAAAATAAATAAATAAATAATTGATCAATCATTTACTTTTATAGTAATTGTAAAAAATCAGATAACAATTTATCTCGATAAAAACTATAAAATAAATGATTAATTAATCATTACTTATTTATTTTAAAATTTTTATTGAAGATATTTTACATTTTTTATTTGTATAAAACTTGAGTAATTTAGGTCTTTATTTATAACCAAACATCAAACATCAGTTCTAGACAAAAGTTTTAGACAAAGAGAGTGTTTCGTGGAAACTTTACATTGACACAAGAGAATTTCACACAATAAATAAAACACAAGGTGTTTTGTGCATTTTTACTAAAACACATGAGTATTATATAATTTACCCTTTTACGTATATAAAATTTTAAGTCGATAAGTTACCAAGAACAAACAGCTGAGGAAATTCTCCGGGAGTGAGGTGTGCTACTGCAAATACAGCAGCACTAAGAAGTACGGCGAGCGGCGTCGGCAACCTGCCAGAAATTGGTAAACAACAATCAGTAAAATAAACTCGAACAGTCTAACTAACATCTTGTCAAAACTACTGCCAATGGACCTTATTAAAATTCACAGAGCCATTAAAGCACGACGAATAATTATAAACCAGACAAAGATGCGTAAAAGAATACCATTTGGTCAGCGAGACCATGAAAAACCCTCTAAATACAGTTTCCTCGAGGATTGGAGCAAGCACCCCTGTAATGCCCACCAAGCAGGCGGTGCTGCATTTGAAATTTAAACCCATTCAGCAAAATACCACAGCCGAAAGGTAATAAAATTTGAAGGTCTTAGGAAGTGAAACCTGATGGCTGAAGATCCGATCAATGGAAGTAAGCGGACAAGGGCATCTGTCTGTATCGAATTGAAAGATATAAATACAATCATTGAATACCCAAACAAATTTACGACTAGTAATGCCCAAACCTATATTCAAACCTCTCTCTGTGGTGTTTCACCGCTGAAAAAAGATAATGCAAATCCTGTCAATGCAATAGCAGCTAGAGCTCCACCAAGACCGACTCCAGCCCATAACAACCAACCTTTCTGAAGATTGAAAGGCTCCCTCCAATCTGAATCACAGATTGATTTATAAATCAGCCAGGGTTGACCGTCTCTCTATGAAATTTACACTCGTAAAATACTCTTTTAAGTAATTACTCATCACTGTAACAAAAGTGCCCAACATCCAAATATGCAGCAAACTAGTATGCATAACTAGCACTTCACAAGGCGCCCATGTATATAGAAACAATAAAGCATCATGTATGTACTTCTGAATTCATATTTAGGGATGTAATTTCCTTGCAGAAATGATGCATATAAATATGTTCATTACCGTATTGATATATATCGTCTGGAAGGGGAGAAAATGACTTTGTCAGACTGTAGAGTACTGCAAGAACCACTGTAGTTGCAATGCTACAAGAGAGGGCGGATCAAAGTAAGGGTAATGTATACGTGTGAAAAGTCTCGGGCTAGAGGTGATACTAAAAACCAGAGCAAAACTAAAGCTGAAAATGATTCTTAGTTTCTCACCCTTGGTCTAAAAACAGAATTTCAGCCTTTTGATCCAAACTCAGCTCTTCCACTTTAAGGCCCGAGTATTGTAATGCTACTGCCTCAATCAGTCCTGTCAAAACAAAACTGTCTGAAGACCTAATTAGATTTTCCAAGAAAATCAGACTTTAACCAAAACAAGAAAAAGAACATAATACGCCAGTAAATAGAACTCAACTCTTACATACATGACCTAAGGCCTCCCATTTTCATGGCTAATCCCAACACTATTTTGATCTTGCATAATTAGTCGGAATTTATTCTACGTTGCAATGTAGGACAATACATGACTAAATGCACCTCAATCCACATGCAAGTGAAGTCAGAGAGATTGTCTGCCAATTCCAGGGAACTTCCCATCGTTTCAATACTGGCCAATTTAATCCCTTATCCTGTAAAAGCACAGTCAAAACCACACAGATATACAATCACCTGAATTTTACACAATATAGCAATGAAAAGGAAATGGAATTGAAATGAAATTATGAGATGGAAGTTCAAATGGCCTTATATTGAAACTGTTAATGAAAGGGCTTTCAAACTAAGCTCCCATGGAGTTAAATCCTTTATGATTTCAGGTTTGCATCTCCATTCTATAAATCAAGTGTCCTATTGAACCTGATTGTCGTCCAAGTCTCTCAATATCAAACAATTTTATCTCAAATGAAAAGTTATGGCTACTATCAATCACTAAATCCAATTATGTAAACAGTAAATTCCTGTTCACCTGATCAAGTATAAATGGCCCCAGGAAAATTTCAATACCCTTCTCTCCCCCCTTTTCCAAAAATTAAATGCAAGCAGAGAGCTTACTTTTGTAGCAGATTCTTCAGGCGTATTGTCCTTGTAACAGCGAATGCTACAGAGCCCCCGCTTGCTGGTCACTCGAAGCTTCAGAGGACGTGTTAATGGCAGAAACTGGAGTCCGGGAGACACTTTGAATCGGATTCTAAACGGGGAGAAAAGCTTCGGCGAACTAGACAGACGAGTCAACGACGAAACCGTAACCGATGTGTACAACGTTAATACCATTTTCAGGGATCAAAATGGATTCCCAATTTCAGTCCGACACGAACGGGTTTTCATACAGCAGCGAATTCGTAGAGGATAAGATCAGATTTCCGCCAAATCGCCTGAAATTTGCACGAAAATGGGGAAAGCAGTAAAGATTACACGATGGTTTCCGTTCCCAGAAACCTATGGTGGGTAGAAATTTTGCCCAATTCTTAGAATATTCGAGAAACTGATATATCGATGGGCCCAAAAGTAACAAATGGGCCGAGACGGCCCAGAAAGTTTAATGCACCGATTGATGTACAATGTTCGCTCCATAAGGTACAACTGAATTTGCAAAAATGGACAGATGGTCAATTGCATTAAAACCTATCCAAATGGAATATATCTATTTGATGATGACTTGAAAATAATAATAATAAATAAAAATACATGTATTTATAGAACAATGAAATTAATACAATTATGGCAACGTGGCATTTAATTCAAGCCTATATACTAATTATTTAAATTTAGTTTGGAACATATTTGATAACACGGTACAACTAGGACACTAGATCCTGGTGGACCATGAACACATCAATTGCAAATTTGAATGGATCCTGACCGTTGATCGGAGGATGTCAACGCGTTAACGTCAAATCAATCAACGGCGGGGATCCAATGATGTTCGTAGGCCGACAATCATGATTGTGTGTCGCGTCAGTCTTGGTCCGTGTGGGCTCAAACCACGACTTTATCACGATTGTGCTAGAGTCGCTAGAACAAAAGTTCTTTTTTTTTTATTTAATTATTATTATTAAAAAAAATGCAAAAATCTGATGAATATCGAACAAATATTTAATAAATAGTTGTTTTATTTGAAATTTGTAATAAGAGAAAAATAAAATAAAATCAGTCGATTTAGGGCAACTAGTGGCATGGGTAGGCTTGTTCAATCGGTTCGAGATAAAATCAAAACACAATTGTCTCAATTATGGTTTCGTCTCGTTTTTTGATGGAAAAAATATCTGGTTTGGACTATCTATTTATATATATATATATATATATATTAATTTGATTTTATTCAAAAATTGCAAATTTTAATTTTGAATATATTTAGGTATGTATTTATTTTTTTTGTAAAAAAATATTAAATGACAATTCAAATATAAAGTTAAGAGTTGTTTTCTTTTATATATATATATAATTTTAGAGTTAAATGTATTTAAATAAATATTATGAATTTGATCTTTCTAACATTTTCAATTAAAATGAATATTGTTTATTTTTACATTTTTTAACAAAAGTATACTACTATTTGTTTTTAAAAACGTCGTAATAAAATATTATTTAAATAAAAATTTAAATTTAACGCTTAATCTCAAATAAGTTTTAATTTACAATCGAACAAATTATATACTTTATCCGTATTATAAGAAAGATATCTTTTTTATTTTAAATCTAAGGTATTATTTAGTATCTATCTAAAATAATTAATATCATTGCAATTTTCAATATATGATATTATATCACACAATCTAATATGACATTGTTATTTTTTTTTTTTCAATAAAAATCCATATAATACTAATATTGAAAAAAAATATGTACAAAAAGCAAATGAGACTGATTTTATGGAAAGAATTTAATATATTTTTTTGACAATGATAATTTAATAAGAATTTATTAGATTAACATAATAAATTTAATAAATAATTAAATTAAAAAAATTAATATTTCTCTATTCATCAAATATATATGTTTATTTTGATTGAACATGAATTTTAATGGATATTATCTATTTTGAAAAATATACTAATGAGTTAATAAAAAGAGAAAAAAAAGTATAAATTAAATGTATATATAATTGTGGTATTTTTATAAATAAATATAATTTTATGATATAAATTAAGAAATACGTGAGAATTATTTAAAATTTTCATTTTTTGTAAGACAAAAGGAAAAAAAACATAAATTTGGTAGAAGGATAAATTATAAAAAAATATTGATCTATTGAAAAAAATATACTATTTTTTTTTTCTCACAAAAAATATTATATTAATTTTTTTTAACCAATTATAAAAAAATATTGATCTATTGAAAAAAATATACTAATTTTTTTTTTTCACAAAATATATTATATTAATTTTTTTAAACCAAACTCAAAGAAATACACTCATATTTCCTATAATATTACTCCTTTTTTTTTTTCTCAAAAGAAAAAACGAAAAAAGAATGGATGATCGAAACCGAACGATCTTGATTCAATTGCGATTCCGGTTTGAATCGGAACAGAAGGTTCAAAATTGGCGAACCGGCCGGTTCGGAAGCGATTGGGTCAAGCCTACTTGTGAGTTGTGGGTGGGTGTACATATTTGATGTTCGTGTTCCCCATGAGAGAAAGTTTCCATTTTTCCATGATTAGCGCATTAAATATCATGTAAATAAATTAAGACCAAGATCTATTTGCCGTACGACGTGTTGGAGAGGGGTCTGCGTGGTGCCTGCATCTATTCTATATAATTGATGTATTTGTAATTGTATTCTCCTCCATGTGGCTAAAAGCGGGGCGCATTGAATTCTTCTGCATCACAGCATTGGGAGAGATCCCGGGGTGTCTAGCGGGTAGGTGAGCAAGGGTTAGGATCTTCGATCGTTGTCAGCCGGATCTGTTTGTTATTGGGCGATTTCGGAGTGCAGGCGATAGGATTGCGAGGCGGGCTTTCCAGATCGTTAAATTAGGGTTCGGTACGTATGTGATTTGACGCTTTTAACTTGATTTGTCTACTTAAAAATGGAAAAAAAAAGAGAAATTTTGGTATTGTTTTGCATTTAGTGGCGTTGATGTGTTGTTTTTGTACTGCTTTCTTTTTAATGGCCTGAATAAGAACTAATAATCGAGTGAATTTGACGCCGGATGTTCGAATCTAGTTGGAGTATGACTCGATTTGTTTAATGTTTTGTCTTTTTAAGGAAACCGATAATTGGAATCTTGCATAGATTGAGTATTGATGAAGGGATTTTGGCGTGATCTTGCTATGTTCTGTTGGTGGATCTAATTTTTTATTCCTTTGTACGAACGATGATGGTCTGGTTGGTTGAATCTGTAAGAACATCTGTATTTGAACTACAAAAGCTGAATGCTTGATGTTTTAGCTTCTTAGGTCTGCTCTTGTTCTATTTGTGAATGATTGGTATTTGGTAATACGATGTTAGATCTAATTTGTCCACTGCTTTCTTCGTCAGTTGCTCGGAGATGGATCCAATATGGAATTAAATGGGAAAAATATTATCTGTATAATTAATGAATTTGCATATTCATGTATTTGAGCAACACTTTTGTTAAGAACAGACAAAGAAGGAGAAAGGGCAGTGCCCATTGATCATTTAGGATCAGCTAATTCTTAGTCCAAATTTTTTGCAGGCCTGCAATGGCGAACAAATTTGGCAGTGGGGACAACAGGACGAGGAGTTCTGTGTCTATTTTCATAGTAGCTGGTTTGTGCTGTTTCTTCTATCTGCTCGGGGCATGGCAGAGGAGTGGTTTTGGAAAGGGGGACAGCATAGCACTGGAGATGACCAAGAGTGGAGAAAACTGCAACATTCTTCCAAATCTCAATTTCGAAACCCATCATGGGGGTGAAGCTGGGGTGATCGACGAGTCTGATACTGAGGTGAAGGTGTACGAGCCATGCCAGCCTCAGTACATTGATTATACGCCATGCCAAGACCAAGGGCGAGCAATGACTTTTCCAAGAGATAATATGATCTATCGTGAGAGGCACTGCCCTTCTCAAGAAGAGAAGCTCCATTGCCTTATCCCAGCTCCTCAGGGATATGTAACCCCCTTCCCATGGCCTAAAAGTCGGGATTATGTGCCCTATGCCAATGCTCCGTACAAAAGCCTGACAGTGGAGAAGGCAATTCAGAACTGGATTCAGTATGAAGGCAATGTGTTCCGATTTCCAGGTGGAGGAACACAGTTTCCTCAGGGGGCTGATAAGTACATTGATCAGCTGGCTTCGGTTCTACCAATTGAAAATGGAACTGTGCGGACTGCGCTGGATACTGGTTGTGGGGTACGTTGAAAAGCCTATATTAAAATCTTTCCAGTAACTTCGGCAATTTTCTATTAAGTTCCGAGTGTTTGCATTTGTTAAACATCTTCTTGTTGTAGGTTGCTAGTTGGGGTGCATATCTGTGGAGTAGAAATGTTATAGCAATGTCTTTTGCACCTCGGGATTCACATGAAGCCCAAGTCCAATTTGCCCTTGAAAGGGGCTTGCCTGCTGTAATTGGCGTTCTTGGAACAATAAAAATGCCGTACCCTTCTAGAGCCTTTGACGTGGCACATTGTTCCCGCTGTCTTATACCATGGGGAGTAAATGGTAATAATCAAATTTTCAGTGTCATTTTTGTTTCTACTTTCTGGTTTTTCATTGAGCTATACTTTCTAATTGCAGATGGTCTATACATGAAGGAGGTTGATCGTGTGCTTAGACCCGGTGGCTACTGGGTGCTTTCAGGTCCTCCAATCAATTGGAAGACTAACTTCAAGGCATGGCAACGCCCTAAGGAAGAACTTCAGGAAGAACAAAGAAAGATCGAAGAGGTAGCCGAGCTTCTCTGCTGGGAGAAGAAATCCGAAAAAGGTGAAATTGCTATATGGCAAAAGACCATGGATTCTGCTTCTTGTCTTTCCAAACAACAAAGCTCTGGCGCACCAATCTGCAAATCTGAAGATGCTGATGACGTCTGGTGTGGATTTTAATAGTCGTGTTGATTTCAATAATAAAGTGTTTCTGGTGACGTCATACCTAAAACTTTTTCATACTTATTTTGGTCAGGTACGGGAAAATGGAGGCCTGCATCACTCCATACAAGGCTAATGGCGATGTTTCTAGTGAGATTCTCAAACCATTCCCCGAGAGGCTGAATTCAGTTCCTCCAAGAATCGCTAATGGTGCTGTTTCTGGAGTTTCGGTTGAGGCATATCAGGAAGACAATAAGCAATGGAAGAAACACGTCAGTGCTTACAGAAAGATTAATAAGCTTATCGACACTGGAAGGTACCGCAACATCATGGATATGAACGCAGGGTTGGGAGGTTTTGCTGCTGCACTTAATTCTCCAAAATTTTGGGTTATGAATGTCATGCCCACGATTGCGGAAAAAAATACTCTCGGTGTTATTTATGAACGAGGACTGATTGGAATCTATCACGACTGGTATCTTTCTAACTCACTACTACTATTCTTTTTGCTTAATTAGATCGCTCAACTTGACAATAAAGATTGTGGGTTGGATTGATATCTGATTTAGATCTCCGAGCTAAGATATGACATGGGATTCACAAGATTTCATTTTTAACTTAGAAAATTGGTTTTTTCAGATTAAGATTTTTGGTTTTTATTTGTTTTGCTTGTTTGGATTAGGTGTGAAGCCTTCTCTACATATCCGAGGACGTACGACCTCCTTCATGCAAATGGTCTTTTTAGCTTATACAAGGACAAGTAAGTATACATTATCCCTTTCGTCATCTGATCTATACTATTCTCTCCGTTCGAGCTTTTAATGCCTTTTCGTCTGGGTATGAATATTGAGAAATTATAGTATTTTTAGATAAAAGGTAAAACAGATGTATTATGAGAAATTTAGTAAATAGTTGATAAAAAAATAGTGGAGCAAGTAGAAGAATAGTGTCAAATTGATTATTATTTGTTAGAGTAGAAATAATAAAATTGCGAGTGGATAAAGTGTTTTTACTATAACTGCATTGTACATAAATTTAGTGGACAATCAAACAAGAAAAACTGGCATAATTGTCCCGAACGTACAGAGTAATTCCTTCGAATGTACGTTGTAATATTGGCAATGATAGATTTACACACTCGCTACACGGGATAATTTAGAAAATTTCCACTTTTTTAATGTAATGAAGCAAATATGAGATATTGCGACCAATGTTATGAAACAATGCGGAATGTATTTATTGCGAAATTTGTTTCGTGTAAGAATGATTGGGAAGCTAATAGCTGTGTTATGCTGATATCATGTGTTGTTAGAACATGTCGAATGTGTTGCAAGATAACATAATGAATAATGGTCCGACTACTTGTCCAGGTGTGATTACGAAGACATTTTGTTAGAAATGGACCGAATCCTGCGGCCAGAAGGTGCAGTTATTCTCCGGGATCAAGTCGACGTGCTTGTCAAGGTCAAGAAAATGATTGCAGGCATGAGATGGGACTCCAAACTAATGGATCACGAAGACGGCCCTCTCGTCCCGGAGAAAATACTCGTCGCTGTAAAGCAATATTGGGTCAGCAATTCCACTTCCGCCCAGTGATAAGACCCGGAAAAACACGAATGCTCCCGTCGCTACTTCCGAGCGGCAATCGTTCGATTCCCTTATAATATTATTTACTCCCCCGGAAACATCCGGAAGACGGGTTTTGCCCGGCGATTAGCTTGCCACGGAACGACGACGGTATTGGGACGACGGTGATGATTCCAGCTTACTTAGCCATGGATACTGCAGTAAGTTATAGATTGTTTTATCTTTACTGTAACTTTAGTGTTACCATCGCCATTATTATTGTTTCTTTCTTTTGGTTTTTTGGGAAAACAGAACATTTTTAAGTGTTATTTGTTGGTAAGTTATCATTTTGTCAATCTCTCTCATATAAACACTTCTGAGAAAACAATGTGAATCATGTCTTTTCCCGACAGCGGGTTTGAATGGTCTTACCAATTACCATGTCGACATTTTTGGTGGATTGTATTGTACTGAGAGATGGTTTGTGAATGAAGATGGTGGGTGGGAATTCATTTCAGAAGCCCCATTTGTGATGATCAAGAAATGGCAAGAAACTAAATTTATTACAACAAAATTATGATGATCAAGAAAAGACACATCCCTTTGGCAAGAACCTAAATTTATTACAACAATGAACAGAAAAACCACTGTGGAGTTAAGAAAGGAGACAAGATTGATGTCAAATTCACAGCAACAATGTACACTACACTAGGCTCAAATTCATTGCCAAAAGTTGTTTGTTTGGTGATCATGTGGCCATTCCTGAAAAGGGCTACTGTGGGTTATATTTGTTTTTATTTTTATTTTATTTTCTTTGTCTGAAAATGGATAGCAAAGCCAGACCACATGCAGGCATTGGCATTGCAGAATGTAATGATGATGGGGCTCAGCAGCAGGGAGGTGATTCTTGGGAGGTGACGGGACCTCCAACTCCCACACCAATCCGGCCATTCATTAGTCATTACATGATTGGGAGCTGGGTGCACCGGGAGCTCCTGAGAATGGAGGCCTTGGTGATGGTGGAGGCCGTTGTTATTGCTGTTGGTGACGATGATGATCCATTTTCAAATATTTATACCAAAATTAATTAATTAATTAATGTTGTAAAGTGATGAATTGGTGCAGATATGACAAGAGCTTTAGTGTAATCAATAATTAGAAGTCCATAAAAGCAGAAAGCAACAAGGTAGGGAATAAGGATACATGTGGTTATTAGTCCTAACTCCACTCAAAATCCAAAATTACTATTTCTTAGTTCGTTACGAAATTATTTACTTGAAGAATAATAAATTCAGGTTTCATGTCATAAGAAAAAAAAAAAATTACTTCTTGCATCTATACAGTTTATGAAAAAATAATCTAAATTGAACATGAATTTTGATAAATATATTACTAGATTAATTTATTGTCATATAAAATAATATATTTTGAAAAATATGCAAAGGAATTAATGAAGTAATTTTTTATTTTTTTTTAAAAAAAATTAAATGTAAAAATAGTAATAACATGATATAAATAAAGATAAAAATACATATCTTTTTATTAAAAAAAATGGGAAAGAAACATAAGTTTAGTGGATACGGATGGGGTCTCAATTCGTGTTTTTGGGTGGTGTTCGTGTCGGGTTGAGCCATGGAAATAACAAAAAAATTGTCAATCTGAACCCGACCTGAATCCGAAATTTGACCTGAAACTCTAGACCCGAACACGACACAAATTCTTTCAGATCGGGTTCAGGTTGACCTGAATTAGTTTCAGGTCACCCGAAACCCGAACAAATCCGATACGAACTCGACACGAAACAGACCAGGAAATTTAAAAAAAATAAATTGACCTAAAAAATATCATTTTTGTTTTAATTTTTATATTATTTTATATTTAAAATATTATAAATTAAAATAATAATAAAAAAAAAAATTCAGATCAACCCGAAACACGAAATCCAAAACCTAACCTGATTTTTATATTTCAGGTTATTAAGTCAACCCAAAACACGACCCAAACACGACACGAATTTTTTTCGTTTCAGATTCGAATCGACCCAATTTTTTTCAAACCCGAACCTGAAAAATTTCAAGTCGAACGGGTTCGATTTTACGGGTCGGGTTTACTTTAACACCCCTAGATATGTGTATCATTTATTGAGCCGAAAAAGGTGGCTGAGTTAGTATTATAGGACGATGGATGACTTTTTCGAATAATACTAATACGGAGTACTTTTTTTAGTTGAATATGTCATACAAAATTTACCAATTTGGGAATTGGATTTTAAATATATTATTCATCAAATTTTTTCTTTCAAAAAGATATCAAACCATAACACTTATTTTTCATTTTTTTATATTATATTAAAAATTTATTTTACATTCAAAACATCAAATCAACACCTATTATATCGCATCATACAACTATTTAAATTCAAAATTTGTACTATTCAAATCTCAATTCAAAATTCAAATCCAAAAACAAATACAACCCTAGTATGTTATTGTATTCGTGTCAAATTTACCGAGGGCATTCAAAAGGTATACATTATTAAAAAATTTAATCATTAGTCAAATTTATACTTAATTTATACTCCCTCCATCCATTTACAAGGGTTACATTTACTTTTGGTGCGGTATTTAAGAAATAATAGTATTTTAACTATAGTGAGTAGTTAAAAGTAGTGTAAATAATGTGATGTAAAGTAAAAGTATTTATAGAAAAAAATAAGATATTTAATGAAATGTAAACTTTGTAATTGGACGTTCAAAACAGAAACATGTAAACTTTGTAAGCGGACGGAGAGAGTATTTAATTTTGTTTGTCAAACTAATATGCAAATATAAATTAATTCTTCTACATACATTTTTTCTAAAAATATTAATATATTATACACATTCATTATCTTCACAATTATTTGTACTTTAACATAAATAAATACTGATTCAAATTATTTTACAAATCAAACACACATTCATTTCAATATTATTTATACTTAAATGCACAATAATAATTTTGTTACTATACTTACACAATTATTAATGTATATACTCCTATTTTTATTTTATTTTAAATACTTTTTCTATTCTTAAAATTTTTTCCAATTCGTTATCTATAGATTTAACTAAATAATGAATTTAATACCACCTGAACTTTCAAATATATTCATATAAATAAATAAATAATCTTTGCAGCATAACTTCTCCCTCAAAGCTGATTCACTTTTCTATCCATGGCCGCAAAAATGTCTACTCCTGCAATAATCTTGACTTCCTCGTCCATGTCCATTTCAGATCCGCCGGAATTCAAGAAGAAACCTTTATTCCCGGCGGACTTGGGTGGCGCCGCCGCCGCCGCCGCCGAAGAAACCTTCGTCCTCAAATTAGGACTTCCCACCTTAAACGTCGACAACAACGTTTTTCTTCAAAAAAACGCCCCCGTCGTCGATGATCCAGAAATCGACGTTTTTGATGCCCAGAAATATTTCAACGACGGATTTAAGATCAATCGAAGCCCCAAAAAAATCGATCCCAACGAATTGCCGAATGATCGTCCCTGTAAGAACGACGGTCCGCCAGCGCCGCCGATGAAAATTCCGACACTGAGAAGTATCCGGTCAGAATCGAGCACCAACAGCCGGAGCGCGCTGTTGTTTAGCAATCCGAGGAATTTTCCGACGAGGAAATCCGTCGGAAAGGGCTTTCTTTCAAGCATTGTCTGCAATTGTTCTTGTACTGACCGGAATTCCGTCGACGTTGATGATTTTAGCGACGGCGCCGCCGCCGCCGCCGCCGTCAGGAAGACTGTAAAAATGGAGGAAGGAAGAGTGGGGAAGAAACTCAGCGTGATGTCGTCTTGGCGAGAAATTTCAGAAGGTTTCAAAATTCCTTCAAGTGAAATTAAAGACGGCGGCGGCGGCGAAGACAGCGACGGCAGCTCCGACTTGTTCGAGATTGAAAGTGTGTGCGGCGGCGGCGGCGGGGGGAGATCTTTGCTTTCCAGGCAGGCTTCCGACGGCCTGTCGGGTTGTTACGCGCCGAGTGAAGCGAGTATAGAGTGGAGCGTCGTCACGGCCAGCGCCGCCGATTTCTCCGTCGTGTCGGAATCGGAGGAGTTAAGATTCGGCGGCGCCGGCGATAGAGTCATGATTCGGAAAGATCGTGATCAGAATTCGAAAATGAGCTCGTTCCCCAAATTACGTCCCGCCATTCTTTCCGGCTGTAAGAGTCAGAAAGCTGTGAGCGTTGCCGGAGATGCGCACAGGGCTAATAGTATGCTTCACAAGAAAACGAAGGCGCCGGCGCCGGCGGTATCTCCGGCGACAGGATATCGTGATATTAATGAGAATAAATTGGGAGTATTATGTGCAAAAATCAGGCCTCAATCATTGGACATGACCACTGCTGGACGTGTTCTTCCTCCACAAAATTCGTCGTATAATTATTTAATTAATTAATTAATCTCTGTTGGGTTAATGATGTTTGATTAATGTTGTTGTTGTTTCTTTTAATATATATAAAATTAATTATATGTTTGTCTTATTTGCAGAATCAATTTTGGGTGTGTTTATTGTCAAGTTTTACACCTGATTTTACTATTTCAATTTTTTTTTCTTTCAAAAACATCAAATCAAACACTTAATTTTTATTTATTTTATTACATTAAAATTTAATTTTACATTCAAAACACCGCATATTTATATCATATCAAACAACTATTTCAATTCAAAATTTTACTATTCAAAATAAAAAATTAAAACTAAAATCTCACAATTAAACACACCTTTTGTAATAAATCGATCCATTACTTAAACTGATGATTATATATATAATTTGGATCGAATCAATGTGTAAAGACAGTAGATGATGATTGTGATGATCCATGTGGTTTGGCAGGCAACATTAAATTAATTAAGACAATGGTCGCCTGGCCATGTCTAACACTTGCAGGTAATATGAAGATGAAGATGAATATCAATGCTATATATATATAGATAGACGCGTTTAGGACACATCAGTGACATGTTAATTTGATCACAAACTAACTTGAAATAATTATCAAATCATTACACAAGAGGTACTATATTACTAAATTAACACCTTATTATGAAACAACTAACAAATCTCACAAGACAGATAATATATGTTATATTATATAATGTGTTATATATTATATAAATATTTATTATTTTTTATATAGATATTTGCTGACCAGATTAAATCACTATACAAAAATATTAAAAACTGCCAGGAGACGTTCGACTCAAGGCACATCATCACAACCACCCAATCCACTTCACCGTCTAACCGGGCTCTAATACCACTGTTGGGACTGAGTCCAGTCAATACTAGTATGATATTGTCCATTTTGGGCTGAGTCCGCACGGATTTGTTTTTGGATATCCTCCAAAAGGCCTCGTACTAGTGGAGTTCATTCGGGACTTATAAGGTGTGAAATTTTCTTCGTAACTTCCGATGTGGGACTTGGGTTTGCACCCCAACAACTTTGTTATGAGACAGACTAAAATAAAAAAATAAATAATTTGTTATGGGACGAAAGAATATTTAGAGTGTGTTTGTTTGGGGGTTTGGATTTTGAGTTGGGATTTGAATAGTAAAAATTTTGAATTTGAATAGTTGTATAATGTGATATAAATAGGTATTGATGTGATGTTTTGAATGTAAAATTGATTTTTAGTATAATATATATATATAAAAAAATAGATGTTTAATTTGATGTTTTTGGGGGAAAAAAATTGAATGAATAATAGAAATCTAATTAAATCCCCCAAACAAACACACCCTTAGAATATATTGTTGAGCTATTCCCACAATACTAATTACAATTAATTAGTATTATAACCACCGTCGTATATATTATATTGATAACTGGACTTCTCGCGGAAATAATTAATTAGTAATAAATAAATAAATAATAGAGAATGTCTTTGTCTTCAATTAACAACAATATGCATCCATAACCACCCTATTAATATATCATAATTAATAAGTATACCAACCAACCACCTAATACGAAAATAAATGTGTATATTTAATTAACATATATATATATATAATTAACATAGCAGCTGCATGCAACTAATGAAGCTAAGATAAGATCACAGTGGAACCACAAAGTAATGAAAAGTGTTGGCATTGGGATTTGTTTTTAAATATTCTCCAAAACCGTGGAGTTATCTTGCAACTTATAAGGTGTGAAATTTTCTTCACAGCGCTCTGATACCACCGTTGGGATTGGGTCAACTCAACACTAATATGATATTGTCCGTTTGGGCTGAGCTGAGCCTGGAGTTCACTTAAGACTTATAAAATGTGAAATTTTCTTCACAACTTTCGATGTAGGACTTGGGTTTGCACCCAACAAAAAGTGCACAAGCGACGTATCTCAATTAATTAATTTAGGTACAATAGGTCCACAAGAAAATTAATTAAATTTATAGATATCAAGCCATGTCGTTTTCATTTCTAAAAACCTTAACTATATATTTAATTATTGATCTATTGGAGAAATTGATTTATAATGCAATCACTTGGATTTTGAAAATAATTAAAATTTGAATAGATACTTAATCTATTATTTTAAATTTAAAAAATATATTTAATATGATATTTTTTGCCAATAAAATAAAATAAAAATAGAATTGTGTGAACCAAAACTATACTAAATGGGATTCCCTTCAAAAATTGTGACAAATTGCAACTAATTTCTTGGCTACAAACATCTATTTTAGCAATTATATATATATATATATAAATAAATTAATTAATACTCCCTCTGTCCCACATAATTTGTCTCTATTTTTTATTTTCGTCCGTCCTACATAATTTGTCCTTTCATTTTTTGAAAAATTAATTATACACTTTAATCATATTTTAAAATTTAAAATTTAATTTTTTTAATCTTAATTAAACTATCTAGTTATCTTAATCTTAATCTATAATTATTTTTATTAAATAATAATTATTTTTACTAATATATTTCTTAATTATTTACTAATTATACTTTACCTAAATTATCGTGTCTACAATAATACACTCATATTAGATGGGACGGATGGAGTACATATATAATTAAATTGACAGATAATAAATATGATAATGATTTATGAAAGCTGATATTGATCAAGAGATATGACTGAAAGCTAATCATTAATGTGTTAGTCACTATTGTTGTAAGGATTACTTCAATAACTACACACCTATTGATATCCAAAAAGAATGTGATATTTATACTCTCACTGTAGAGGTATTTAAATATTTATTTTAAACTAGATTTTTTATTTTATTTTTTTCTTACACTATAAATTAATAATTGAACTGGGTCTCCTTTTTATTTTTTTTTTTATCTATCTGTTTTTAAATTAATAATTTTGTTCTTTATTAGCTTAAATTTGATACTATTATTTTCATATTTTGCTATCATGTACATATTGATAGCACTGTTTGATTGTGATTTAAAATTGATTTGAAATTGAGTGTTGATTGAATTTTTATTTAAATAAAATTTTGATATATTTTTTGAAATATATATATATTTATTTATTAAAAATCATAGAATAAATAGTGTTACTTTTAGTTTTAAATCACAACTAAACATTACTAGTGAATACATAATCCTTATATCTTTAATTGTTTTGAATAACTACATGGAGACTAAATATAATTTAAAATAAGATTTAAATTAATTTAACATAATCCATGAAAAATGAAATATATATATATATATTCAAAAATAGACAAACTAAAATTAAACTAATTAAATTAATGGAGGAAAGGAAATGTTGATTTACAAATAGAAGGATTAAAATTTAAACACATATATATATGCTGTACAATAGGCCCAGGCCCATTATTTTAAATAGGCCGAACCACCACCATTTAATCTTGTGCTATTGATCCAATTTTTTAATTAATATTTAAATCAAATATTTGATTTTTATTATTTTTTATTATCAAAAAATAATTTTAATTTAAAATACTAACTACATCAAATATAATGAGGATAGCTACATTTGAGTTTGAAGTTTGGAAAAATTTTATATTGAAATGTAGTATTTGATATTCTATTCATATTAAATAATTTATCAATTTATAATTTTATTATTTCTATTTTAATAGTATATAACGATTAATTTTTATTAATTATTTAATAATTTTCTCGTAGTATCTCATTTTATTTTTTTTTATATCCTATTTTTATATTAAAATTCTAATATTATTTATTAGTCTTCATATCCGAGAAAAACGTAACATAAAAAGCTAGACTGAGTTTGTATTTGAAAAGATAATTTGAATATATATTCATTTTTTTTTTGTAATATACTTAGATGAATGTTGATATTTGATTTAATATATATATATATATATTAAAAATGATAATTTGAAGAAAAAAATAAAAAAATCAGACATAAAAGAAAATGTGTTTGTAGTTATACTTTTTTAGATGAATTGTTTTGTGAAATATAAAGTGTATTCACCCAAATTTAAAAATAGCTACACCATTTTTAAAAATAAAATATTATTAAAAAATATAGTATATACATAGTTATAACAAATATGTATAATACTACTATAAAATTTATACACATTCACATTCAATAATTAAATACGTAATATTATTTTATATTTTCATGTCTAACATAAAAAAAAAATAACTACAACTAAAAGTACTAGACAAATATACCTATAAAAAATTGTAAAAATATTATAAGAGTTAGTTTTGTTTTTTTTTTGTATTTTTTTTTACTTTTATTTTATTTTTATTTTTTTCTGATTTTTCTACCATATCTATACATTGTATTTTATTTATAAGATATTACTATATACTATCAAATTTAAATCAAAATTTTTTATTTTTCATTCATTTTAGTTTATTTAAATCAAAATTTTTAAAAATATAATTTTCAACTAAATATCAAAATGTATATTTTTTTTACTTTATTACATTATATATCTATAAAATACTAAAAAATTTTAATTAGTGGAAAAATCAAATGAAATTTTTTACCATGAAGTGTATTTTTTAGGTTGATTTGAAAAGGAAAAATAAATAAATTTAAATTTAAATAATATTCGATAAAATTTTAAAATACGTATATTTTTTAAAATATACAGAATCCAAATTAATAAAATTAAAATAATATTTCTCTAAAAAAAAAAATAACACGCACACACACCTTAGAAAACGCTTATCTCGCGCACTTTTATTGAGAAAAAGAAAAAGTTTTTTTCATAAAAAAAAAAATCTGATTTTTCGTCAACCAATCCACTTTTAAGGTTAAAAGGCAACACAAAAACAAAAAGATAAATTTAACCCTCACCTAATTACACAATTTTACCGTCGACTGTTTCTTCACTAAAATCCAAATCCCCAACTTTACCCCTATTCAAAACTGTTCTTCCCACCACCCAAACCGCCAATCCCACCACTGCAAAACACGCGGCGGCGCCACCGCCCCAATAGGCCAACGCCGCCGCCGCCTCCTTTCTGCGCCAATCACCTCCCTCCTTCCACGCGCCACCACAATTGCCACCTGTCACCGATTCTCCGGCGGCCGCAGTCCGCAATTTTCCACGGTAAATTTCCTCCGTGCTGTAACGGACAATGCACGCCCCGACAATTTCACGGCCGCCGTTTCTGCCGCCGCAGTGGAGCTGAACCTTCTCGGCGGCGCTCCGGACGCACCGGCCGCAGTCTCCGGTGGAAAGCGATCGCGCGCACTCGACGACGCCGTAGATTTCGCCGCCGGCGGAACCGTACGGAATGTGTCCCTGCGAGAATCCCCGGCGGGAGGGGAGGTTAACGTCGGCTGTGAGTATGAGAAGTAGGGTTTCCAGGGCAGGTTCGAATCGGCCCGGGTCTGGGTTATTGGGCGGGTCGGAGCATGAATGGCGGGTTGCGGGTGCGGATTCGGGTGGAGACGACGTCGTATCGGAGATCTTGAGGTAGCAGCCGTCGAACCAGGCGGAGACGGCGGAGGGGTTGGGGCAGAGGGCGGAGATTGCGGCGCGAGCTGTTTCTGCGCAGAGGGTGCATTCTGGCGGGCCGAGCCCGGGCCGGCATTGCATGAGGCCCGTATAAGGTTGGGAGGTTGAGGTTGCGAGGAGGTCGGAGGTGGTCGGAGTGGATGATGTGAGGTTTGCAAGAAGGGTTTGGATTTTAGGGTTAGGGTTTGTTTGTTTGCAGTCGAGGGAGAGGAGAGGAGGAGGAGTGAGAGTAAGGGCTTGTTTGGAGAGCGAAAATGTAGAGAAGAAGAGGAGGTAAAAGATGTTGGAGGAGAAAGAGAGCTGAAAATCCATAGTAACAGATAGTGAATGAATCATCTTTCTCCCTCTAGTATATATATAGAGAGAGAGAGAGCATTTTATGTATTAGTTCACTTTTAAAGTTATGCTATCTAATAAAAATAATAATCCAGACATCACATAATCAATTTATATTGACCTTTTCCGACCAATTAATATTAAAAATATTTTTATATTTATATAATATTTATATAAATATCATTATATCTGTATTATAAGACACTAATAAAAAAAATATTCGATTTTGATATAATAATTAATAAAAATCAACATGTAAAAAATAATGTCTAATATTCTAAATGGACTGAGGAAGTATTTGTTAAATTATACTCCTTCCTATCCAATTTAAATTTTTTTTCACTATCCATTATAAATTATAATAAAAATAATTATATTTAAATACTATTTTTATTTAACGATAAAATAATATTTTTATTTTTTAATTTATTAAAAATATACTTTAATATAAGACATTTTAAAGTAGAATTATAATACATATATTATTTTAATGGATTATATAATTACACGTTATATAATTCAATGTTTATGTTTAGTAGGATTGATTATTGTATAAAATTATCTATTTTGTTTAAAATACCTTAATTAAATTATAAAATTAATAGTAAATTAGGCATACTGAAACTTAATTACCCGACTCGACGGCCACTTATAATCACATGGCTATGCTATTGTTGGTCATTGGCATTGTCCGGACATTGCTTTTAACATGAAAAATGTTTTTTTTATTAGTTGTCACTTAAATTTTTTTTAAAAAAAACAAAATATACTATTATTTGTACTTTTTTTTGTCATAAAAAATAAAAAGTAACAAAAAAGTATACGTTCACATTAAATTTCATGTTCAATAGTTTAAGCACATTTTATGTAAAGGAGGGAGTATTCTCCATACGTATTGAATCCGGTTAGTTGTTAAATTTTGTTTTTATCTTCTATTTAAATAATAATTTAAATATAATATACTGCAAAAAAAAATAAAAATAAAAATCGAAGCATATTTTCTAATAATAATAAATCATAATAACCAAACGAACAAAATTTCTATGAGAGCCGAGACATGCATGCGAACAACCACCAAATTAAATATATCATATATATTGAAATAAAAAATAAATAAAATGTATCATACATAAATTGGTAGGTTTCACAGTGAAAAATAATTTACTTGTTATTTTACACTCATCATTTATTACTGCAAACCCAAACACGGTGGCCACTAAATTAATTAATTACTTACTGAAATTAACCGGACACAATTAAATAAACCATCAGTGCGGAATCTTCTGGGCTGGGCCCAAATAAATGTAAACGCCATTCGGCCCATGAGTCATGAATCCGTACTTTCTGCTGAAGTTATTTTACTCTTTACTTTAGTATTAATTGGTATAGTTTGATTATATGTTCAACAAAATCAGAGTGGCGCAGCGGAAGCGTGGTGGGCCCATAACCCACAGGTCCCAGGATCGAAACCTGGCTCTGATATACTTTCTTATTTTTTCTTTTAAAATTTTGATTGTTGGATTAGTATTTATTTATAATTCAGCTGTGTCCATCAAGAATGACTTGTTCCAAATATACAGTACAGTACGTATGAACAACGGTCAATTTCATCTACATTCGATTAGATCTTTGAAACCCTAAAAAAATCGAACAAGATTGACTTACTTACATCAACCCAGAAATCGAAATTTGATTTTGCTTAAAGATTGATCAAACCCTTGTACATATATATATATATATATTTCTTTACTTGGGTGGAACCCTAATTCATAGCATGTATATATACTGACTGCATATATTGATACAACAGAATTACAAGATTAAAATTCATCAAGAAAAAAATAATAAAATAAATATAAATTGCCGGAATCTTCATTCACGACTGACTACCTGCTGCAACATGACGGCCATCGCCGCCTCCTGAGCTTTGCCCGCCGGCCTGACCCTCCACGCCGGCCGGAATTGATCTGAGGACGTTGAAAGCAGCAAGCATACCTAAATGCCCATCCACCGCTGCCCCGCCGCCGCCATTGCCCTGCCCGGGAAAATTCGCCGTCGGATGATTCAGCAGATTCAATCCTCGACTAACCGCCATACTCTCTCCGTACAAGCTCGAATAGTTCCCCGCCGGAGGGGAATTCCAAAGAGATTCACCGATCAGATAATTATTCCCTTGATTGGTTTGATTTGCAGCCACCATGAGAAGCGCCGTCGCCGGAATCTGACCTAATTGGCTCGCCGGAATCGATCCTGCACTGCGCTGCATCATATAATTCCCCACCGGAGTTTGGTTTCCGGTGGCGATACTTTCCTCCGGCCGCCGCTTCGGCATACCCTCCTCCTCTTCTCCGGCGGCCGCCGTCTCATTCAATTTCCGCTTCACATTCACATTTCCAATCGCCGCCGCCGGACATTCTGGATACAAAACCCTTCCCTGCGGCGAGTCCTCCCACCGACGATCAGCCCTAATTCGAAACTCCGGCGGAGCCAGCAAGCTCTGGCGGAGGTAATTATCATTCGCAAAATGGACGGGAGCGGAGAACGTCGAGCCGGAGCTCCGGGCAGACAAATTAAGCGAAGTGAAGTTAGCCGGAATAGTTCCGGTGCCGGTGGCTGCGATCACCGCCGGCTCCGCCTGCTGGAGGAGCCACTCGATGGTTTCGCCGTCGGACTTGTGACCCAACTCTCGAGTGAGCTGGAAAACCCTGGCGGCGCAGGCGACGGGCATCCTGATCCGGCGGCCGCGGCCGTCGACCTTAGTGTGCCGGTCCTTGGTGGAGGTTCTCTTCGCCGGCGGCTTCTTGATGGGCTGCGAAGAAGATTCCGGCGCATTGACAACGAAATTGGAGGTGGAATTGGGATTAGGGTTTGGTTTGTCCAAAAGCTGTAAAGGGAAATCATCAGCTGCCCTGTCGGGAGTGGTTTGGTTGCCATAGCCGTTATGGTCCATAACTGTAATAAGTAATATTTGCTGGGATGGTGGGGGGCGGGGTTGAGGTAACTCTACTCTACTCTACTCTACCAGATGTAGCTAGCTATAGGATATCTGCAGATGACCCTGATCGATCTTGTTTTCCAGTCAAACTGGTGGGACTCTCTCTCTCTCTCTCTATATATATATGTATGTATCTTTTCTTGATTTTGAATGGAATGGAATGGATAGCTAGATGGGGTTTGGTGTTTTTTTTTTTTTTTTGCTCAGGCAGATGGGGAAGAAGAGATGGATAGAGAGAGAGAGAGAGTGAGTGAGTGTTAGCTTTAAGCAACAAAGACAATGAGTGGGAATTGAAATGAATTGAATTGATGAAATGATATGAGAAATGGGTGGTGGGCTATGTTTATAAGCAACCAATCTTTCTTTATGTAAAGGGAAAATACACAACACCTTCTTTTTCCCTCTCCCACACTTTTAAATTAATTAATTCTTTATAAATATAATATATATATATATATATATTTGAATAGAAAATATAATACATATATATATATATAAGTAAATTGAACGAGGATTTTTTTATCGTGTTATTGATGTTTGGTAATTCTAATGATTAACATGCATATCTATTTTTGAATATTAAAATATTTTCTTAGCACTTGATCCCAATTTATCTTAAAATCTAGGGTTTGTGGCCACTTTCACAACATATATATGTCAATAATTATTTAGGGTGGAAAGGTGAAGTTTGTAATTTGAGTTTAAAGACTTTACATAGAAAATTAAATAATACTCCCTCCCTCCCATAAATATAATTTTAATTAAGTTTTATATGAGATTTAAAAAATATTAATATTATATTGATAGTCGATAAAAAATATGAATAAAAGATTTTTTTGCCTTTGTGAGTGTATTAGTGTAAAAAATAGTGGCAATTGTGTAATAAAAATAAAAAAGTAGGAGTAATTTTATGGTGATATTGTTATTTATGAAAATAAAACTATTATTTTAAAACGAACAAAAATAATAAATAAGACTATTGTATTAGAAGTACGTAAAATATTTTAAGTAACTAGACACTACAAAAAAATAATATATTTGTAACGGAATTTCGTCCCTAAAGTTCACGTAGCTAACGTAATTCCATTCCTAATTCCGTCTCTGATGTCATTAGTAACGGAAAAAGTAGATTTAAAGACAAAAAAATTTTGTTACAAAAATGATTTTTTCTTGTAGTGAGATATTAAATTAGTCTATATATAATTGGAATTAAAAAAAAAAAAATTAGTTTGAAAGGTAGAACAAACACAACCTTTCATTGTGGAGGGACAAGTGATTGATTCAGAGTCCACGTGCAGTGTTTTTCCTCATTCAATTTATGAAGAGACAGTGGAGGGGCACCAAGAAACTGGATTGGGGGCCCTACCCCTACCCCCATAAATAAATCAATAAATTAATTAATTCAAACAAAAAATATGAAATTGTTTTTTTAAGAAAAAAAATTATAAATATATATAGAATGGTGATTTTATTCCTGCAATCATTGTCTCGTTTTAACTTTTTTTTTTTTTTTCTTTATAGATATATATATATATATATTAATTATTGAGGGGTTTCAAAGGTAGATTAAATATATATATATATAGAGAAATTCCATGTGAATGAATGCTTCTGCATGCAGGTAAGTCATTAGAAAAATTGATTTCATATTAATTGATGTATGGAATATTTCAAAAAGTAGAAAAATAAATAAATAGAATTAGTCTAATTTGGAACTTTATTAATAATCAAGAATCAAGTATTATTATAGATATTCTGCTCACAATATATAATCCATTTTAATGACCTAGCTAATTAAGATTCCGAGGAATCTTTAAAGGGACAAAAGTTATGATTAATTAATTATATATAAAAATATATCTAAAGAAAGTAATGGGATTAGTTAGTTTTGTTTAAGATTATATTCTACATATGATTAAAATTATACTATTAATTATGTCAAATGATCGATGATAATCACGATGATAAAGTAGTTTGCTTGTAGATAGAGAGCAAGACAATCATCGTCTAGATTTTTTTATTTTATATATATATATATATAAATAAAAAAAATAATAATACTATATATTATGGGGATTCTAATAATATTATACCACAATAATTAGGGTTCCCACCATCACACCTCAACAACCAACTAGCTAGATAATATATACATATATATATATATATTTGTATTTGTGTATGAAAGAGAGACATAGTTAATTAATTAATTAATTATATAATGTATTTTAACTAATATTGTTATATGTCATTTGATTTATTTTTTATAATTTAATTGTACTTAAAATGAATCGGTGATAAAAAAATAAAAAATAAAAAATAAAAAAGAGTTGTTCTTCACCTTTACAAACAAGGGGAGCTTTCATTCTTTTTCAAATGTGAGACACATCAGTACTTTAAACATAAACATTCAATAAATTTATAATACAATTTATTATATTTATTTGTTCCTTTTTTAATTTTATTATTATACAATTTCATTTTTATCTTTTATTTTTGCAAAAATATTATTTCATTTGTATGTTTCAATAACATTTGCAATAATTCAGGGGTTCAATATTATAGATATTCTATATGATTTAACTCAATGTATACACGCATAAATAGATTTATACATACTCCATCCGTCTCAATACAATAATTTTGTTTACCATTTTTTGTTCGTTCCAAAACAATAGTCTCATTTCCATAATTAACTATATCATTATAAAATTACCGTTACTTTTACATTATTATTACATAATTATCACTACTTTTTACACTAATACACTCACAAGGGCAAAAAAGTCTTTTACCCGTACTTTTTATTTACTATCAATATAATATTAATATTTCTTAAATTTTGTGCAAAATACAATCCAAACTATAATTTTGGAGCGGATGAAATATAAAATAATTTGAAATTATTACAAGAAATGGTGGAATGATTAATTTGTATAGTGGCGGTGGTGTACAAATTAAAATAAAAAATATATATAGAGAGAAGAACCAACCAGGTGGAAGAGATTATTTAAGACGACAAGACATTTATTTGATCTGTCCTAACATATATCAGTTGGTCATGTTGCGTCACCTTACTTCCGATAATTTAGTGGTATGAGAAAGAATTTGTAACTGTGATGTTACAAATTTAAATCCTCAATATTTTAAAATTTTATCTGACATATATACTTCGTTTAATATAACTTGCAATTTGAGATTTAATCAGAGCCCATTCAAAAAATTACAATCCTGAATTTTCGTATCACTACAATAAAATATTATTTTTGTAACGAAATTTTTTCGTCTTTAAATTCACTTTTTCCGTTACTAATTATATTAGAGACGGAATTAATGATGAAATTACGTTAACTACGTAATCTTTAGTGACGGAATTCCGTTACAAATATACTATTTTTTTGTAGTGTGTCGTAAAAAATAAAATAAAATAAAATAAACATCACAATATATATATAATTAATTAAGTTATTAATAATTGAAATAGTCAAAACTTCTGCTTACAAGCATCAATTATATAGGAAGAAAAATAATAATCAAAAGCCTCAATATTAGTTATTTATTTAAATTTATAGTACTATACAATAAAATTTCCCGACAATCTTGGCTTCAATTTTCTTTCCTAAATTATCCCAACCTCAAAAAGTCATCATGCACTCACCTAGTACCCAAGTACACCCACCCACTTGTACATAGAGGGTGTTTTGAAATTTATTAATTTTTGCATATCATAATTATTGAATATGATTTTTTATATAATATATATATATATATATTGAAATTGAAATGGATGAAATTACATTAAAAATTTTTTATAAAAGAATGAAACCATACAAATTTGTTATTAATATATATGGCTAGGCGTAATTATATTCTTTGAATCGTTCAAAAGTATTTTCTTTTGTTTTACCTTTTTTCTAGTAAAAATATTTTTTTTTATTTTTTTATTTTTATTGTAAATAGAAAAAAACAGTTATTATCTATTTATATTAAAACTTGTGTCTAAAAATATGAAATGCATTTTGACAACAGGAAAGTATATATTTTCACAAAAATTTTCTAACATATTTTTCCAAAAATTACACACATTTATTATTTTTATATTACATACATAATTTTTTATACATTATATAAAAAATAAATAAATAAATAAACCAAAACAACCACACCCACACATCCTCACCAATTTTTTACAATTTTCAAATTTCCAAAAATCTCCATACAAATGAAATCTATATTTTGAATAAAAAAAATAAATTTTATAATATTTTAAATAATACCTCCTCCGTCCCAGATATCATGTCCACGTTGCCGTTTCTGTCCGTCCCACATACCATGTCATTTTTTTTTTTTGGAAAATGATTATACATTTTAATCTCATTTTAAATTTTTTTTATAAAAATTTTAATTAAACTAATTAGTTATCTTAATCTTAATTTATAATTATTTATATTATAGGATAATTATTTTTACTAATATATTCTTAATTATCTATCTAGATTCAAGGAGGGACAAAGTAATAAATTACTATGTGAGAAACAAATCCAATCCTCATACAATCATAACCATGTCAATTTTTATTGTTCTGGAGGTCTTGCTTTGATCCTATATATACTTTTTTTTTTTTCCCATAAACTATCAAATTAAATATTTATATTTTTTTATATATTATTATATTTAAAATATCATATTTAACATCTAAATTTATTTTACTTCAAATATCTATTATTATAATATCCAAAACCTAATCACAATTCCTGTCAATTTGTCACGTAGTGAATTTGGAATAGTTATGATATATTATCACATTATATATATGTATATATTAATATATTATATATGAATGTAAATGTATGTATATAGTATGGATGTATTTATGGGGTGTCATGCTTCGTCCTACATGGGTTGACGAAGATAGCTTACCATCTCATTTATTTCTCATCATTTAATATATATATATATATATATATGATATCATATTGCCCTTGTTTGAATATTATCGTTGTATTTTGAATTATTGGTTTCTTTTTTTCTCTTCTTAATTAATAATTGTATTAAAAAAAAGGAAATAAAAATAAAATATCCTTCCACAATATATTATAAAAATAAAATAAAAAAAATGATTAATTAATTCAAAATATTACATAGTCAATATATATTTATATCATATTAAATAATTAATTATTTAATATTCAAATCTCAAACAAATACATTGTAGGAATATTCTAAGAGAATAAGTCCCAGCCATTTATCATTTGAGCACTGTTAAAATATATTTAGAAGTAATTTATTATAATTCTGATAGTTATCTTATTTAAGAGATCCGTAGAATTATAGTCTTAATTATTTAGATGATTTGTATACCTCTATAAATATGTACGCATTCTTATGATTGAAATAGAAAATTTCAGTTTTATATTTTAACATGGTATCAGAGCAAAATTTTCTCCGGATACATCCAGGACCCGTTATATCCTATATATATTTTTATATTTTATTGATATATCTGCTTCTATTCACAATAATGCTGTTATTTTCATGTCGTCTTCATCTCTACTACTCCACTGACAGAATCTACTTTCGACTCCCGTTGAAAGTTATGTTTTCGATTCTAACTCTATTGAGAGCGAGAGAGTCATGTTTCCGACTCTAACTCTGTTGTGAGCGAGCGAGTCTTGTTTCTAACTCTAGCTCTATAGAGTAAGCAAGTCCTATTTTTTACTCTAGTTCCGTTGTGAGCGAAACAATGTTGAGAGTTCTGTTTCTGATTCTGATCCAGTGGACGACTACATCACTTTCAGTCAATCTTGGTGAATTCAAATTTGTACGTGGAAGATATCGGCTATATCATTTTGGTCATTTTTTACAAACTCAAATTTGTTCGATCATATTTTGACTTTGAGAATGGGTGTTAAAATATATTATATTTATGATAGTTATCTTATTTAAGAGATTAGTATGATTATTGCCTTATTTAGATGATTTGTATATCACTATAAATAAATATGTATAAATATGTACGTATTCTTATTATTGAAATAGAGAATTTCAATTTCATATTCTAATAGACAATAGTTCGATTTTATGCAATAATAAAATATTTATTCTTATTAATCTTTGCGTGATACAAATGGATTAAATATGAAAGATGGAGAAATATTATTTTTACTTTAAGATATAATAATAATTTTATTACTCATACAATTGTTAATTAAATTTACACTTTAATGAATTTTTGAAAATATTCATTAATTTTGTGTGTAGAGATTATAATATAATATATATCTTATACATATATATATATATGTATGTATGTATGATGAACTATCAGCTTGCCCGAATCGAACCGGATTCTTCCATTCATTAATATGATGGCGAGACAATGAATTATCACGGCCTGAAATTGACGGCAATTTGGTATGTTTCTTTAACCAAAATTTTTTAAATTTTATTATTTAAACTCTGTATTTTTTAAACAAAATATTTTTTTTTATAAAATATTTCATTAAATATTATTTTAATACTAAAATCAAATCAAATTTTCTCAAATTCAACCAAAAGAAACACACTCTATATATTATAAATATAATACGTCATCTGTCCACTTACAATGTTTACATATTTTTGTTTGGAGACGTCCAATTATATAGTTAACATTTTATTAAATATTCTACTTTTTTTCACAAATACATTTACTTTACATCACATTATTATTTTTACATAAAAAAAATAAAAACAAAAATGACATTATACTACTTTTAACTACTCATTATAATTAAAATATTAATATTTTTTAAATACCGCGCCAAAAGTAAATGTAAACCCTCCGGCGCAGGGAGTATAAATTAGTGATGTAATAATTAATTCCAGCATGCATGCAAGCTATCTGTCGTATGGAAAAGGGCCACTTTCATTGTCTCAATTGACTGCCACCTTAAGTCTTACATATACATACATAATTAATATATATATAGAGCTCTATGTGTATAGTCTAAATTAATTATTCAAATAACTGATAGATAGTGATGCTATGATGTATGCTATAGATTTTAAGAAAAAGTGTAGATGTGTTGTTTGTTTGTATTTTTTAAAAAAATATCTATATTTTAATCAAAAAAATAATCTGACATATAAATTTATTTTTGTTTTTATTTTTAAGTAAAATATATTTTTTTCGTTCGCTTTAAGATTATTTTTTGTTTTATTGTACTTAATATTAAAAATATTTTCATATTTATATAAAAAAATTTTACATAAATATCCCTCTATTAGTATTAAGACACTAATTAAAATATTTTTATAATTTTTTCTTAATTTGTATTATATTTTAATATAATAATTAATATTTAAAAATAAATGCGTTACAAAGAAATGAGACTTAAATAGTACTATTTTTTCTATTTTTTTTTTTTACTTACAAAAAATAAACATTCATATTTTTATCTATTTTTTTAAAATTCGTGTCCAGTCAAATAAACATAATTGGATAATGAAAAAAGTATAACATTGTACTAAATAACATGAACAAACAGTACCTTAATACTGCTTAGGTGCTTAATTAAGCAAAAGGGGTAAAATTTATCATCGGCAAACAAATAAAACAGGAAAGCGACGATCAACAGTGAAATCATAAACAAAATCTTCGGCTCTGATTCGTTCATCGAATCCCATATTCAAATCGTTTGCTAACGACGTGAATTTTCTCCCGCAAAAGAAGGAATATTGGGGGAAACCGAGATGGGGCAGGAGAGGAAATCGATTTCTGCACAACGTAAGCTCGCCTGAAGAGGCCTGCAAAATCACCCCTCTCCGAATCTAATCATCGTCTTCACCAAAAACCCTTTCGATTTCAACAACCGCAAAATCTTCTGCTTCTGGGCGATATTTTCTTCTTCCTCTTCTGCCCAATTTAGGGTTGGGCACAGAGAAACAAAGAAGAAAATAAAAATCCCCAAATTTCGTTTGCAATTTCATCGCATTGGCTTGGTAACGTTATATACGTTTTCATCATTCTGTGTTTGACAACGTTGGGTCGTCGATTTAGATTTTGATTCGAGGATAAATGAAGACATTGGATTCTGAGTCGTCGAGTTCCGCGGCTATGTGGGCAGAGTAGGAGGTAGAAAAACACTTCTCTTCTTTCCTTGAACTCGAAAATGGGATTTGGATTAATTGTCGGTGGTTCAATTTTTTGTGCAGAGTGAATGGCTGACGTGCAGAGGCCTGTTCTTGGGGAGAGAGATATCGATCAGGTTCTGTGTGTTTAACTTTAACCATTGTTCTTGAGGGAAGAAATAATTCAGACATTGTGACTGGTATTTTAATTGTGTAAAAAACTTTATCTCCTCAGGCCATTGCTGCCCTAAAAAAGGGCACAATTTTGTTGAAGTATGGGAGGAGAGGGAAGCCAAAGTTTTGCAGGTTTAGACTTTCCACTGTAAGTTATTGTCTTTAGAGTCTTCTCCAACTAGTCAAGGTATAATGTTGTGTGCTTTAATGGAGGATCTTCGATTGTTTTAATGAAAATTTTAGGATGAATCTGCTTTGATATGGCACCATGGGAAAGAGGAGAAGTTTCTTGAACTACATTGTGTTTTGAGGATAATTCCAGGGCAGAGGACTGTGAGTATTACTATGGATGTTTTATGATTAAGATCTCAGACAAGAATTTGTAAAAATTTCGACGATGGTTGCTCCCATATATCTCGATTGCGCGCAAATGTAGCTTCTTATGTGTTCGAAAACACTTGTCTAATATGATACATTGTTCTCCTGTCAGCCAGTATTTCAGCGGTATCCTCAGCCTGATAAGGAGTACTTATCGTTTTCACTTATCTGTGAAGACAGGTCTTTAGATTTGGTGAGGTTCATTTTGTTTAGTTAGTACAATTAAACGAATTCGCGATATTTGTCTGTTTTCTTCTGATCTTATCTTTAAATGTAGATATGCAAGGATAAGGAGGAAGCCGAGGTTTGGTTTACGAGTCTGAAAGCTATAGTCGGCCGCGGGAGCTCCAAGAAACGAAGAAATGAAGCGACTCGCAAGCATTCATCGTCGTGTAGTCCTAATCGTAGAAAGATGCATCAGTCGTATGCATCCGAGAGTCGAGACGATGGAGACGTTAAACGATCCGAAATTTATTGTCAGAATCGATTGGGGAAAGCGTTCGCTGATATTGTGTCGATCACCGCGACAGTCTCCGAGCCGCACATGAAAATGATTCCCGTGACACAATTTTTAAGTTTCCAGTCGGCAGGCGGGGCGTCGGAGAATTCGAATCCCGGCGTTGAATCATTTGTGTCTGCAGCGAACTTTCCGAGCCCGAAAAGCTCAGCATCGAGCGAATGTTCGAGCAGCGACGAGGACGACACCGTCGGCAACATATACATCTGGGGAGAGAAGATCGGCGATGGAATTGTGGCCGGGGCGAGTCCAATTACAGTCATCCGATCGTCGATCACGAAGACCAACGCTCCATCTCCGAACGCTTTAGAGCCGACAATGTCGCTCGACGACGCCCACGACATCGCCTGCGGTGAGACGCACGCAGTGTCAGTGTCGAAACAGGGCGAGGTTTTCAGCTGGGGGGACGCGGCGGGGGGTAAGTTGGGGCGCGGGGTCGAACCCGACATACCCCATCCGAAACACATCGAAGCTCTTTGCGGGAAGAACATTAAAATGGCGGCGTGCGGGAGACACCATTCGTGCGCCGTTTCGCATTCCGGTGATCTGTACACTTGGGGGGACGATCCTCTCAACTGCGGCCTGCTCGGGCACGGCGGCGACGCGAGTCACTGGACGCCGCAAAGAATCGGCGGTCCCGTTATTGGGTTACACGTCTCGTTCGTCGCCTGCGGACCTTGGCACACGGCTTTCTTTACGTCGAGTGGCCGGTTGTTTACTTTCGGAGACGGAGCTTTTGGAGCACTCGGACATGGAGATCGCAGCGTGTGTAGCATTCCGCGGGAAGTTGAAGCTTTCACGGAGTTTCGAACAATGTGGGTTTCTTGCGGGACGTGGCACACTGCGGCGGTTGTCGACACGACTCCGAAAGGCGACGGCGAAGAACCCGATCAACGAGGAAAGCTCTATACGTGGGGCGACGGGGAGAAAGGGCAGCTAGGCGATCGGGGATGTAAGTCGAGGCTAATTCCCGATCAAGTCGCGTGTTTGGCAGACGTCGATTTTTCGCGCGTAGCGTGCGGAGAAGACGTTACCGTCGCGCTAACGACGTCGGGTCAAGTGTACGCGATGGGAAGCGCGATTCACGGACAGCTCGGCGTTGCGGAAGACGGGAACTTTCCGGTTTGTGTAAGAGATGGGATCGCCGATTGCTGTGTCGAAGATATCGCTTGTGGGTCGCATCACATCGCGGTTTTGACGTCGAAATCGGAGGTTTACACATGGGGAAAAGGCGCGAACGGACAGCTAGGCCACGGCGACAACGACGACCGGCACGCGCCGACTCTCGTCGCTTGTCTGAAAGACAAGCAGATAAAGAGCGTCGCATGTGGTTCGAACTCGACCGCCGTTATATGTCTGTCCTTAGCCGACGACTCCGTCTGTGCCGGCTGCCGTAACCCGTTCAACTTCAAACGCCCCCGCCGCAACTGCTACAACTGCGGCCTCGTCTTCTGCAACGCGTGCAGCACCCGGAAGTCGCTCAAGGCGGCCTTAGCCCCGAGCACGGACAAGCCATACCGCGTCTGTGACGATTGCTTCATCAAGCTGCAGAAGAACGCGGATTCATCGTTGATCTGCCACAAAATCGCGAATATTAAGCGTGACGTCGTCCCTAAGCCCGATGAATCGTGGGAAAAGGCCGGGCTTGTTCCTTGTATCCGCGGTATCATTTCCCGATTCTCGACGACGGAATCGGAGGCGAAATCGAATCAGAACCGGGTCTTCCCTTTCAGCAGTGCCGCAAGTATTCCGAAACCTTCGACTAGCCCGAGTCGATCTTGGCAGAGTTTTCTACCGTGTGTTCTCGACCATAAGGGTATTTCTCGATTGCCGTCTCCGATGAAGAAAAGCCCTCCGAAGTCGAGGCCTCCCTCGATGTCCCCCGATGATCGAAAGTGCTGCAGCCATAGCCTAACCTTCGAAGTCAAGAGTCTCCGAGCGCAAGTCGAGAGACTTACGCGAAAATCGCAACAGCTCGAATCCGAGCTTAAAGCAAAATCGAAGCAACTTGAGGAAGAGACAACGAGAGCTACGGACAACGCGGATAGATGCAATGGTCTGCAAGAAAAGATCGACAAACTCACGGCTCAGGTTCGAACCTCCGTTTCTTGTAATAAAATCAACGATTGAATCTAATTTCTAATTCTACCAACCAATGCGATTACTATCTGCAGTTGAAGGAGGTGACCGACGCCGCCTCCGGGCAGTCAGACAGCAAAGAGGAAACACATTGTCCCTCGAAGGCTCAACATAATTCGAGGAGTCGTCGGCGTTGTAGTGAGACGAAGGCTGTTCGAGTCCAGCTGGCGTCGGAACAGGTTGTGCAGTACGAGGCCGGCGTGCTGTTGACCATCGCGGCGTCACCGACAGGTCTCGGCGAGCTAAGGCGCGTGCGTTTCAGGTTGGTTCTTGCATCGTAGGAATGGAATCCATGATTGTATTGTTTGTTTTTTTGTTTGTTTGTTGTTATTGAAAAAATGGATAATGTGTTGTGGGTGCAGTCGGAGACGTTTCACGGAGGCTCAGGCGGAGAAGTGGTGGTCGGAGAACGAGGCGGAGGTGTGCGACCGCTACCATGTCCGAATTGCGCCTTCTTCTTGATGTCGTCTGTCTGTAAATGGTGTCTTCTTTTTTGAAGTGTAGCTCAGACATTAACGTTGTCAAGAAATTTTGTAATAAGATTCATTAAATTCTTCCTCTAATATTTCCACATATATGGGTGTATTTGTTTAGAGGATTACTAAATATTTTTACTATTTATGGAATTTTTTCTCTAAAAATTATCAAATCAAACATAATTTTTTATTTTTTATATTATATTAAAAATTAATTTTATATTCAAAATATTATATCTGACACCTATTTATATCACATTGTATCATATTCAAATTCAAAATTGCACTATTCAAATTTAAATTCAAAATCAAACACACGAAAGTACTTCATTTTGTGTTATTTCTTAAACACTCCAAGTATCTCATTGCGACGTACGGATCCAACCTTTCTATGATATTATGGATAATAATACTAATATTATTATTATTATTCGTTATATAAAAAAAAATTGATTATATACTAATTAATTTGAAAAATTTAGCAACTATAATATATACAAATTACACCTTTCTTATTACACACAAAGACATATACTATTTGTTATGAATTATATGTGTGTTGCATTAAATTATGTAATGTACTAAAATTTGGTTGTACGTGACTATAGTATGTGTTAATTTATATGTTATATTTTTTTATATTAATATAAAAAATGTATTGCCAGAAGTAATACAATGTGGTGTGTTGTTAGTTTGTTCGCTTTGGATTATATTAATATAAGGGTATGCTGCTATAAGTAATACACTGTGTTGTTTGTTATTACACAATGCTACATAATTTTAAATTCAACATTGTAATCTAGAAAAAAATATTATTATTAATATTAATTAAATTAACGATCCTCTTGTCTGACTAGCTTTTTAATAATTGCCATGTGGTTGGGCTCGGCCTGGTATATACATCCTGGCCCGTTTTAACCGATAAAACACCGGGCCCAGTCCAACTCAGTCCGGCCTGCCTCTTGATAGCTAACTTGGGCTTTTAGATTTCGACTTTTATAATTGTTATGGGCTTTAATTATTAAATAACATATTTGCCCATTAGGGTTTTGGCCCTAAATTGATTTATGTATAAATACCAATAAGAATCGAAACCCTAGTTCGTTTCTCCTACGACCGACGGGCATTGAGCGAATCTGGGCTGAGGGCGTCGACGTCGGAAAGCCATGGTGCACGTCTCCTTTTACCGCAACTGTAAGTCATTTCAACGTCGATGCAGTCAGGAATGCTTTAATGTTCATATATGTCATCGTATTTTGCTTTATCTGCTTGTTGATCCGTGCTTTCCGTCAATTTCGTCTTTATTATCCGGTGCTTTACGCTGTTACTGAATTTAGGATTTGTTTTCGGTGTGTTCGCCACTATTTTTGAAATTCAATTCCTTTCGCTGGTGCTAATTTGATGTATCGACTTGGAGATTAATTATATATCGTCTGGTGCACTCATTGTATGAAGGTTTTCTACTGGTTTTTTCATTCATGTCTTTGTATGCTTCATGCTTATACTATAAGAAGCTTAGATCTTTAGGTTTGATAAATTGTAGAGAAACTATCATATTGAAAATTAGATTTTGTTTGCCGTTACATATTATTGTATGATTCAGACCCCTCGTCGTCGAAAATAGTTTCTGACTGTAATTTTATTTACGCCATAGTGTAGCTTGTTATCGGAGAGAGAAGAATGTGTTCATATATATATATATATATATTTGCATTTTACTAAACTTTTATGGATGTTACAGATGGGAAGACATTTAAGAAGCCCCGTCGTCCCTACGAGAAGGAAAGACTCGATGCTGAGCTGAAACTCGTGGGAGAGTATGGTCTTAGGTGCAAGAGGGAACTTTGGAGAGTGCAGTATGTCCTGAGCCGCATTAGGAATAATGCAAGGAACCTCTTGACTCTTGATGAGAAGGACCCTCGCCGGATCTTCGAGGGTGAAGCCCTTTTAAGGAGGATGAACAGATATGGTCTGCTTGATGAGAGCCAAAACAAGCTTGATTATGTCTTGGCCCTCACTGTTGAAAACTTCCTCGAGCGCCGCCTCCAAACTCTGGTGTTCAAAGCTGGTATGGCCAAGTCCATCCATCATGCCAGAGTTCTCATTAGGCAAAGGCATATCAGGTATGAATTCATGTTGCTAACTTTGTTTTTACGATTCTGTTTCACAGAGTAAACTGATCTGTTTCAAATATTTTTAATGACTGAAATCAAGTAGATTCCATTATATATACATTGGAATGCATCATTTTTACTGAGGCTATATATATACATCTGCAGGGTCGGAAGGCAGGTTGTGAATGTGCCCTCGTTCATGGTGAGGGTGGATTCCCAGAAGCACATCGATTTCTCTCTTACAAGTCCATTTGGCGGCGGTCGACCAGGAAGGGTGAAGAGAAGGAACCAGAAGGCTGCTGCTAAGAAGGCTGCTGGCGGCGATGGAGACGAGGATGACGAAGAGTAAGGTAGGATATCATGAACTGCCCTTATTTTTAAAAGTTTTCACCTGACTTACCTGCAAATTTTTTAAAATTCTCAGACATTCTTGCTAGACAATTTAGAGCTTTCTTTTCTTCCTAAACTATTGCATGTTTTTGTTCTTTATGATTCTGAGTTTACTTTTGGCAATAATAACTAAACAAAAATTTACTAAACTAGAAGAAGATTCTAGGTTAAGATAAACTTTTGAAGCAATAATTATTCCAGAAATGGGTGTGACAATCAATCATGAAATTTTAATTAAGTAGGGGCTTTGGTTGGCTTGGAAATGTCCTAAATATTCTTAGTGCTAAATAATTTTAATACATATTTTTCGATGATTTTGATTTTTTTTTCTTAAAAAATTAATAAATGTGTATCTTTCAAGGCATGTTTTTTTATGGATTTGTAATAACTGATGTGTGTATAATGTGTTTGGGTTTTAGGGGATTTGATGATCCACTGATTTAATCCATCTGAGTATGTGTTACTTAGAAATATAATTATACTAACACATTTCTTAATTATGGTGTGCAACTACACTAATTTTTATACAGATGGATTTTATTTCTTTGATCATTCATTCATATTGCTGTATTTTCTTAAAAGAATTTCCACTTGATTTTTTTACCAAATATATAAAGTAATTTGTATTCTCTATTGAATTTTATAATTTTTATTATTTTGGGTAATTTTACTTATAAAATCTCGACAAAATATCATAAAATATATTATATATAGGGAAAATTGTGTCAATAAAAAAATAGTTGAACAAACAAATTCAAGAAAATGCATCAGAATTGTTTTTTAAAATATTTTTCATAAATTATTGGAGTTGGTGATTGGGAATCAAGGGTTCTGTTCAGTTTAGTATTCGCTGCTCTGTTATGCAACTATGTCGAGTTGTTACAAAAATATGGGGTTTGTTTGTTTTATGTTTTAATTTGAAGTATTTTTTATTCTTTTATATGAAATTTAGAGACTCGTATATATAATATGAAATTAATATTTTATACTAAATACTCCCTCGTCCCACAGCAAATGTATTAATGAAAATAATTATTTTATAATATAAATAATTATATATTAGGATTAAGATAACTAATTAGTTTAATTAAAATTTAAAAAAATTAAATTAAAAAATTTAAAATGAGATTAAAGTGTATAATTATTTTCTAAAAAAAAATGATATGGGATGTGGGACAGACAAAAACGATAAATGGGAGGGAGTACTATTCTTATGTGAAATTAATAAATATATTACCTTTGATTCTAAGGAGTTTATTTATTTTCTAGTGTTGATATTTGAATATGGATTATTATATCAAAACATAATACATATTAAAAAAAAATTACAAAAATATTGTTATTAGTATCATATAATCCTAATAGAAAAATATTTATATAAAAATTATATAAATATAAAAATATTTTTAATGGTAGGACGGGAATGGAGGGAGTATATTATATATATAGTGAGAATGGTATTGAAAAAAATTCACGAACATATTTATTATATTTAAATTTCTATTCAAATCTAAATAAAATATATATATTTTTTTTTATGACGTGGAAATCCGCAGCCGCCAGAATTTAATACCCGACGGGCAATCTACACTAGGCGAACCATATGTGGCAGGAAACATGAGGTGTCCGGGGGTTTGGAAGTGTGACACCACCGGTTCATTCTTTACGGGACAAAATAAAATATTTTTTCATTAGAGGAAGGGAGGGAGTAATAAAATTAAACTCCGATTATAATAAAATAAATTAAAATTTTTAGATATGGTCAAAAAATTAATTCGTTTACAAAAAGAAAAATTCAACTTTCGTATAATATAATGTATCTGCCTTTAAATATGAGGTTGTTTTATTTTGAGGGTATGACATTAGCACGTGGATTATTGTCATTAATAAACAATATGCTAACAATAAAAACAAAATGTACGTAATTCGATATAATTAATTATTTTTTAAAAGAATTTTTATTTTCTTATTGTACAATCAAAATAACAATTATAAATCAATTTAGTCCAGAAATTATATTTTTAAATAAAATATCACAAGAAATAAACTATTTTACCTTAAAATATAAAAAATAAAATAAAAAAGAGTAAACATATGTATATATACAACAAACGATATAAAATTTGGTCGGGCTCAACAAAGGGCTTTTGCGTTGGACTAATAATAATATTCTCTCCGTTTCAAAAGAAATGTCTTACTGAGAGTGGCACGGGAATTAAAGAATACCAGTGGTATAAAGTAGAATATAAATGACTAAAATGCCCTTACTTTTTTAAGGATTTCAAAGAGTATGTTAAAGTAATAATTATGGGTAGTATGAAAAAATAGGAATAATTTTGTTATAAAGTGGAGACCACGGCTACTAAATAAAGAAACAAAACAATTGTTTTGGAACGGTAGAAAATGAAAAAATAAGACAAATCTTTTAGGACGGAGGAAGTAATAATAATAATAATAAAAATATTATTATTATTATTATTATTATTGAAATGATTCATATAAATCAATTGAGAGCATGCTTAAAAAGTATTGTATATATAAAAAAGGTTTTGTATAACTTTATAAAGGCATCGAAATGTTGCACAAAATTAAATTATAACTTTATAATGCTCACTAAAGCATTTTAACATTTTATTATAGGATGTGTTTGTTTGTTGGATTTTAAATAGTATTAATTTTTTTAATTGTTATTATTATTTGGTATAATATAAATAAATATTAATATTAATATTTTTATATAAAATTATTTTTTAATATAATATAAAAAATAAATATTTGATTTATGTTATATATTAACAATTTTTTTAAAAAAAAATTATGCTTTGTGAAAATCCTACCGCCAAACAAACCCTGTAATGACTTGTTCATTTTGTAATATAATATTGATTTTTTAAAGTGAAAAGAATATGTACTATGTAAATAAAAATAAAAAATATTTTTTCTGTTTCAAATGAAATAAGTTTTTGGAATTTTATAGTAAATTAAAAAATAATATTCTCTTCGTCTCGAAAATAAGTATTCATTTGCTTTTTGCAAGTAATTTTAGAAATATTAGTATTATATTAAAATATAATATGAATAAAGTATAAATGACTAAAATAACTTTATTAGTACGTGATATAAAGGTAATGACATTTGTTTAATATATTGTAAGTTGTAAGGGTATTTCTAATGTTAAGTAGATAGAACAGTTACTAAAAAAGGAAATAGATACTTTGTTATAGAACGGACTAAAATGAAAAAATCGATACTTTGTTATGGGATGGAGTGAGTAAAATTTTATTAATCATTAGAAGTATGTAAGAATTTTTTATATTTTCAACCTTTGATTTTATGTATAAAGTAATTATATATGTAATGATATATTTATAATTTAAGTAAAAGTAAAAAATATTTTAGTATTAATGTATAATTATTTTTTTAGTAAAAAATAAATACTTTGAAATGGGACAAACAAAAATAATAAAAATGATATTTTGAATCTGAACGGAGGAAGTAGGAATTATAAAAAAAAAATTAAATTTTCGAATCTGTTTCATATTGGATCCTTTTGAGATAAGTTCAAAATTGTTAGTTTTTTTGTTTGTTACAATTAAAATATTATTATTTTATAAATTATACATTAAAAAACAGGAAATTAATATTTTTAGCTCAACGGAAATAGTATATAATATACTTTATTTTATTCATTCAAAAAAATCAATAATTCAAATGCAATTTTTATGTTATCAACAAATTCTTTTATATAAAATATACTTCAATCTCAAAATACAAAACAAACACACCCAACATACATTATTTTGAACAAAATTGTGGGATTATAATAATTATTTTTCAAAGTTGACACTGCGACTAATTCCTTTTCTTCTTGACTTTTTAAATTGTATTAACTATAATTAATTATTCAAAATAATTTATGCCTATAATTAATTTTTAAAAATTTTATAGTAAATTAATAAATAATAAATATTATCTATGTTCACTAACAAAATATAAATATTTCTACTTTAGATTTTCTAAAAACAAAGTAACAATTACAAAAGTATCTTATTTTTTTCGATAAATATTACTCCCTCCGTCCATAAACTAATGTCGTACTTTTTTATTTGGGACATCCAACAACTATTGTCCTATTTTTTTTTTAAACACAAATTTTATATTTTTACTCTTCGTTCATTTATTATTTTTAATCTCTACCATACAAAGTAAATTTGTCAATTCATAACGAAAACACAATCACCTAAAAAACCGTGCAAATATACTTTAGGACAATAGAAATTAGACGGATGGAATATTATTTTACTATCACATTATTACTTTTAAACCCAAAAAAGTAAGGGCAAGATTATTCTTACACTATTTTTAACTATCTAATATAATTAAAATAATACTAGTATTTCTTAAACTTTGCGCTAAAAATAAATATATATTTTTTAGCTCGATAGAGGGAGTAATATTTTATTAGTTATTGAAAGTGTGTAAATTAATTTTGATATTTTTGCTTTTAATTCATGTATAATTTTTTTTTTTATCGGAATATATTTAAATATAAATTTATTATATATGTAATAATATGTTTGTAATTTATATAAAAATTAAATAATATTTTACTATTAATATATAATTAATTTTATTATAATATGTTTGTAATTTATATATATATAAAAAAAAGAGTAATTATATAATTAATCTTTAAGTAATATAATTGTTTTAATTTATTTGAGCTTAATGTGAATCGATTTTACGTTGGACTAAAATAAATCTTTAGAATCCATCATATTTTCTATATTTTAATTTTATTATTATTATTATTATCCCACATACATTTACATACGTCCAGATTGAAGCCCTCAAATGGGGGGTGTCTATTTTTTTTTTCTCTCTCTGTATACAAATAAATATGCTATTTTTTTTATTTGAAACATCCAACAACTATTACTTTATTTTCTTTTTTAAATACAAATTGTACATTTTAACCCTTCATTAATTTATTACTTTTAAGATCTACGGTACAATTAAAGGCATACACAAACTAATATCCTACTTTTCTATTTGGACGTTCAACAACTATTATCATATTTTATTATTTAAATATAAAT